ATTGGCTGTCACTGTCGCCGTACGCGGTCTGCTTCTGGGAAAAGCTGTCTTTAGAACCATTCGCCGGACCCAGAGACGTCGCCTACGTGGTCGTCGCGCCCGACAGCGATTGTATTGTCAGCAGAGTCAAATCGTTCTTCCGGGAACTTTCTTGCACGTATGAGGTAAGTACAAGTATTATTTATTTTATGTAAAATGATTTTATCTTAACGTTAAAATGGAAGAATTATTTCTGCTTACAATTCTAATTATATTTTTAATTTTCTCTTCATTGATCACAATAACGAATCTCGATTATGTCAACATGATCGGTAGCAATACGAATCCTAATAATTATTAAACAAAAACAAAACACTTTTTGGATCTGTGAATTTTCGTTGCAAAATGTTGTGCATATATATAGTTGCAATTTTCTCTCAAATAAATTTTTTCTAAATATATTCGGAAAACTACATTTTAGAACTGGTTCTTTCTATATTATTACCTACTTACTCAATTTGTAATTCTCACGATTCACTCAATTAATTAATTCGCCTGCAGTAAGAGAATATTAAAGTTTGAGATTTCGATTTTTTTTTTTGGACTCGTCGCAGATTTGCCGATTGGGAAGACACACGCCAATCTCGAAACAACTGCGCGATGGAATTCTGCGCGTCGGGAAATCGACCGTGCAGAAATTGGCGAAGCAACCGATGGACGATTGGTTCAAGTTTTTGGGGGAGAATCATATAGGCGAACTGTTGAGATTGTACGCCCAAGTTTGTAATCATCGATTGGCCCCGTATCTGACGCAGGTCATACAAGACCGCAGTTTGTTGGACCCCGGTGATTCTCAACCGGCCAGCAAGCAGCAGCAACAGCAATCCGCAACAACTCCCGTTCCCGACACAATGCCAGCTACGCCCGATGTATTAACGACCAAACCCGAGTCTGTTGGTACGTCTTGTCGATGATCGACATTTTCTTGTTGATACGGTTTTAGTGACACGTGCCTCGGGCCGAGTCTAGCGAGATTCGTTGCCTTTTACAGAAGGGGAGAATCCGAGGAGTGAGACTCCCTCTTCGAGCACAGCAACGAATCCGACTACCACTAATACAACCGGTAACACGACACCGACCACGCAAACCACGAGCAACACAACGCCGATCACTACGGCCACAGGTCCGGACGAGGAGGAGATTGAACCTCCGGCCATCGTTGTTTACTTTGTCGAGCCTTTCTCGTTAGGTGGTACCGAAGATCCCGATCGACGGCGGCTTGCGATTCTGGCTCTACTCAGAGCTTACTCTTCCGCGATCAATAGTATGCCTGAAAATATGAGGTCAAATATTCACGTTCAGGTAATAACGGAAGTTCTAGGACAGGATCTTGATATTAGGAATAATATGGTAGTTTTAAAACTCAGCTGATCAGTATTCCGAATTATGTTTTTACGATATTCCGACAAATTGCAATCGATTTGCTTTTAGATAATATCCTTGGAAAGCATAATGGAATTGGGTCGAGCTCGAGAAAGGCGAAAGATTCAAGATGAGATGAGAGCCTTGGCGTTGAATGTCTTCTTGCAAGGGCGTCGATTATTGAACCATAATTCTACCGTGAAGAGCCTCACCGGTTTCGGTACTGCTGCCGCTGCAGACATCTTCCTCAAGAGTAAAGATGTAAGGTTCCATTGCTAGATCCGATCGCTTATCACCGTGATTGCGGATCCAAGTGCCGTTTGTGCACCGCGATGTTGTGCCGTGAAATTAAAATCCACGATGCATAAATCGTTTTCGCTCATTTAGTAATATTTTGTGCATCAGGAACGGAACAGGGCGGCCTATCGTCTCTACTCGCCGGCCTTCGTGCTAGCACCGCTGCGGGCGAAGAGCGAAGCCCCCGAATCATTTGGTATGCCGAGACCCGAAGAATGCGCGGTTCTCTATCTGAGTTACTGTTTGAGCGAGGATCAGTCTTGGCTATTGGCAGCCGCAACGGACGATAGGGGCGAAATTTTCGAGACCGCCACCATTAACATTGACATACCCAATAGGAAAAGGAGAAAGCGCGCCTCGGCCAGGCGCATTGGCCTTCAAAAGCTCATGGACTTTATACTCAGCGTAATGTCCCAGGGTGTAAGTAAAAAATTTACAATAAATTTACATACATTAGAGTCAACAATAACTGAATGCTCGCCCATTATATATGCGCATAAAAAATTGCGAGTTTTAAGTATACTGTGTGTTATTTTTTTTTTACATTAATTTTTTTTTATTGCAGGTACAACCATGGAGATTGGTCGTGGGTCGAGTGGGACGTATCGGGCACGGCGAATTGAAAGGATGGAGTTGGTTACTTTCTAGGAAAGCGCTTCTGAAAGCTTCGAAGCATCTGAAAGAAATATGCGGACAGTGTAGTCTCTTGTACCCCTCGGCGGCACCTTGCGTACTCAGCGCGTGTTTAGTCTCACTCGAACCGGACTCCACTCTGAGATTAATGGCCGATCAATTCACTCCCGACGAACGATTCAGTCAAGCGTCCGTAAACTGCCAGTTATCCACACCTCAAGATGTCACATGTACTCATATACTTGTTTTCCCCACATCCGCCACCACTCAGGTAAGGAAGTTCGATTTTGTATGCATAAGCTCAATTATATCATATATATATCTCTGATACATTCGGGCTAATTTTCGTTGTTGTTTTGACACTTCAGTCGTCGCAGACCGCATTTCAAGAGCAACACAACGTACCCGAGCTAGGAGACGACGAATTGTTTTCCGCTCTAAACGATGACATGCCGGAAGGCATGGAGGGAATGGGTGACTTTAACGATATCTTCAACGTCTGGCCTGAGCCGGGCGCAGGCGGTGGACAGAGTCCAAGCGGAAGTCCGCATCGACCTGAAGGCTCGCCGCACGGAGGAGACGGCGGTGGATCAGGCTTAGGCAATCATGACGGGCCTGGCAGTCCATTTCCATGCAGCAATACGCCAAGAGTAAGTTTTCTTTTTTTTCTCTCTCTCTTTTAATGAAGTCTGCGACTGTATTGTATCCATGTGAAATTACATGCAAATTTATCGTTATTCTCGCAGATGGCGACGACTGAGCAGGCGGAAGAAGTTGGCACTCTTCTACAACAACCGCTCGCTCTTGGTTACCTAGTGTCGACTGCGCCAACGGGACGAATGCCACCATGGTTTTGGGCAGCCTGTCCACATCTCGAAAACGTTTGCCCGGTATTCCTGAAGAACGCGTTACACCTGCACAGTCCCGCGATACAACAGAACAGCGACGATTTACTTCAGCAACAAAACGCACCCACCGCTCATCCGTTGGACTCGCAGTACACCACTGACGTGCTCAGGTACGTATTCTCGCGACGGTGGTAACCGATAATTTTCGCTTCTCAGACGTCGTTTGTTTGCGCGGCAAATTCGTTTATCGTGCGTTCGATTTTCGTGATTGACAGGTACGTGTTGGAAGGGTACAACGCACTGTCGTGGCTTGCGCTGGATGCGAATACCAAGGACCGACTGTCCTGCTTACCAGTGCACGTACAGGCGCTCATGCATCTCTACCATGCGACGGCAGCTCTCGTCTGACCCACACCCTCTCCCGTTGTAGTGCAGTATATGCACCTCTCTCACGCACTCCTTATTGTACCGTCACTCGGGGCTTTACGAGAGCAACTGATTTCCTATGCCCTTTACCTATACTACTATTAGTTAGGTACTTAGAGAGAAAGAGATTGTCTAGGTACAGAGTACGATCCTTCTCGACCATATATGTAAGGAGAACCGAGCCTTTTTTTACTCGGACTCTATAATTAAATACACAAGTTAGCGCAATGAAAAAAAAAAAAATGCAACGGCTGAAATAATGCAGAACCCGATGAGAACGAACAGCGACTCTCTTTACCATTTTTCTATTATAACAGGCGAAATAGATTGTACTTTGTGTTTATGATCGTATCTCATATTTCGTAAGGAAAAAAAAAATGAACTGCGCATCCAATACGACCATTGCCAGCGAAAGCAAATGTGAGACTTTGCGAATGGTAGAAGCGAAGATGCGAGCGATGAGAGACACTGTGAGAAAGGAAGAAAGATAGGGCAGGAAAGAATGAGAATGAAAGAGAAGGATAGCGAGAGATAAGTACGAAAGAGATAGAGAAAGAGAGCGCGCGAACGAATGAGCGAGTGAAAGAGAGAAAGAGAGCGAGAGAAAGAAGGTGAAAAAGAGAGTGCATAATAAGAAAATGATTTTCGATTGCCTCTCTATCGATAGATAGTTGAATTACAAATCAGAATCTCTAGAAAAATTACGTAACCAAAAGTTTTTAATTGTAAATTAAATTTTGTACAAAGCTTTTATTATTAATGACGACGAAGTAATATAAATGATATTACGTTGTTTTTTAATTTTATATAGATGATATAAAAAAAAAAGAGAGGTGGACTTCTTTTTTATAAGCGATGCCTCGTACAAGCCCCTGGTGTGAGATATAAGTATGACGATTATAATATTATATTATGCTCGCGCGGCACTGGGTCGCTGTTATCATGTTTCCTGGACCCGTTAGCGCAATTTTTCGATGCTGTTTGACAAATTTTATTCGGATTAGGTGACCTCTATATATTATACATACATTATAGTGTAAAATATTGTTTTTAAATAATTTATGAAGTGAGACATCGCCGAGATTAGATAATTGAGAGTGAAAGACGGAAATAATCGCGAGAGAGTGAAAGAGAGAGAAAGAGAGAGAGAGAAAGAAAGAGAAAAAGAACAAGCGAGAGAATGAGAAGAGAACGAGCCAGTTATGCAAAGATTGTTTTCCTTCAATTTAACTTTGAATGCAAAAAAAAAAAGAAGAAAAGACACGAAGAGAGAAATGTGGGGCGCGTCTGAGTGGAGCCACGGTGGCCAATTGCGTCAGTCGCATAGTACAAATATGACTTGTACATAGAACCCCTAACTCCCTAATTAATTGGTTAATTTACTCACACCCACACTCACTCTGTATCTATAGTATTTATTACTGGGTAGTACGTCATTATTGGGATTATTATTATTATTATTAAAATTATTATTACCATTATTATATTAATATTACGAAATACAGTTTTATGTGTATATATATAATTACATATGTGATTTCTCTCTCGTATTTGTAGTACCCGAAAATTTTGTTGCAAGCACAGTAGAAACGCGCAGATATCTTTTACTTCTGTGGGTATATCAGAAAAAGTAAGTGCGAATAATTGGATTTTTATTACCTGTCAAGTGATTATTTTTATCATCCCCTTATCGAGCCTTGTGCAATATTTTTCTACTAATCTACATCTAATGGTGCTATTATACATTTACATTTTCAACAGAAAAAAAAAAATAAAAGTTTTTTAGGCATTTTTTTTAAGTATGTAAAAAAAAAAGAAAAATAAAACATGATATTTTTGGCGACGTATACATTAGCAATAAAATGCGACATTGTTTTGCGGATCACATGTTTTATTTAGGAGTTTATATGCTTACGAAGTTATTATCACATCTCACTTTACAAATTTAACATGTGACTTAACGCTCTAAAAAAAAAACCAAATTCTGAATCTCGACGACGTTATATCTATTGTGCTTGCACTATCTCCCTATCTTCTTTCTACTCTAAACTATAGCTATATCCATTATGGCCGTAGTGTCCTGACTCTTTTAACATAGATACGTATAAAGATTTCGTGTATTTAAGAAGTACGATATATCACACTTTTCATCCGCTGAGAATATATTACACTTGTATCGTTGGCTCGAATGGACTAGTATCATGTATAAAACAAGAATTATGGAACTTTACGATCTATTTACGACAGTGTTCACGGACTAGTATTCGGTCAACGTTGACGGTCGATCCGCGGAGGGTCTCTCCAGGCTGTGACTGATGCCGTATGGCCTCAAATGGTAAATCAGATACTCCAAAACGTACATCATGTTCGGTGACACGTAGTGGAACGAAACAGCACTGTCCGAACAGCAGTTCAAGCCGTCCTTGGTATCGTAATAGATGTACTTCCAATACCAAAAGTTCTTGTCCACGTGATTAGGTATCAAGTGGTGTTCCGGCACGAACGGAAAGAATCTACCACGCCCGTGTGGATCTCTAGAGTCCATCGCGCGCACGCCAATTTTTTCGAGACACTTCCCCATCTCCACGTCCTCCGCGCCGCCGTTGTCCGGCCGGCACTTGGTCTTGTCGGGTAAGCCCTCCTCCACGAACTTGCGCAAGCCTTCCTTACTAAGTACATAACCCGCGCCACCGCTCATGTAACCTTGCTTCACGAAAGGTTTAAATCTGCATCCGAAATACAACGATGAATTCGGATTGTACGACGACAGCATATATCGCAAATTTTCCACTACCACGTATCTGCAAAACACGCAAAAAATTATCTTTTCAATTACACATATTATATATGTGTGTTGTATATGGTATGTATGTACAGTAACTCCATTGATTTCGTCAGATATAACATTGTTCATTTGAAATAATCTCAATTATCAATTTTTGTACCTATAATTTTTATATTTTTTTTTCTAATTTATTTGATACTGCATATATTTATTATTTTGAGTGTCACACCAATATAAAGAAATACCAATGGAAAATTTGTGCTATTTATTTATGTATGGATAAATAGAAAATTTATCGTGCACAGACTGTACCATGCATACCATGATTATGCAGTAAAGATAACATTTTATCGCCAACAGAAAGAAATACACTTACGTGTCGTCATCGGCTTTCATGAACCAATCTACTTTGTCTTTATATTTCTCGTAAGCGTATTTAAACGCTTCTTTGGTTTTAGCCCACAGGTTATCTCTACCCTCCTTTACTGGCAACACTACAGTAGGTAAGCTGGCGTCTAAAAATAAAACGGTAGTAGAGTATATTGTGCAAATATCTTATCTGTGCATCGTAATTTTTATCTCTAAAACGTTTGAAATACCTGCCGCAGAACTCATAAAAAGAAGTACATTGCAGCGTTTCCCCCATGTCGCTTTCACGTGACGAGCCTTGCTTTGATGATTCTTTGGACCAGTCATAACCCAGCAAAGAACACGCACTTTTTTCGCCATATCCTGAGCTATTCTATCTTCCCCTTTGTGAAAATCTTCATCATCACCATGAAATTTCACTTCCGTTTCAGGACCAATCTGTCATAGAAAATTCAGTGATAAAATATTGAAATTATTTTACAATCACCTAAATAGTAAGAAAACATTTTTTTTACACGTACTTTAATAAAAAAAAGAAGAAACATATTTTTTTTCCTCATTGGTTTAGTCGTAAGCAATCTCTTAACACGTTCATGCCAACTTACAATTTCCTTATTGTTTTTTGCATCGGTAGGTCAAATTGGATGAACGTGTTAGAAATATTGTATATATTTAGAATACAAAATATATTACTGCGTACCTCTGATTCCAGTTCTGAATAATGATGAGGATCTCTAGAAAGGCCAGAATTACCTGGCACCCAACTGAACATGTGCGGTACATCTCTCGTGGATGTAATGAGCAGGCATGCCGATAAAAAGCCGAAAACCATTCCAGCAGCGAGTGTCAATATAAATCGCCGTCCGCTCCGACCACCTGTTGAAAAAACTGATTGCTGTATTTTCTAATTGTTGTAATTTCACATTTACAAATTATGGATTAATAACCAATCACAGACGAAGGCAAAGATAAATTTAATTAGAGAATTAAATAGACACTTACTATCGAAACTGGGGAGCCGCTGCTGCACCATGATATATAATATAATAAATTGTGACTCAACTCGATAACGCTATATAAATGCTTGAATATAAATTGCAGTCTTCTTTGCATTCATTGTTGCTCATATAAATGCATAATATAGTACTTTATTACTGCTCTCTAAAACATTACAAAAAAAACACGTGTTACTAGTTTTTATGATTAATACAATGAAAGAGAGAGAGAGAGAGAATACTACATTGAATTTATGTAAAGTACACTAAATGTGTTGAACGCTCTACTGTAATACGATATCTTACAGTACCGAATACCTTACATTATCTTACAGTGTTTAAAAACATATTGGTATCTTATCAATATTGACATGATCATCAATTCATGATTATCAATTATAGGAATACGCAGATAAAATTCTACTATTATTTTTATACATTGTTATTGCTCTTACATTTCAATATGTTATTTTTCTACTTTAGCTCTCGTTCGTGTCGCAGTTAACTGATTCACGTCAAAATTAATATTACATCAATTCCAGTCGTGTAATTTTTAAAATTGTAAAATAAACTCATTATACAGCCAATAATTTCATACCTGATCAACGAGATGTTTTGATAACACGATATCTCCAAGGCCATTTCTAAGCTCATATATTAAACTTGTCACTCACAGTAAGATAAATAATTTTTTTGCTGAGCACATTTTTTCTCTCCTCTTCTGTTTCTCGTCAAACAAGATTGCTCGAGTACCGACGAATTGTATAATATATGAGCGTTATTTCTGATATAATGCAGAATCTTCGATTCAGAGAACTGGATCTGAAATCAAAAGAATCTTAAAGATAGAAGCCACAGCTAAACAGGTCAATCTGGCAGGAGTCTGGTGACGAAACTATTTGGAGGCAACGTTATACTTCACAATATACACGTCAGCTTTCTGAAATGCACTAATGCACTGAACGTACAGTCGTGGAAAAGTGTCGCAAACGATGTGTCCATGACTGTACAAATAGTTTTTAAATGCTCGAAATAATCGTTGTGACATTTTGACTCAGCATCGTCATTTTTTTTTTGCTGATAGCGTCAGGTAGCGTACTATTGTGTGATACTGCGGAACGTTATCTCCAAGCAGGTAAGGCGGCTTATTACTAATGCATCGGTGTCTCCGAGCCCAGGTGCGAATACAGAAAATAGTAAATATGCAATCCTTGGTCTGTTATTATACAATGCCGTAATTACACGCGCACATATGTACTGCATGCGGAAAACAGCAGTAGCAGCTGGAAAACGCGCGTTCGAAACGCGAGACCGTAGAGCTAGGGTGACGTTGTCATTCCGCCGATGTCAAAAGGTACTGTCGGCGATGAGAGAGAGAAAATGAATTGTGCAATGTGGTAATAATACGAGAGCGGATCGTGGCATTTTTTTCTGCGACAGTCATCGGTTTTCCGTCCCTCCCAATTAAGCCAAGTTATACCTGACGTTGAAGCCCGTGCAGCGCGTTATTAGCCCGCGTCTCACTAATCTATTTGCGCAGTTGCGCCAATATTCGCACGATCGTGGACAAATATTTGCGGCCCGATATCGTCGTCGCTGGGCACGTCGCGCGCCCGACGGAGACTTTTCATTCACAAACCGTGTGGAGTGTCGCCCGTGTGCGGGAGTCGCCGATGGTGCTCCGGAGGAACGTGCCTCGCCGCCGCCGTGCGAGTCGCGCGATTCATCGGGGTTGGAAGGAAACTTTTTACAACACGCCCCGCGGACACCAGCGGATCCGGCATGCAGACAGATCCGGATCCTCCTCCTCCTCGATCTTCCGAGAAGCGCGCGTTATCGCGAGAACGATGTTTACTGCGTCGGGATTACCGGAACCGAACCGCTCGTCGGCGCGCGATCGGTTGCAAGATTAGAGGAGCCGACGAGTGTGTGCGCTCCGCGTCCGCGGTTTGCGCTCCTCCACCTCCTCTTCCTCGTCCCCGACAACTCCGCGGGATTCACAGGCGAACGTCTCCGAGCGACGACGGCGTCGTCGTCATCCCGCGAGCGTTGACGCGAGCGGCGCGTGAACGGGCACAAAGGATTCCGCGAGCATTCAGCCAGCGATAACAATCGGCGATGCGCGCGCGTCTCGCTCTCTCTCTCACCCCTGACGCTCGCGACGACGAGCGTGCATGCGCGCGCGCGCGCGCGAGCGAATATTTGTATATTGTCCGCGTACGTACACACTGGTTGGAAAATATCCGTGCACCGAGGTCGTCTGCATTCTGATTCGCGACGCGCGGCGACCACGCCGCCGCGATACTTCTCCATACTCCCGTCGTATTCCGTATCGCGAGGAAACGTCGACGAGCGCGCGCGCGGGGAAGGCGCGGACCGCCGGCGCGATACGACGCCATCCGGTGCGCGTGTGTTCGTGCGTGCACGTACATACACGCCGTTATCGTACGTATGCATGTATGTATGTACATGCATACCGTATCACTCGGCGTGCCGCGCAATCTCTTCATTATCGCGCAGAGATTATTCCTCCCGAAAATTACTCGTTTGTCAGCGTGTCTCTTCCACGCGTCCGGGAGGCGAGTACCGAGCTTGTCATTACTTGTCGGATATCGCGTTTCTCGCGCATATATTTATCATCGGTCTCTACTCTGTTATTTCGCGGCGGCGGTCGGCAATTACGTCGCTACCGCAATAATTGCATAAAAACTCGCCGAAATTAGTGTAAACACGGATGCGCGCTATCGTTATTACATATCGCGCTGTCATTATTAAAGATGACGCAAACGACGAGTCAGCTGTTAAATCATTCGGACGCTGAAAGTCCGGTAAAGAGAAACAATAACGGCGCGAACTGAAATTGGGATAAATTTACGGAATAAAAACGTTTCGTATATATTTCGATACATGTATTTTTAATATGCAGAAAATTAAGAAGTGTTAAAACATATAATTAAAAATTATTACAATCTCTGCCTTACCATTTGAGTAAAGCTATAGCTAATTTCTGTACACTCGATACCGACCAATCGCGGATAAAATATAATTCCTGTCAATGATAATTGATAATAAAAAAAAATTGTTTTTATTTCAAATATTTATTTAAATGTTAAATATTCGATTTCACTTGACTCCACCTTACAGAAAAAGTTTTTATATGCCTACAAATTATGGTTGAAAGCAAATTCAAAGCTGAAAAATACATAATATATGCAATTTCCAATTTTTGAAGTCATTTATCTCTCGACAACACAGTCTTACGTTCCATAGTGAAAGAATTCTATTTTGTGCTCATTTTCAATTGTTTACATTTTACTGTTTTCCAATCCTATCATGACTGTGAATACTTTTCGAATCGCGACGCGTGACGTTTCGAATCGATCGGAATCGTCGTGGCTGCGCCGTGTGCGGAGGGCCGACAGCTGACGGATGAATCGCCAGCTGTCACGGTGACGACGCGACCGTTTGCCGTTTCGCGATGACCGCGAATTATTATTTCGCGATCGTCGGCCACGCCGACAATCCGCTGTTCGAGATAGAGTTCAACAATGCCGGGAAGGACGCGAAGGTTCGTTCGTTCGTTTTGAGGTTAAACTCCGACTCATGCGTCACTTGTCAATCACCCTCTGTTTTTCGTGGTTTTTTTTATTTATTTATAGAAGGAGGATCACTCGCATTTGAATCAATTCATCGCCCACGCGGCACTCGACCTCGTGGACGAGCACACGTGGAAAACGACGAACATGCATCTGAAAGTTGTGGATAAGTTTAACCAGTGGTTCGTCAGCGCGTTCGTGACGGCAACCCACATCCGATTCATCATGGTGCACGACAGCAAGAACGAGGAGTCGATCAAGAACTTCTTCAACGAAATGTATGAGACTTACATAAAGGTAACAGTTACTCTCTACGATGGATGTCGTAGGTTTTTATTCTCCGCCGATTGACATGCACATGTCGATAACTTTATCAGAGATACTCATGTGTTTCGTTTCTCCGTTTCAGTACTCGATGAATCCGTTTTACAAGCTGAACACTCCCATCAAGTCTCTGGGATTCGAGAAGAAGGCACAGTTGTACGGCAGAAAGTACTTGTCTTCGTGAGCGTGACAATTGCTGTTGGTAAAGGAATATCTATAAAACTTACGCTTCTCTTCGTTTTATTCAAGATTTGTTAAGCTACAAAATATGCTATTAATAGGCTTTAGATATAAATTTGATAAATCTTTTCCAATTTAACCCCCGGTATTAAAGCATATCACTTAAAAAAGTTATAATTCACATTTTGATTTTGTACAATGTATACATAAGTTAATTGCACTGTGTAATTGTTGAGTTTATATAAAAAAATTATTTATTATATAAAAGACGAAAATTGTCTTTTATAATATATAATAACTGTCTTTTACATTTATAAAATGCCATGAAACTCGTGCTGCATTTTCTATTCCATTTCCAGATCTTGTATCTGAAATGTAAAAAAAAGAACATATATATGTATCATATGTATATTTATACTCATGAGTCAGAATAATTGTTAAGTGAAATATATATACGGATCACTTTACCTCTTGTACTTTTTGCATTTCCTGGGTCAACAAATTATCCAAGATCTCCTGGAACCGTTGCCTCAGCTTGACATTTTCGATGTTAGCTATTTCGATCTCCTGTTGCTGCCGCCTTTGCCGTAATTCCGCCAATTCCGCGTGGAGAGTAGCGAGACGCGCATCTGGGCAGATTTTCAAGCAGACAAATGTTAAGAATTGTGTGAATCTCTTACAGGTAGAAGTGCTTGTATTTACAATTACCTTTAGACACGGATACCGAGGGCGTAATTATCGCTTCGCTGTAATTGTCTGGTATAATAAATTCCGAGTGAAACTGCTCCAATTTTGGAACTTTTAGCGGGCTAGACTCGCCCTGCTGCTTTTCGGTCTCCGTGTCGCCGTTGTCGTGGAACATGTCTTTACTGAACTCGGTGACCAGTCCGCTGCTCGTCGTCGCGTTGTTACTCGACCTCTCGGAATACGCGGCCTGCATAGAATTGGAGTCCGAGACCCTACTGTCCGCCGAGAGGCGGCTGTTCTCGTCCAGCTCCATCACGTTGATGTTCGCCTCTTCGTCGTCGTCCTCGCTGTCGCTAACTGCCTCGCCGAATATGTCGTGCTCGGCTGAAATATAAATCCGTGAAGTAGAGCAGAGTAAATCTAAAGCGGCGTCTACAATGAGACTTAAGATTTAAGAGAATTAACCAATTGATTATTCTTCTCACATAAGATAAATAATCCACTATAATTGGTCAAGTTTCTTAAATCTTAAGTTTTAAATCTAATTGTAGACGTCGCTTAATTCCTCTTTCTAAATGTTAAGTGGCGTCTACAAATGAGACTCAAGACTCAAGATTTAAGAAAGTCGGCCAATCGATTATTATTCTTACGTGAGATGAATAATCGACTATGATTGGTCAATTTTCTTAAATCTCATTGTAGACGACGCTTTACTCAGAACCCGACACTCACCGACATCCAGACTCTGAGACGTGTTCCCATTCATGCTCTCCCGTTTAGTCTTGACCGTGCCGGACGACGACACCTTGCTGGGCTTCGACGTGTCCTCGTCCTCGCATATCACCTCCCACTTGACGTTAACGGCATCGTTGTCCACTCGCAACAAACGCTTGACCTCCTTCTCGATCTCCGGCGCCTCCACGTACTTCTTCTTCAGAGTCTTCCTGAACCTCCTGCGCCTCACGTTCTTCGTGGGCGGCGTTATGCCGTGAGGCCAGAGAAACTTCTTGTCGACCTTGTTCGGATCCTTCTTCTTCTGCTTGATAGGAGACTCCTCGTCTGTCGCAGTGTGATCTTCCTCTTCTTTACATATCACCATCTGAAGGAGCATTGCGGGGACAATAATGTAATATAAACTCTTTGTTTTCAGATATTGTCATCTACAACACCTCTCCCATTTTACCTGGCATATATCGGCAGTCTTGTAAAAGCTCTTGGTGTCAATGGTTTTTAAGGATTCCACCACCGTCGGCAGGTCCACAACCTAAGCGAAAGTTCATCGAACATGTGTATACAAGTCCACCTTCGTGAATAATCTTTTCTTACAGTAAATTTTGGCACGCCAATAGCGTGAGACGATGAAATTTACCTTAGCGTGGAGTAACCAGTGGTCAACCCTAACCTCACCGTAACGCATATCGTTCTCCAGTTTTATGGTCAATCGGTCTTTTAGAGGCAAATTGCTACGTAACGCCTCCCTCAGTACTCTGGCGGGTTCCTTAAAGAGAATTAATTCAACAGATATAATCCCCGATTTTTTAATTCGTCTATCTAATCTCCGAACTAAGGTTAAGTTCAGATGGAATTACGAGATAGCAATATAAGAAACATACGGGCGGTAACCGCAAAATAAATTGGCTCTCCAATTCGACCTGCGACTCATTGCGATTTTTGTAGTCCGTACTCGAATTGCGATTCATTTTCTTCGGCTTTTTACACAGTAGAATAACCGAAATCCCAAATGGGAACGAAAACTGATGAAAACAGAAATAGGAATGTTTATTAAACGGACAGCACCAGTGCCATCGAGTTTGGGTGGTACATGTGGTAAACTTTTGAGAAACGTTTTCATCAATGTCGATAATAAAGTTGCATTTATAATATACATATATGCATATATGTATGTATTTTTAGGACATTTTAGGAAAAGGGGAAATCTCTCTCATTAAATGTATAATATTAAAAATATTATATATTTAATGATTAAAACGCATGAAAATTTGACCAGCTTCCGCGAGAGCAGCTATAGGTGCCATTTGAAAAAAATCAGGAAAAAGAAATACGCATAAAAATACGCAGTGTAAAAATTTATAGAAGTACAATTTTGTTCTAAATTCTGCGAATTACAAATAGTTCAAAGTAGGATTAAAAAATATTACAATACATATATATGGTAAAACTTTCAAAAATTATACAAATATAAAAGTATAGAAAATTAATTATATTATATGTAAATAATTTAAATAAATGTATATAATATTATTAGCACTGCTACAAATTGTCGCCAAATTCCGTGCAAACTCTTGGCGTAAAATTTGCTCGGAATTTAGCTACAATTGAAAAAGAAAGAAGGATGTGGCATATACATACATATGTATAAGACCCAATTAGCACGGACACGAACCACGTTCTAATGCTATGATTTGATCGACAATGTTTTAAGATAGACGTGATACGTAGTTCCTTTTTTGAAAACGTGGACGTGGGGCGCTAGTGTACGGAGGAGAATCGTCGGTCCGCCCAAAAAACGTGGCCTCTCTCACGCTTCTCCGTTATTAGTATAAAATATGTAATACAAAATATATTAATATGTCAAATAACGTGCATTTAACATATGTTGTATAAATATTAACTTCATCGGAAATCTATTTTTTCGTAGCCGAGGCCACGCGAGGCTCGTCTGCTACGCTCGCGCTGCCGCGCATGTCCCAGGATCCGTCCCACCATCTCGCAAACACTCGCGATGTGTACCGTACCCCGCGCAAGACGAGTGACAGCAGACAGGCTGGCACTGCTGGCAGCCAGACTAGCCAGAGGTTCTGAGTACCCCGGCCGTAACGACCTGTTACCGCGCGGACGCGCTGGGTGGGAGCGGAGCACAAGTGCATTCTCTTTATGCCTGGCGCGGCAGTGAGTCATCGTGAAAGTGCGGGATCGCTGTAGAGCGCGGGACGACGGCGTCATGGAAGTCCTGGACCCGAGCGTCTCCAGGGACGATCAGCCGTTGTGCATCAACGACTCTCTGGAACGAGGTAATCCTTGCGTCATCTCGCAGCGTCGAGCGGGCTCGCGACGACGTTATCTCCGTTCGCGTAATTACACGCGCACCGTTCTGCCTCCCATCCGTTCGCGCAATTACGGCTGCGAGACAGGTTGACGTTGCGCGTTGCATTGTTTGGAAACAAAGGGGACAGCGCGCGAGCAACGCGACGAGTGACGCGCGGCGCAGATGGTCCGCGAGTATCGCGGAAGTGGATACGGATCTGTTATCTGCCGTGTGCCGATCTCACGACCTCCTTCATCTTCCCGCCTCCTCCCTCCTCCCCCTTCCCCCGCGAAAGACGTCAACGCGAATACGTCAGATTTATTTTGTACCAGCTGAGTTACGTCCGCATGTTTTTTTTTTCACCCTGATATTTCTAAGGATTAGACAGGAAATGAATAATTATTAATTATCGATATTATAATGTAATTTATTAATAATAATAATTGATTATTGCTTGAAACATATTAGAGAGGAGATTAATATTTAGAGATATTCATGATGCATTATAATTTTGGACAGATCTGTTTGACAGCTTTCAATTAATATCACCTCAAATCAAATTTAATATTTCAGATTTCTGGTTCTCTAGCATAGAATTATAGATGAATGTTCTTAGAATTGCATAATTTAAGATTTGTCGTCCTTATTCAAGATTGTTCATAAGTGATATATTTCAACTTTTTTTTTCTGTTGACAATATATATACTCATGATGTAATATTCTTTCAGTTAACACGTTGCAGATTCCAGCAGACACTAAATCATGTGTCAAAGCGCGTCACACCCTTGGTTTCTTGGGCTTTCTTGGCTTCGCCCTTGTATACGCCATGAGGGTCAATTTATCTGTAGCCATTGTCTCCATGGTTAATCAGACTGCGATACCTCATACCGAGGAAAATGACACTAGCGATGTTTGTTCTAACACTAAACCGATAAACGGGACTTTCGTACCGGTAACTCTATCTTTTTTTCGTACACTTATCTGAATCTTAATCGTTACTTTTCATATCATATTACTCTACTGCATTAATCATATTACCTTTCATATCATTTTACATATTAAATCTTTTGTGTTCTCGTTATTACGTCATGATAGATATTACTTATCATGTGACGTTAGTCAGTCAAACTTATCACGCTAAAATGTAACACTATCCTGTTTCTTTTTCGTATTAATGTATGATAAGCATGCTAGCCATCTCTTGATATCTCGACATTTGTCACAGGAATTCTAAGCTAGCATAAATTAAATAATGAAATATTTATCATAAATTTGATAATTTTTTTGTGATTTCTTATTTATTTCATTAAACAATAATGTCATTATTAAAAACACCAATAAAAGAATTTCTTTTTATTGATATTTAAAGAGAAATGTGCCTAAATATTGCGTTTTAATTTGCAATATTTTAAAATTGGCACATAACTCTTCAATTAGATCCTTTCTCGGAACAAACCCGTATATTGTATAGTAGTTTTTATTATTTTACATTTCTGAAATTAATTTCGATGTTATTTCAGAGCGCGGGAGAATTTGCCTGGAGTGAAAAGACTCAAGGTATTATATTAGGCGCGTTCTTTCTTGGCTACGTAACTACAAATGTCCCGGGTGGCAGGATGGCTGAGAAAATGGGCGGCAAGTTGATCTATGGTCTGGGGGTGTTTCTGACCGCTGTTCTGACCGTGATAAGCCCTTTCGCCGCGTATTGGGGTCTGGTACCATTTCTGGTTGTACGAGTCGCAGAAGGATTTACTGAGGTAAATGTCCTGTTTTCCATAATACTTCTATGCGGAAATTATTAATATTTGTTCATATGTGTAGGGAGTAACGTTTCCTGCGATGCACAGTATGCTGGCACATTGGGTGCCCCCGTTAGAGAGGAGTAAATTTGCCGCTCTAGTCTACGCAGGTAATTTGTTTGCGTTTGCCTTTCGACGGCTAAAGAATTCTCGAAAAGTTCTCATTACTGATATCCTTTTCAGGTGCAAATTTCGGAACTGTCGTCTCGTTACCAGTGAGCGGCTGGCTATGTTCCTTAGAATTGTGGGGCGGTTGGCCCCTTGCGTTTTATCTGTTCGGCGGCCTCGGTCTCGTGTGGTATGTGTTCTGGGTGATATTCATTTACGATACTCCTTCGCAACACTCGAGCATCGATCCTTCCGAGAAGGCGTATATCGAGGCTAGCGTCGAGAAGAAGGACGAGGTATTACACGTTTAATACAATAGTAATGTACGTCTGCAAAGTTATCGTGTTTGATTTAAATGACGTCGAAATCGATTTTCGAACGACAGAACGATGACCCGGGAGTACCTTGGCTGTCCGTCTTCACCTCTCTTCCTATATGGGCCATCGCTATCACGCAGTGCGGTCAGTCCTGGGCCTTCTACACTCTTCTGACCGAGCTGCCGACGTACATGGACAAGATTTTGCATCTGAACGTACAGCAGAACGCATTCCTCTCGGCGTTACCTTACCTGAGCGCTTGGCTGGTGGGCCTCGGTATCTCGAGCTTCGCGGACGCGCTCCTCGCACGTCGTCTGATCTCACCTCTCGCCTCGTTCAAACTGTGGAACACGGTCGCCTCGCTGGGGCCCAGTCTCAGCTTCGTCGGCGCTATCTGGGCCGGATGCGATCGTATGACGGTGATGCTGATGCTCGCCGGATTGGGATCTCTTCAGGGCGCGGTGTACGCCGGCAATCAGATGAATCACATCGCGCTGGCGCCACGTTACGCGGGTACTCTGTACGGATTAACGAACGCCGCGGCGAACGCGTGTGGTTTCTTGGCGCCGTATGTCATTGGCAGTATAGTAGAGGGACACGTTAGTATATATTTTCGTTGCATTTATTTTCCTTTCAAGCGTACATTAGGATGCAGTTGTATGTTTTTTTTTTTTTGCATTGCAGGAAACCCTCGCACGCTGGCATATAGTTTTCTGGATGGCAGCGGGAATAAACATGGCTACCAATTGCTTCTACTTGATGTTCGCGTCCGCCACTGAACAGCCGTGGAGCAAAGGTGGTAGTTGATGACAATGTCGCATTAGAACTGCGATATTAAACGTGGAAAATAACATACTTTTTAATCACGTTGCACATAGTACGTTTTAATTTCGGTTGGTCAGTTTTATATAATTCGGTATAGATTTGTTACCAACATTGTTATTTCGGAAGATAATTTATTTCTACAGCTTTTCTAAAGTTGTACTTATCGTTGAGCGATACGTGCAATGACAAATGAATTGAATTTCGGTATTATCGAACTTTATTGCCGACACGTAATACACAGAGGTGATAGACGTATCGCCGACTGGCTTTCGTGTCAGATAATTGAGATGGATTAGCATATTTTTCACCTCCCCATTTTGTGCTTCACCATTTTATTGATCCAGCTACATCTTGTCTGGATACATAAAAAGGTCTGTAATCCCATGAAGAAATTAAGTAAATACAAGCACTAATATTGACATGATAGCAGGGTGTTCTCAGTGGTACAAAAGATGGTATGTACAAAAGATGATTGTACGTAGTAAATCGAGAATGTAGAATAAAATGATTTCAAGACTTTGTTTACGAAGAAATAATTTTGAAAATGGAAAATTAATGATATACAAACATAAAATTAATATCCTTGTACTTTTTTAAGCATGGATGATTTGTAACGACATTACGCACATAATGCTGAATTCATTTTAATTGCAATTATTGAATATTCTATAAATAAAAAAAAGTACATTCCATTTTTAATAATATAATAATTAAATTATTTTAGAGATATAGTAAATATTTACTTTTTTTTGATAGACTTATATTTGATAGTTGTTTTCGGGATAATTTGAGACATGATACAAAATCGTTAGAAATTATTTTAAAAAAGTATAGATATTAATGTTTAATTTCGAATTTTAATATCAATTTTTTTCAAAAATAAAGTATTATACGATAATATTCTATTCTGCTTTGTCAATTTATTTTTACATGTAGAATATCTTTTTGTACCAGTTACAGAACTCCCTGTTTATGGGTACGAAACAGCATTTAATTTTATATAAATATATATATATATATATAAATATCTCACACAACAGTATATACAGTAGACCAAAAAATTTTAACGTTTGAAACGTAATATATATGTATATATACATATACCTCTTTTTTATTGTATTTGATAAGAATGATGTATATGGATTATAAACTAGAGAAAGAGCAATTAAAATTATTAGTAATGTTATTAAAAGCACTATATAAATATTTTCTATTTATAATTTAAAAGGATATTTGTTTTTATCTTTAAAAATATTTTAATATAAAATGATTTACGGCTTTAAAAACAAAGGTATTATTTATTTATAATGCCAAAGGGATTAGTAAGATAAACGGCTTCTCTATGATAAGTGAAATTGTAACAGTATTAATACCATTGATATAGTATACATTTCTGATAGTGGAATACGTAAAAATGATATACATATGGGTGCAAAGAAGTGATTTTGTCGTTCAAGACAGCAGGATACATGTATTCATAGAAATTTCGTTTCCGATATACAGTTTCCGAAGTATACCGATATGAAATAAGTAGAAATCGTTAGCGATTATACCTAGTACGACGAAAAAAAAATCATATGGAATATTGCATGCATATATTACCTATATATATTTAATCTATCTAATAATATGTTTAACAGTAATGTGTTGCAAAAATTTGCGTAATTGTATGCAAAGTAATATACTTCGCGTTTTAATTTACGACAAAAAATATACGATTAATTATTCTGTGTGCGAATTGTACAAATAATTTTATCGATTTGTAATGATCGCGTTGAATAAGCAATGAACAATCGTACAATAACAACAATCGGTTATTTATATATAAATTTTTTCATCATGTTTCTACGCATTCCTCCAATAAATTTTTTTTACGTTAAAGTATACATTGTGTTCCGTTTTTTTTTAGTTAAATAAATGTCCTGAATTAAAACCATTACAAAATATCAATTTGTTATTTTAGGGCGAATAGAAATTATGATTAAATATAAAATTGATAGATGATAATATAAAATTGATAATATTAGACAAGTGTAAAAATGATCTTGATCAAATCATGTATGTACATTTCTCATATTTATTCTTAATCCTAAAACGAAAGAATTGCTAACTTGAATTTACGTCGTCTTTGTTTTTAGCAGTAAGCTCGAAGATCATATCTCGCATGCGGCTCAATTCTTTCAATTCCCCTTTCATTCTCTGGATACTCCTATCTTTTTCGAGTATCGTTTGTTCATATGTCTGTATCATATGTGTCATTTGTTGTATCTCTTGCTTGAGCGCGGATATATCGCTCTGGTTTGCTTCTATCTCTGCACTCTTTTTCTCTAAGATCTACAACACATACAAAATATAATAGAATTTATTTAAAAAAATTTTGGGGGTCAAATGTGTACACAAGAATTACTGTACCTGTTCTTTTTTGCCAAGGGAATCTTTCATCTTTTGTAGAAGTTGGCTTAATTCGTGATTTTTATTGCCTATATTCGTAGCCTTTGCTTCAGCACTTAAACGTTCACTGTCTAATTCCTTGACCTTTTTCGTTAATATATCTATTTTATTGTTACTATCTTCCAATTCCCTCGTACTTTGCGTTAATTTCTCACTTAAAACTTCCAAATTTGTCGACTTTTCTATCACAATTTTTTTCAAGGATTCAATCTCCTAGAAATACAACAAAAAAAATGCGTTATTATTATAAAAGATATTTGTAAGAGTATTCCTATATTTAGGATGCAACAGTTATTATTATAAATGGTAAAATTTGAGCACTAACTTGTTTTTTTATAAGAAGTGCCTTTTTAGATTGGTCTTCCATTTCGCTAAGCTTGCCTGTTAGCACGGACTTCTCCACTTTTATTCCTTCGAAACACTGCTGGGTATCGAATAATAACTGATGTAACCTACTAGATTCGGCTACTACTTGCGCTAACCTGTGCTGTAGACTAGTAGCGTGATTATTCGCCGCTTCTAAACTGGATTGCATCGCCCTTTCGGAATGTCTCATTGCTGCTAACTTTAAAGATGTTTATAGTTACAACATGACAGATGTATCATGCCAAACTGCAATGTAAGCGCAAAAAGGAATATCACATGTATACATTTTGTACCTTGTATTCGTATAATTCCATTACTGCAGACGTTGGAATATCACTAATTTGGTTCGACTCGAAGGCTGATTTAAGCTTAGCTAAAAATGTATCGAGGCGCTCCTCTTGCGCGATGGAGAATAACGGCGCGAGTTCGTTCCCGGTGTAACTCAGGGATGCTTTATTCGAGACTTCCAATACGTTGCTGTTGGTGCTCTGAACCAATATCAACGGTTCTAATTCTTTCATGCAAAGTGCCACCGCGGAAACACTTGCCAAAACAAATTCTATATGTACAACTGTCACACGTTAAATTAAGACGAACATGCGTGTTACTCGTATTCGAAGCGCTTACCACTCTTGCGGAAATCCAATCGACGACGTCAACTGCAGGACTTTCTGCCTAACTTCCCCGTCACCGGTGAACAACGCCAGGGCTATTATCATCTGCACTTGTTTTCTACTGAGCAATTCGGCGTACAGTGTTAACCAGTTGGAGTGATTCGTTGCCAAGTCTGCTGTCAGAGATAACGCGTGGATGTAAAGATTGGTAGAGGCATTCTGCAAAGCCGGAAACATGTATTTTTAGTACAATTGTAACGCGTTACTATTTTTTTTTGTCTTAAATTTGTATTGTATCAAATATCAACCTGGACAAAGTTCCCGGTCCAATCTCCAGCGGCGGAAAACTCATTGTCCAGCACGCGGCTGAACAGTCTGCGCATCGCGTGCTCGCTGAACGACTGCATAATCTTCATCTTCAACGCGGGAGTCTTAATCATCTCCTGAAACAGCTGCATCAGTTCAGCCTGCTTCATTTCCGTTTCCGCGTTTTGACCCTGCCCGTTCACTTCCTCCTCCGGATTCGTTATTAGCATAAGGACAGACGGGTCCAGCTCCGTTAGAACTTCGGCAGTGGTCTTGGTGCGCCGGGAGTCGATTATCACGCTTCGTATGAGCGCCAGAGCTTTCGAGCACACCTACGTTTTTCGACAGAAAATTTTTGATTGAATTACTGATTTTAACTTCTCACGTATCCTCGTTAGCATATTTCGAATTGCATTAATAATCAACGAGAGAGATGACAATAGAAGATTACGTACTTGTTCTACAGGTACCCACGTCATAGCCGATCTTATACACGCAGGATACAAAGGTGTCAGGGCAGTTAATTTCAGCTTCACCAGTGACAGTAAAAACTCCATTATAAGAGCGACGCATTCCGGGTCTGTGTTCTCTTCCAGAGTGGCCAATATATTTTCGATATCCCTGCCATAACTGGTCGGTACCGAAAACGTAAAATATGCACGATCATTAAAATATTCTATATTGTATTATATTACGTCACGTAAGAATCCGATTTTGATCGGCTTACTTCGAATATGTGAGCAGGACGTTCCGCGAATGCTCGTTTTGCCCGACGTCGTTAAAAAAGTCGACGATATGCCTCAGCAATAAAACGTCTCTCTGTCTCATCGCCATTCTGAGATTGACAAACGTCAGCGACGCAAAGTCCATGATATATTTCTCAGATATGTTCGTGTTGGTCGGCTCCAATATGATCAACAGTTTACAGCATTGCACGCTAGTGTTGACGTGATCTTGGAGCTTCAGCAACGTTCTGATAAACGCCTTGGTATTGACGGTTCGCATCAGCGTGTACACCGCCGGAAGATTCTTGTAACACAGATTAACCAGCACTCCTAGGGAAAGGGCGATGATGTCCGCCTCCTTCGATTGCGCGACCCACTGCGTCAAAATGGAGATCAGGTACGGTAGATGAGCCTCTTGCCACGAGATCTTAATTCCGTACGTTAACTCTTGAAGTAACTTGAGCACTCGTATTCTCTTTTCAGTCGTCAGATTCGCCTGTGCAAGGGGAACGAAAATTCACTTTGTATTACAACTTGATGCCATTATGAATGGTATCTTTAGTGGCGTTTCAATTAAACTCCATACCTCCAGTAATCTCGCCAATATCGTCGCGAATTTGTACGTGTGGATGAGCGACTGTCTGGCAGGTACGTTCCGGCAGGCATTCTGCAAAACGTCCACGGCGCTCCAGATCAGAGTGGATCGCGATCCCAAGGAGTTCATGAGCTCGTACAGGCTCACGTAGAACTCCGCGGCGACGCTGGTCCCGGGGTCAAATATACTCAGGTCCAGCGAGGCGCTTATCACCTGAGAAACACAAATTTACGATAAACGGGAGCGCTCCTTGTGATATAATCGCAATATCGGGCGCGCATCAAGCATGCGAGTGTGCACACTTACTCCAAGGCTTCTTTGTAAAGCGGAGGTTACGCTCTCGCTGGGGTGCTTGGTGTAATCCAGGGCCGCCGATATGAACGTTCTCATGTGCTGATATTTCTCCATTCTCGCGGCGAAATATTTCACAGAAAGACCGCAATTTTCCGCGTGACAGACGCCAACGTGAGCACAGCCCGATTTCCTTTGGAAAAAATATATACCGTCACGCGTCTCCCAAATGCTGTCACGAGTCAGAAAAATCGACGGGGGTGCTTATCCAGAAGGTAACGGGACTCATAGTTCGACGAGCATTACGTTTCGTCGCCGACAATTCTCGCGTGTAAACAAAAGGCAGCGGATGCTGGGATCTTAAACGCGGACGCCCATTTTTAAAAACCGATTTGATTCAAATCAGCCAATCGCGGCCGAGATCGCGGCGACCAATCGGCTGGTAGCTTAAGTGACGTTTTCCGTGGGACGAGTTGCTCCGTTTTCGGACATGCTGATTGGTTGTCGGTAGATATAGTCCCAAAAAATTCCAGAAATTCTTTTGTCCGATGGTGATGCAGCACGCTCGAAAAGCTCGTAAGTACGTCTATTTCGCTTTCCTCGTCCATTTTCTGCAAATTTATTGTACAATTTGTTTATGTCAAAATATTTGTAACTAATAATTAATTAGTTTAAGTAATACTTTTAATTAATTTATTGTTAATTGATAGTATATTTATCTTTATCTTTTTCTAATATAAGAAAGAGATCATAAACAGTATAAGTTAAACCGAGATTGAAGTGTTAATTTTTTACATTTGCGGAACCGGACCTTAATTCGCGTTTCTAATCGTCCTTTCGCAGACTCGAGTACCGGATCGCGACGCGAGATGGCGTCGCCGTCGACGGCGCATGGAAACGCTGGCGCGACACGCCATCGGTGGTTCGTACTTACTGCTTCCTACTTGTCCGTACTTGTCCGTAGTGGTCTCGGTACGTATGCGTTCTCGGTAGACTCGGCGGAGAGAACAAAACCGTGTGTCGGGTGGGAGCCGCACGAGAGGCGTATCCGCTGAGACCTCGCGTTTCGCTCGTCGCGGGAGACCGGGCGACGACGATCCGGGCGGGTGTGTAATCCACCTTGCGTACGCGCGAGAGCCCTCTCGGCGAAGCCCGAAGCGGAACGAAACGAACGGCGAAAAGTGACGCAGCAACCGTATGCATCGCGGCGCGGTGTCGGTAATCTCATTTTCTCTCTCGCTTCCTCTCTGCATCTCCCCCTTCATTCTTTGTCGCGCTCTCTCTTTCTCTCTCGCTTGCTTTTTCCTCCGTCTCTCCTCCCTCTCCCCTCAACGGAGTGTCAAAGTTCCGTGACTACCACTCGTCGTCGACGTATCCGTCGGTCGTCGGTCGACCGATGTCGATGTAGGTTACGAGGAGAGGAGAAACGAACGATCGCGGGGTGCGAGTCCGTGGAAGTGTGACGCGGCCGGGCGGCGACTGACACGCACCTCCCACGGGGGAAAAAGAAAAAACGGAAAGAACGTCGTGCACGCGCAACGTAGTAGTACATCGAGTGCCGAAGCGGAGCGACCGAGCGAGCGAGCGAGCGTGTGTAGAGCGGGGCAGAGAGCGAGAGGAGAGCCCACGGAGACGTCGGAGAGTCGGACGAGACCTGCGGCTGCGAGAGAGGAGCGATCTCTCTCCGAAGGAGGCTCTCGCCTGCTATCCCGGCGGGAGCTGTCATAAATGTGCACATTCTACGTAGACTGCGCGATCTATGCACGGTCGACGGGCCGATCTATCGGTGGCGAGTGCTGATCGTCGTGCCTGACGTTTCCGCGGCTCCGGCAGCGAGTCGACGTTAAATCATCATCATCGTCTTCGTCGCGGCATTGCTCCTGGTGGTCGCTGCTGTCGCCGATCATCGCCGACGTCGTCGTCGCCCCGAGAAGCAGCTAGCCCAGCCCAGTGTACCTATCTAACAGCGTGCCCCTCGACAACGCGAAACAGGTTAAACATAAACATTCTTGGCAGGTGTCCGTCATCCTGAGAGAGAGAGAGAGAGCGCACGCGAACGCGCGCACAATTAGTGGGCGAATGAACGAGTGAGAGAGAAAGAGAGAAAGAATCCTAAATTATACCCTCCTCCAAGAAACGGCCGACAACGCGGACGGCGAGGGGGCAGGAGGATGTTTATACTGGATGATGCACGCTGGTACATACATCCGGACGGCGAGGGGGGAGGGAACGGTGAACGCGCGTGTCGTCCTGTACTGTCGTGTCACCCGCGACCGCGCTCTCCCCATCCCGCGCGCGCGCGAGGGCAGCGCTTACAGTGTACAGGGGAGCTCTCGGAAGTTTCTTCCCCCGGGGGATTGCCCGATATATTTCGGATGTCGCTGACGTTTCGACGGGCGGTGACAAGTTACCTCAGGGCAGTGACGATCGTGGCGCATTCATTCCCGTTCCCTTTATTCGCCTCTCTCTCTCTCTCTCTCTCTCTCTTTTTCCTTCTCGCTCGCTCATTCGTTCGTTCGTTCATTCGTTCGTCGCTTGCTCGCTCGCTCGTGCTCTTTCTCTCTCTCTCTCCCCCACGATCTTTTTCCGCTATCTCACATCGTCCATCTCCCTCTGTTCCCTCTTATTTGCACACATACATACGCACGCACACGATGCGCGCGCTTGCGCGTATAACGTATACACATTACAACAAGTATATATACACGACATAAGCTGTTCTCCTCGTCTCCTTCTCCATTCCTCCTTCGCGCTACGTCGGGTGCATCGTTTTTTTTTTTAACGGTTTCTCATAATTTTTCGATAACACCCCGGACTGTGCGCCCAAGGTTACGGGAGGTGTATGACGACGATGATGTAGGGTGTGATCGTATTCAATCGGGTTTTCCTTTCGACGACGGATGCCACCGCGCGCGGTGAGAAGGCAAGACAGCCAGGCAGGCAGGCGGGCGGCACTCGCGCGACGACGACGACGACGACGACGTCGTACATAGAGCGCGCGAGCGGAGAGCTCCTCCGTCGTCGGTCCTGGTTTTTTTTTCTTTCCACGAACGTTGCACGTATGATCTCGTGATCACCGCCGAGTAAAAGTCGGAGTCTGCGGGTGCATCGCTCCTTCCCTCCCTCCGGGGTCCCCCCCTTCCTCTCGGCCCCTCCCCACACACCGTGCGGCGACCGCTCCACCACGTATATTTCGTTCTCCTTCGCACCGACGGCCTCTCCCGCCGGCCTCCCCCCTGGCTGCGCGCAGGAAAGAGAGGAAAGAAAAATAATGTGCGCCGGAGGACGGTATATCCGACGACGACGTTAGCGCCGAGACTAATTGGATAATACAATTAACAGTGCCGCGGATCTCCTAATGGGTTGAAGCGAGGCCTGTTTTCCTATCCCGCCACCCGCCTTCCCTCCACCCTTCAGATAAGCCTAGGCTACCTTTGACTTTTTATCACACACAGTGGTGCACGCGCAAGTAAAATCCGTCGATTCTCGTCGTCGGTCGCGCGGAGTCCCGCGGAGCGCACCCGCGTGCGGTGCCGAAGTTTAATTTAATTAGCTCCAATAGGCACGTCGGATCCTCCTCGCCAGTGATTCATTCTCCTCCGGCTCGCCGCTTCTTCCACCGCCGTCGAGATCTCTCGTGCCGGTGCCGCCGCCGCCGCCGCCGCTCGCCCGTCGTCTTGAACGGAGGAATCCTCGGAGTCTTGGATTCTTTTCGTTTTTCACCCCGCAATCGTTGTTTTTCTGAAACATTCTTATCTTATCGCTGGTACATTCGTGTTTCACGAAAGTATCTCCTCTTAAAATGATCCCCCCTGCCTCCCGCGCGCGTTTCTTCTCGCGATTATACTTGATATTGACTGCTACTTTCGGTTGTGCTTTCATTTAAACCTCCGTCGTGTTTTTGTGTCTCCCGTGTATTGTACTTGTTGTTTGGCGTTTCCTAGGTACGTGGACTCCGCAGACAATGCAAAAATATTGTAATTAATTCCTGTGCGCCTGTTCATGCGAGATCTTATCTGTCAGGGTATAAAGCTCCAGTATAAAAATAGACGTTTATCTGGCGAATTAAATTTTCTGTAGTGTGCAATGATAATTGAAATTTATAAAACTTATGATATGTCACTTCTCTACATACAATGATAAAGCATATAAAGTTTTTTTATACATACCAAAAAAATCAATAAAAAATATTTGTTTTTATTACGTTGCAGAGTACATTTTCGCTAAATGCTTCTAAAAAAAAAACTTACTATTGCAACACATTATTATTGCTAGAATGATATACTAATTTTTCTGTTCTCTCTTTTTTTAATAATACTTAAATGTAATAGAAGATAGAAAGAAGATATCACTAGACATGCAATCTATATATTCTGCAACTTATTGTGAAATAGAAGAATGCTCCTCAATTACCCCATAAATATATCCTATGGTTAATAATATAGCTAGCAATATTGTTAAGAGTCAGTGAAATCGCAGTATTTCATTCAAGGTTGAGATTATTATTATTATATAATTAATTTTCTTTCCAGGTGATCATGGCGACTCGGGGTGCGGCCCAGAGGCCGAACGGATCGACACAAGGGAAAATTTGTCAGTTTAAACTAGTTTTACTCGGTGAATCGGCAGTTGGGAAATCGAGTCTTGTTTTAAGGTTTGTCAAAGGACAGTTTCACGAGTACCAGGAGAGTACGATTGGCGGTAAGAATATTTGCGATGCAATCGCTCTTTAATGCCATATTTTCTTCTTACATCTCTAATTGTATTGCCACTACCGCGAATATTATTATTATTTCCAGCTGCATTTCTAACGCAAACCGTATGTTTGGACGACACGACTGTAAAATTTGAAATCTGGGATACCGCGGGGCAAGAACGTTATCACAGTCTTGCACCGATGTATTATCGTGGCGCACAGGCAGCCATCGTCGTGTACGACATAACAAATCAGGTAGGTAGTTTCTCGTGTGAGTTTAATGGAGAAGAAGGTTTAGAACAAAAAGTCAACGAGAAAGAACAATAGAATTAATTGATACTTGTTATTTCACTAGGATACATTCTCGCGTGCCCAAACATGGGTGAAGGAATTGCAGCGCCAAGCCAGTCCGAGCATAGTAATAGCATTAGCTGGAAACAAGGCAGATTTGGCAAACAAGAGAGTCGTCGAGTACGATGAAGCTCAAACGTATGCGGACGAAAATGGCCTTCTTTTCATGGAAACATCTGCTAAGACGGCAATGAATGTCAACGACATATTCCTTGCAATTGGTGAGTTGTGCATACTTTTTGTTTCTCTCCCGTTTTAGAATTTAATTCTACATTACTCGCGGATAATTGCATAAAAATTGAGCTCTGAAAGTGACATTGGTATTTTCAATTCACATGAATATATAAATTTGTCCGTTCAGTTTCAAACTGTTTAAATTTCCTGTTTCATTTGATAATAAGTACGCAATCAGAAATGTTATCCCATCTTATATTACGTTATTATCACTAATTAAAATGCGTGGTAACTGCAATTTTATATCTGCTTGATAATACATTACGTTGAACGGTAAAAAGAAAACAAAATTCTAAAATGTGTCTGCAATTTTATAAAACAAACGTTGATATAATTTTACTACAGCGAGATAATTATTTTTACAGCTAAAAAGCTTCCTAAAAACGAACAGTCAGGAAGCGCAAGTACGAGTGGTCAAGGCCGTCGATTAGTCGAGTCAGATGGGCAAAAGGCAGCAACCGGCAATTGCTGCAAGTGATTATCTAAATCCGTATGTGTCTCACAATATATTCGTATCTATATATTTTTACATTATTTGAATATATATATATGTATATAATATATATATATATATATATCTTTAAAATTAATTGAAACGATGAGAGACATTATTCCACTGATGAGAGAAACCAGCAAATATTTGATATGCCTAAATGAATATGTTACGAATCAAATGTTCAGTGTAACGACATGTTCAGATATTTTTATAATATTAGAATATATAATGAAACGAAAGCGCGATCAAAAGAAGAACGGGGAAAACGGGAATATATCAATTTGATATTGCGTAGAGAGTAGTAGACGTTTGCACTTTAAAATGCTTTTAGCAGATTTTTTGTATTAGTACGTCATAATAATGGGATATCCGAGTAGTCATGCAGTTTCATAGAGTATATTATATTTCTTGTTATGTTTATGATATTTTTTATAGCGTATAATTCTCTCTTTCTCGACTTTTGCTGCCGCCTTTATATTTACTGAAATAGTAGATATATAAAGGCAGGCTGGAAATAGACAAGAAGGTAAAGAGCGCGGATTTGAAAGTAAGAGATCCAATATATATGACCATAAAATTTATAATTAATATGCAGGATATAAATGTAATTGTACCATTGCTGTATAATAGTTAGCTAAACATTCGACAGTTTCTTGTAATTAAAAGGTGGTTCACATAAATGTGTGTGTGAAGAGAAAACGATTCTAAATTTTACGATGTTTCCATGTTTCTCAGAGAATTTTTCTTTTTAACAGTATATTTGTTCAATAGATATACAAACTTCATCCAATATAATTGATCCCATATACACTTAAAATAATTCTTTAGCCAAAATCTTTTATTACTTTTAATCAGTTGTCAGATTGGAGGTTGTTTCACGGTGTCGTTGTTAATCGAACCTTTTAATAGCGAGTCTTTAATATTCTTTCAACGTATTTCTATTAGATTTAAATAGCATTTACATGTGACAGCTTTATTGAAGTCAGAATTTCATTGATTGCGAATAAAAATTATAATCTTGTAATTGTGATACATCCAAAAAGCATAATACTTCTTTTTTATTAGTTTGCTCGTTTTATTGTATATTCACCCGTGATTAATTTAAGTGTACTATTCACAAAATTTCGCGAAAAAGACGTTATTTAATATAAGGCATTAGATATTCCCTTAGGCACATTGTAGCGTGTTTACGTGACACTCTATATATGTTTTATAGATATTATAAATTTATAAAGGTTTCCTTTCTTCTCGGAGGACACTAATTTCTGACTGATAAAGGTGCTACAAGAATACATGTGCATGATTATCCATTGTGCAAGCTTGTGGAAATGTTTCTTGTAATTTACGCTAATGCTCCCTAATATTTCCTGTGCAATGATTCGTATCATTGGATTGTATATCTGAAATATTATTTTGTATTAATAATAATAATAATAATAATAGGTAAAGCTGTTTAAAATTGTTACGAAAAAAAGAAAGAAAGTTCTCAGGGTGCAATCCTCTTCACAATCTCTAATATTGTTGTATCCTAATTATATATTTATTCTTATTTCCGCTATGAAAATACGACTATCTAGATATATTCTGTTAAAAAGCCACAGGTAGGTTCTATTATTTCTGTATAGAGAAGATTTTAATATTTACCAGGCAAAAAAATAAAATAAAATAAAATGTTTTACAGTAGTTACAGTCTTGTGCATTGTAGATATTCAACAATTGTAATACAGTACATTATGGAATCATATATTGTGACTCATTATCCTTATCATTTATGTAAAGGAAATAAAAAAAGACGATCTTTTTGTATACGCTCGTAAGCTGTACATTTTGCATTACACTTGAAAATAATTAACAACGATACACACGCTACTTAAATAATTATATTTATTACCATTTTATTTCTACGGAGGAAATTATTTATTCCTCAAAGATTCTTGATTAAATTAGGTAAGTTGTGCAAGTAAATTGTTAATTTTCCGAGAAAGTTCACATCTCGACACAATTTTGTATCGTTGACCTGTAAAACTTTTAAATGAAACTTTGCTCGATGTTTACTTCCAATTATATTAATTAAATCTACGTTTATACATATTTAGAATAATATTGCAGTAGACGCGCTATCTATTTCTGATTACAGATATGTACTATAATCTACAAAGATAGGTGCACCACGAGTGTGCTACGATGAATTTGAGAAGAAGACACACACAACAGGGGAAAAATTACAGAGTGGGAAGTGAACTGTGTGGGACATTCGCAAACATTTTGCTCGAGTGATTGACTAAGAGTCTGCGTCTCAATGTAATCGACGATATATCATCTATTTTGAGTATCAGATCTATTAAGAGGTGGTAAAAGAAAAGCTCCCATTTGTAATTCTAGTAGTGTAATGGGCGGTGTTCGTTATAAATATATAAATATATATAAATACACATTATATATTATAAATCATATGGGTAAAAATATGATTTATATATGTAATAAGTATATATAAAAAAATGCTAATGATAATAAATAATAATATTAATAATAATAATTAATAAAAGTATAATACACCGTTAATATTACCGTAAAATACCGATAAAGTAACAGTACATTTAAAATATGCAACGTCTAATGAATTTTTGGCACGCGGAGATCTTGTAAGATAGGAGAGGCTATTCCTGCTGCTATTACTATGTATTTCCTTTCTTAGTTTGTAACACGTATAACAATTTCTTGCTCTAAAAATATATTGTATATTAATTTTATTGACAACTCATAATGAATTATAAATGATTACACGGCAAAAAGAATAAACTTGTGAATATTACGACGCCTCTTGATAATTGCCCATTTATTCGACCGGAACTCTGTAGAAAGTATAGATTTATACAGAAAATTAGATAATTTATTGTTTTTTTTTTAATATTAATTCTTTTGTTAATATGGACTTACTTATATATTCACTCGATACTTCACACAAATATTGATATGCTGTGTTTAATAAAGATACTACCAACATATCTATATAATCATTATGAAATACTGGTACATAGCATAGAAATGAATAACCCGTGTGTGTGACAGCGGGCCTGATAAAACGGAGACGGACGCGATAATAGATATAAAATTAGTCTCTATCCAAGAAGTGTATCATGCCGGATGATACGGGAATTTTATCTAGGAGAGTACATTCCGCGCCCGAGTTGAAAACCTATACAAATTATGACGATATATGCGGACCTTGGAAATTTGATAGTGTACCGTTGCATGGTCAATGCAATCATTTATCTTTTAAATTGATAACGTCCGAAGATATAACTTACATGAGAGAGCAAAGAGATCGAGAATCAATTTTGCAATTTCTTGGTAAAAATTTGAACTCTGATTAAAATTATTAGGATTACCAGTAATATAACTTTATAAGCAATAAATGTCTTGTAACTTATATTTTTATTACATTTCAAATCTGTCATAAATACGATAAATATATGTGCTATTTTTCCAGAGGAAAAGATTTTATCTAGTATACCGTACAAAAAGGAAAATAAAGAGATACTTGCAAAACTTCTATGGCAAACTTTTAGGTTTTTCAAGTAAAATATTTAACGCTTATTCATACCTTTAATTAGCTGGGATATTTTTGCTTCATGTCTGTTTTTTTTCCTACGACTTACGTATAATTAGAGCCAATGTAACTATTTTAGGAAGAACCAATTTACTGACCAACAAATTGCGACAATTATGAAATTAATGCTTTTAACTCACAGTTTTTATCTTGCAAACTATTGGAACACAGTTGAAGAAACGTATAAATATTTTTTTGAACGTGTTCTTGAATGTACCGTTATGGTAATTATTTTAATCGAGCATTTTAATTACATACATTAATTTCGTATCGATTATATTTATCTTCCATATTTAAAAAAAAATCCTAGGATCCACCAAAATGCGCAGAAATATTTACGTCGGATCAAGCTGAAATGGTGCTTGAATTTTTTCGCGAAACATATTTGGAAAATATCGTATTATTGCACCTCGTTTGTACGACTCACCACTGTATTGTCATGCGATTTGACGACGGAAATGAATGAACGATGATATGCTCGCACACGTTACACAAGAAACGTCTGTTTATTTAAAAAAAAAAGGGATACATTAGATTAATATATATGTATATATACGTATAAAATTACATCTACATAAAAGAAAACGCAGCACAAACTAACGTAAATCGCGTTACAAATTACTACGTTCCGTATATTCAAACGTTAAAACTTTTGCTTCATATTACTTCTTCAGTCTTTAACAAAATAAATCCCCTCTCTTCCTTCATTTGCTTGTAGAAGAGGACTGATAACCGTAGTCACGGTTCTCTTCCAGCGAAGTATCGGATTCCGTTCCGTTCTTAAAATTTTCATTCCACCACCGATTATTTTTACGAACCTCATTTATTAAATGTTCCATCTTGGGAAACCACCACGAATTGCCACACGTTGATGTACGTCGACCAATCTTGCTTGGTTTCGTTGAATATTTCTAGACACAAGCACGAAGCAAATATATAAATATCAAGCGACGCTGAGAGTTTCTTTTTTTGTTTTTAACAAAATGTACTAACCTTGCGCAAATCTGTACAGTTTAAGTTCGAAATTAGATCTGTGTCCGTAGTCTGATGCGCTGCAACTGATGGTGACATATAACCGTTTACGTGCGCTTTCCTAAAACCTCTGCCAGTTAACTTGTGCGTTCTTTTCAATTTCTGCGCCAATAAATTAATTCGTTTCATTTTCCTGATTTTAATTAATAGCGCTCTAAAAACAAATTTTATTTAAATAAATAGATATACACATCGAAAAAAAGGAAAGCGCTCTTGATTTTTAGATAATTACGAAAGACACATTTCGAATTATTATATGTACTTACTTTTTCTCGAACACAAGCTGCATTAGAAGCTGTTGCTTATTTTCCAGATTTTCTGCTAGAGTTCTATTGTATTTCTTCTGCTGCTCCATACAGTTGCGGATGCACGAGACTATGTATTGAGATTCTTTGCAGAGTTCTGATCTGCTCATTGCTGTTTCCGTTAAATCAGCTGACATGCATGTTAGAGATCGGTCCTTCAAGTGACATTCCTTTTTCAACTCGAGCCAAGATTTGCGCATGTCTTCCAACTAATGAACATAATAACGTGGATAATAAGTAAATATAATTCGAATAGAAAAAAATTATATCTACTGATTATGATTATGCATTAGAGATGAATTAAGAAAATATTCAAATCAATATCCTTTATTCGAGCGACAGAAAAAAAAGTATCGTACCTCAGTTATGTATGTAGAATTATTTCGTTCCAGTGAAATTTTCTGTTGGTCAAGACGGTAATTCTCTTTCATGTATTCCTGCAACTGTTGAATCAAGTCAAGATTTACGTTTTCGGCTTTCATTAACTCCTCTTTTTCTCTCTCAAGCTGAAAATATCAAATCAAAGATTTATTTTACCCATTTACTTCATATGAGATTATTAGATAATATATAAGCATACATCTTGGCGCATGGTATTCAAATGATCAGCATAATGCTTGCATTTCTCTTGCGATTGGCCAAGTGCGATATCTTTCGATTCCAACGTTCTTCTGGTCTCTTCCAATTCCTCGCTCAGTTTGTCCACTAAATCACGAAGACGGATAGCTTCATTTTCCACTTCTACAATCTTAGAACGATAATCCCTTTCCTAAATGAGACAATCACAATTTTGATAAATAATTTAGCAAGCATATATTTCTAAGACAATAAAACCTGTTTCATAATAAAGCATTACCATAATCGTTAACAATTTTTGCGCATCAGTTTCTCGTTTTGTTGCGGACATTAGTTGTTTTTGGACTTTATTGAAGTCTTCAGTCAGCTGGCGATAACTGTCTTCTGTCTGACGCAATTTTATGCGTGCCTCTTTCAGCTAAATAAAAAATTCAAAGTAGTAAAATATTAATCTTTTTTATAACAAAAATATAAGCTTGTTACATGCGTGTTGTGTGTACATTACCCTTTCTTTCAACTGTAAGATATCTTCTTTAGTTCGAGCTTCAGTGATGTCATTCTGATTCTTTAATATAGAGTTTTCATTCTAGAACAGATGTGATTGATATCTCAATAGATGTAAATCGTTTCCTATTATTAGTTTCCTAGTATTAGACGTCGATACAATTATTTACGTACCTTAAGCAATTCGTAATCCGCTTGCAATTTGATCATGTTGTCCGATACCTTTTGCAGTAGAATTTTCAAAGAGTATATTCGATCACACAGAACAGTCAGCATTTCGTGCTCCGATACATTCAGTTCGGACAAATTTTCCGTTTCTGGATCATTCATGAACCTTTTCCGAAGCTTTTCAAGTTCCTGAGATTGATGTCTGACAATTTCTTCGCTACTGATGATTCGATCGTTTAAGGTATTGATCTACAAATTTTTAATCAATTCACTTTCTTTGAAAAACCGATATACAAGTTTTGATATTATAAAAATAAGGGAATAATTAAAAAAAAATAATGAAAAAGTGTAGACATGATTACCTCTTTTTTTCCATCTTCTAGTTTTAAAAAAAGTTCCTTATATTCAGTTGCCTTCTGCTCTAGTTTCTTCAACAGACTGTCAGTATCTGATACGTGATGCTGCAAATTGGTTTTAAGTTGCTGATTTTCGCATCTCAAATCGCACTCGGCATCTTTCACCTTTCGCAATTCTGTTTTTAATTGTTGTATCTGAGCGATGTTTTTTATCTCCGTTTCTTTCGCTAAAATTTCAATTGACTTGCATTTGTAAATTCGTAAGGTAAAATCGTAAATTTGTAAGGTAAAATTAAAGCTTTTAGAGAAAAATACATTCTCTAAAAGCTTTAATTTTACCTTATACGCGATAAATTACCTGAACATTCTTCCATTCCGTACGTATTGCTATTTGAGCAGTACTCCAAATCTCGAGTATCACAATTTTTGTCTTCATATATCGGACACGATTTGTTTATGCATTTGCTTTTGGAGTAATTCTTCGTCTCTACAAAACTATCCATCTGTAACAAAATTCGATATACATACAAAGAAGCAGAAATATCATTGTAGAATATAAATATTTTTAATAATTTACCTTCCATTTCAGTTCTCGGAAATCCTTTACATAGTCATGTATTTGCTTCTGAAAAGATTCAAATAATGTTATAAATAAAAAATTCATAAAAGATCCGTTTTATAAAAGAGCATAATTTTTTAAATTATTCGTTAACAATTATTTTAGAAAACACAACACTTGTTGACATGCAAATTTCTTTATTAAAAATACATAAGATTTCTCACATTATGTCGATCATTATAAAATTGTAGATTATTCAAAAATCTATATACCATACCTGTACTCCGCTTAAAATTGAATAATATATTGCGTGTAACGTGATAGCGATTAAATGTTTATCATACTCCAGACAACGAATCCTTTTATGCAGACTTTCAATAGCATCTCGTTGCAAGTCCAACAGCATGTCCTGATTAGTTGCCTTTGCGTATAAAAAAATATAGATTAATCAAGAAATAATTTCTTAATATAAATAATTTCTATTTACCTCTGTAAAACAATCGTTATATTGATCTTGCGTCACATCGATGCGCATCGTTAATTCACGTATAGTTTCATCCTTCTTGGAAAGCTGTAAAGATACTTACAATGCATTCTCCGTACAATCCGCTTTTTTTTTTAAGTTAAGGAACAGAGGACACTCACGCAAAATCGGTAGTTCATTCATCGTGTTATTTTGTTAACTGCAAAATGCAACAGCTAAAATTTGATCATCTAGGACACTTGTTAATCCAGACAGCATGTTGTACATGCCACAATCTCTTGTCGTTCCGTGAACAAGATATTCGAATACAGTATCACAAAAGCTTTAAATGTTTTAATTAAACGAGCACACGCCATGCATGGCACTCATATTTCATCGCGTTCGCAATCGTCACAACGTAAAGACATTAAAGGCGAAGAGAAATGTGATAGTCCGCATATTCGAGAGTCACAATTTTTAATAAGCATTTATAATATCGACAATATTTACAATTATAATAAATATATGTGACCGCAAAAACTATATGGCAATTTAGTCTATTTATAATTCATATTTAAACATCATGCACGTTTCTATGACTAAAGGCTGAAGACGATATCGCTGGCCTCAGCTCACTCACATCACTGATCGTTTTATGGGCCATCTGATCCAAATTTCGCTTAGCTTCAACAACGGCATCTTGTAAGTGTCCGATAGTTTGTATTTGAAGTTCATTCTGCAACGCATCGTACGATGTTAGAAAGTATCTCTTACCATAGCTAAGCACGATAGCGCAAAAAAAAAAGGACAAACCTGCTTCAGCAATTCGTTCTTTTCTCTCTCATATTGTGCGATTGTAAGGCCTTGTTTATCTATCTGTAAAAAGATTTCTTTTTATATTCCAACACCATACATACCTCCAAATTTCATTCTTGACAAGACGGTAGAATTTCTGTGCTTGCATTTTAATTAACATGCCGTTTAATGCACAAAATACATTGAAAAGCATAAATAATTTCAACAATTGAAAGTTCTTAATTAAAAAAAAAACGCGAGTATTGTACTTTCAATCCAAAAAACTCATGTAGTAACATCTCTTCTGCTTATCGCTTAAAATATACACAAAACAATTTACCTTTTCTTGCAGCTTTTGATACAAATCTTTTACTTCCGCTTGGCTCATTGATAACGAGTGCCGTTGTATCCGTACGACTTCCTCCATATTTTCTAACTAAAATGATTTTGATTCTTTAATTTACATTCAATTATATAATATGTAATGCTTTCAAATGTATTTATCCATAAGAAAAGATTTAATTTTGTTCAGAAACAAAATATAAATGTTTATGTGTACTATTTTACATTATTTACGGACATATATAATTTTGTCACATATCAATAATAACAGGTATAACTTACAAGTTTTTCTTTCGAATATACAGCACTTTTAAGTTTGTTCAATTCGTGAGAGCAAGCATCCAATTTATCTCTACATTTTCCTAACGAGTCGGTCAGTGCCACAGCAGATTTTGCCGAAACGGAGGAGAGAGATGATTCTTCGCGTATCTGTAAATAGATATAATATTGTAATAGATTATAACAGTCTCTGTAGCGATACCTGATATTAATACGATAGTGAAAAGATACAAACCAATTTTTTAAGTTCACTCTCAAAGTCTTGTACCGCCACTTTTGCAGATTGCACAGCGTCTTGTACAATTTTGAACAAGTGAGATATATTCTGGAACAAGTACAAAAGACATTGTTACTATTATTATCTTGTAAAGAAGAATTAATATACACAAGCAAAATGTATATTTCATTATTATCATGAAATCTTCACATCTCCATAAGTGTCTCGTAAATAGCGTTTAATTTTATATACATATATAGTTTCAATAGTTACCTCATGTTTGGATGGATAATCGCAACGCAAAAGTGTTGCTTCTGTGCCGCACTCGGTATGCTTTGGAATAAAAATGGAAAAATTTTTAATAAAGAAAAAGGAAATGTACAAACATGTATTTGTATGATTAGAAAATTACTCACGAAAGTATTTGAGATTTCTGTAGATTTTTTAATGTTTGATACATTATTTAAATTTTTTCTAAGATCATTCTCCACTTCTTTCTGCGTTTTGATCTAAAGCCCAGAATTCTGAGGTCAGTGTCGATCTTAATGATGATTTTAAGACGTAGAAAAAAATTAATGCTTACAATATTTTCTAGTTCTATTATCTTCTTTCTCAGTTCCATGTTATCCTTGCTGTGACTTTGTCTATAATTTTCTGCCTTTGTTCGTGCAGCAATCAGTTCCTTCTCCATAGATTGAATATTGTTCTTTAAAAAATTAATTGCTTCTTGTTTGCATTTTGCCTGTTACAGAGAAACGTTGTATAGCTCAGAATTGAAGATAAGTTCTTCTATTTAACTAAATGATGTTTACCTCATGTTGCAACATTCTAATTTGGTCTTCCAAATCAATTACACGATTTTTCCACTTATTCAGTCTTTCATCATATTTCAATTGACACGTTTGCTATAAACATATACATATATATATATATTGCATATAAGTTTATCAATAAATAATTTACATGTGAGTTGTTACAAATAGTTTATTTGTTAAATATAGTTTGTTTTTATAATAAAAAGTAAATTAAAAACTCATACATTTAATTACCTGAATCATATCGAGTTTTAGATCATCGTATTCCTTTCTTAATTTATGTAAATCTTCTTTCGTTTTTATTATGTCATTTATTTCCTGTAACGCATACGTAGATATATTGTAGATACGTGAATTAAAAAATGAAAAAGCATCTATGCAATATATATACTTGTTTTAATACCTGATTATCATAAGTGTTATGAGAAAACTGCTCCTGTAAAACAATATATTTATTAAATTAATTATTTTAATCTATATATTATTTGTATTTATACTAGATTGAGCAAAAGACTCGTTTGTTCCTCTTTATTATGTAAGTAAAAAGTCGTCCTACGTCAATAAAGAATTTAATTTTAAATATAAACAAAATTCAAAGCGGTTTGATAAAACTTTAAAATATAAAAAAAATTATTTAAATTAATAAGTTAATAACTTAAAATTTTAATGTTAATTACGTAAGAAAATTTTATTTCTTCCAAAAAATTCTAATAAAATTTTTAAAATCTTTTTTAGTCGGTCATTTACAGAAAGTCTTTTTAATCAATCTAATATACATATACATATAAAAATTGCAAACAACAACCTTTTCTTCCTGTTTTGTGGAAAGAAACGTTTCCAATACATCTTGCATTTTTGTATGAGCACAATCGACTTCTTCTTCGTATTTAGCCAATCTGCTTTCCCTTTCACAGAACGTCGTTTTTGCGACTTCGTTGTTTAATAGCTGCATAGATAATTGTTCATTAGAAATATATGAGATACTATTTTATATAATATATATGTTTTCCTAAGATACTTACCACTTCACCGGTTTTTTTCTGTAAATCCTTTAAAGAACCATCTATAGTGCACAGCTGACTTCTTAATCCTTTTAGTATTGACGTCACACAGCCACCCTAAAAAAAAAAAAAAACAGTATTTATGTAATACGTATGCCGTTAAGTTGGAAGCGAAACTATTTTTCTTCTGCTTTCTTTCTGAACCAACCTGAGTTTGGAATAATTGCAAATTAGTCAATATTTGTTCAACTTCTTCCATTACCACACTTAGTAAATCATTGTTGATACACGCTTCTGTATATTCTGATTCATTATATTCCTAAAATTTATTTCATACTTCAATTATGACGAAAAACAATTGGATAGTGTTTATAAAATAGTTATTCAATAAAGTTCCGAACCTGTATATTCCCCTGCATACCATTAATGCAACGAGACAATTCTGATTGAGCATGATTAATTTCATTTTTTATATCCTTCAGTTTAAGATTGCCATTCACAATTCTTTCGCTGTGCCTCAGTCTCTCCTCCTCCTGATAAGAGATATTTTTCGATAGTAAATTGCAATGATAAAATTGTAATCATTTTATACTATAATATAACAGTTCAAATACGGAACTGTATTTCAATGATATAATCATTCAAGAGAGGCATACGTTTTGATATATATTATATATAAATATTACTTGTAATTCTAGTCTGTTGATCGCTTCTATTAGGCCTTCTCGCGTTCTTGCCAAGTAACTTTGTACATTAGTAACCATCTTGCTTAATTCTTCGTACTGAAAATGTATTAAATTAACATCAATCGCTAATTGTATCACGAACACTTATGTTAGTCTATTTATTGGCTCAGACGTACATTCTGGTGTCGTGAATTAAATGCCGAAACAACGGTGCTTATCTCCTCGCGAATGTCTTCTGTTGCTGCTTGAGCTTCCACGGTGCACACTCTAAATTCTTCCATCAATCTGAATTGCCGTGCGCTGTTTACGTTTGACTGGAAGAAGTCACATTAATTAATATTACAATATAATACACGATAAAAATAAAACATTAAAAAATTAAAAGCAAACATACCTTTTTAGAATGTGAAGTATCTATTGAAGGCAGAGGACATTCCTAGACAGACAAAGAAACAAAATATTATTATACACAATATGTTTTAACATAATATTATGTTATATATGTTTAAACATTTTTTATTTGACTAACCTCCGGAGAAATATTCGTATCAATGTGAAATTTTCGAGAACTCCTATCCTGAAATAATGTAGAAAGAATAAATATATAACAGTAAAAAAACTAACTTTGGAATATATATATATATATATATGTTACCGTCAAAACCTATAATTAGTTAAAATCCGAATCACTAGTTAAAACTAGAATGGTTGATTAGACGTAAAATCGAAAATGGATAGTGCAATTATAGACCTCGTTTCAACTAAATTAAAAACTAGTAATTAGTGAAATTGGATTAATTTTAACGATTATGGATTTTGACGGTAACATATATACATAAAATTATTATATAATATTTGATTGATGTTCATGTTTGAAATGACTATGTTAATTTTATAAGTGAGGCAATCATGTTGATTTACATATTCTTGTTTTTCACAGATATTGTATATAAAACCAATTCACTAGATTATTTTAACACATTAATAATATAATATATAAAAATTGTTGATCATAAATTGCATACAAATTCGTGAGTGCATAAATTTATTTATTAAGAATCTAAATATCTAACAATTTATTAATTTAAAAGGACATATTTTATTATCGATCTCATTTTATACAGACTTTAGAAAGGAAATAATGATCGAGATATAGAAATTTGTGTTTACCTTGTTTCGCACATTTGATTTTAAAAAATTCTTATTAGAAAATGTCAATTTTCGTTAAAAAACATTTAATTTTGTAAGATGTCTTGATGCAAAAATATAAATTCACTTCAATTTATTTCATATCATTTCAAGATTCAATCATTAATGCTATCTTGAATATGTGATGCGGAATAAACATAAGTGTCTGGTGTAACTCGATCTAAATTATTATCTTTACACGGAGGTGACAATTTTCTAGCAGTCTGAAGAATTCTTTTGTCAATATTCTTTATGTATTTATATCGACCAGCTTGAATATCTACGTGAGATCGAGACTGGCTCTGTAGATTAAGCAATCTATTTTGCAACTTTGTATTAATCGTTGATAAATTTCGTTTGCCACAATTTAATATTGCCCCAGAATCGTCGTGCGAAAATGTAAAATCGTTCTTTCGCTGGGTGGATGTATGTAGGAGGCTTGATACTGGAAATTGCTCAGGGGACTCATGGGATTTCATCTTAGTGATACGATTGTTAGAATTATGCTTGCGAGAACGGAAGGCAGGTAGGGTCTTCTAGAAATGTAGAAAATGTAAGTTTATGCATTCAAAACTTCACAGACAAGCGTCGTACCTCTAAAGTTGTTTGCTTCAGTTCTTTGCGCATCTCTTTAATCAAGTCGTCCTTCAAAAGGTTACCCATATTAGCATGATAATTTTGTTTTTCCAGTGCCACGATCTCCGCCGTCAGTGTATCCTTTGTTTCTGCAGCTCCCTGAAACCAATAAAATATATGTAAAAATGACAGATTATATATATATATATATATAATTTTAAAAAATTAAAATAAGATACATCGTTTAAATGGTAAATAAAATATTAATAACATTAATTTACACACAAAATATTTTTAAATATAATAAACCAACTTTTTCGAGGCGAGCCACTTTGTCCTCGAGTTGCTGTACTTTTTTACATTTTTCTTCCAATTGTAGCTGTAGATTAATTGTGTCAACATTGTTTTCGTAAGTATACACCATAAGCTTGGATTCAACATCCTGGAGTTGCCGATATAAGCTCTTGTTTTCCCTATCTTTCGCATCTAGTACACTTTCCAGAATGTCAGGTGTTAAGATAATCTGAACACAGCAACATAGATTTTAAAAGACTCTTTTGATTACCAATAATGACACGCGAATTATATCTTATCTCTTGCTTGTAAAGTGTAAAGTTTTAACGTGTAACTAGCGTGTAAAAGCAACTATTACAATGTAACAAAGTAGTTCTTTGTTCTAATTTTTATATATGCTACAACATGATTGCCTCTAAATTAATTACAAGAATTAAAAACTAATACAAAAACTCATTAAAATAAATTTTTATTTGCGCAATAATTATGAAAAATACACTTACATTAAAATCTTGATCAGAAGTCATTGGGTAATTAATAACTTGATTCGTTTGTTTAGCATGTTCCTTGAGCTTCTCGCAAAAGGACTGAAGTCTAGAAACGTATTTTTTTATAGTATCATCCTTTACTGACAATTCTGTTGTAAGATTCGCTAATTTTCCTTCCAATTCCAATTGAGATCTGGAAAATGTATGTTATTATATTTATATGTATTTATTTAGTATTTATATGTCCATGCAAAGATATATATATATATATATATATATATATATATAAATATATATATAAAATATATAAAATTTTAAAAAAGAAAGACAAAAAATCTAAAAATATAATAGAATTACATTGTTTTAATATAAATATATGAAGATTCGAAGCAGAGATAATAATTACATTATATATATTTTAAAAAATAATAAAGATTTTAAATAATAATTAAAATTTTTGCACATATCTTACCTGATCATTTTTCTTTCATTTTCCTGATGTTGTTCTATTTGCAGATTCAAGGATTTTATGTGGTCAGTATCAGTCTGCTCCTGATTTAAAGACATATAGTTGAGTGTAGTACCGCGAAATATTAATATACTTAATAATAATAATAATTTTTTTGAAAAACATAGTACTCCGTCAAATGGGACTATTAGCAGTTTATTCAACGAATATATGCGTATATGTGTGTATATGATAATAATTCAATTTAATAAAGGTGTAGGGAGTTAAGAAAAACTTTCTGGCTCGTATGGTGAACACATGGTATAGTATATGTTTTTGCTTAATAACTCAATATTTGAAATTGTCATGCTCTATATCCAGAACAAATCGAAGCTTTTTGGCTGCGTTTATGCACATATTTACCTGACTGCAGAGACAGCTGTAACAGCAAAACAAATTTCGTTATTAAACATTTTGCAAAAAGGGCATAAAAAATATATATTAATTGATAACACGATGAACTCTTACTCTGGAACCGGTATGTCCTCTGGCTGAATCTCGAAGAACGTGATACCCTCGAGACTCCAAACGTTCTGCCGGCGCGCGCGACGAATCACCTCCAATAATCCCCTTATGTCGCTCTGCAGATACTCTATTTTTTGTTGAAGGTACTCCTCATCCTTTTCCAACTGACTGACGCGATTTGAAAGGGTATTCAAAGTCTGTAACACAAAGGAGTTTACGTCTTGATTTCATCATAAGATGTTACTGAACAAAAATAAATGATTTTGCCTCTCTTGCCTTCTCCGAATTGTCGGATCTTAAATTATCCACGACCATCTGCGACGATTGTTTCAGCTTCTCCTCTAGTAATTTAACTCTGCTACACGCAGCCTGCTCCAAATCCTCCACCGTATGCACCAACATCATATTTTGCTCCCCTAAATCCTTAATCCAGTCGCTCATCACTTGCAACTTCATCTGCAAAGTGATTTTTTGATAACGCAAATTTCTCAAATGTAAATAAAACAATAGTTACTAAGCCGCAATTTCCAAAGATTGGAAAAATCACGTATAAAGAGACGCCGACAGAACTGACAATAAAACGCAAACTAAATGTATAAAAATAACAAGGGCTTACGGAGACCCGATCGGACTCGCCGCCGGGCTCCCGATCGATCTTCTCGATGCGGCTCTCGTACAGCTTGCGGAACTCATCGAGGATACGTAGGCCTTCGGTCTCGCCGCACGGCTCGCCGCCCGTGTCCACGTCGGTCGCCGCACGGCAGTCCTGGTCCCGCTTAACCAACGTCGAGACGTCACTCACGTCCGTGGTGCTCGGCAGACTGGCGCTGACCGAGTGCATCGCGACGTCCCGATCGCGAGCGCGATCCCGAGCGATCGCCGGACTGACGGATTTGAGGTCTCCCTACACCTGCGGGGTTCCCGACGAGAACCTTGGACTGCTTGGACAGCTGCGAGCTACAATGTCAACACACTATCTCGCCATTTTAGTGTGACAGTGACGTCGCACGGGATAAGCGGAGACGGAAAGTGGGGGGGGGGGAACCACGAGTGACAAGCGCAACGAGAGGGCTGCACCAACGTTAAAAAGCGGAGCATTCATTAATAAATCAATTTCTGATTGGCGAGCGCATGTGCGTGTCCACATGAAAACATCCTTTTCTTACGTCAAATCTACATTAAAAAAAAAAGAAGAAAAACCATACATGGTATTAATAATAAATAAAAATAGATTAATTAGACTAAGGGCAATCGGGAATCGTATAATTAGAAATTCTGCTTTAGATATAATTAATTTTGCTCCGGGCGCGTTCGCATCTCCCAAGACGGTGCGCGATCGTGGTGCAGGCTGGGGGGGACTGGGGAGGCGCGGGCGCAGGGATCGGAGTATTCGGAGGAGTCGCGCAGTTCGTCGAAAGAGCGCGTTCGCGGAACGTCCGAGGTGCGGGAGCCGGATAGACGCGCGAGCGACGAGGATGGGATTGCTGTGCGGCGACAATGAGTCGCGCTGCTGCGAGTCGCGACCGCGGCCGACCGCGTAGCTCGGGTGCGATCGTACAGCCGGAAGCAGAATCGGCCGGCGTGAACGCGGCACCGAGGCGTTGCCACCTCGTTCTCTGACGATCGCGGGACGACCGCCTCTTGCCGTCCTCCCCGAGAAGGAGAGAGAGAGAGAGAGAGAGAGAGAGAGAGAGAGAGAGAGAGAGAGAGAAAGCGCGACAGAGAGGAAGGGAGAGTGGGAGGGGAAGGAAGGAGAAAGAGAGGGTGAGAAAGAGGGAGCCCTCCGCCTGGCGGAGACCGAGGAGCGCGAGGAGGTCCCCGTCGCGCGCGAGCTGCTTTTTTTGGCGAGCGTCGCCGACATGAGCCAGACGAGCCGCGGGCGAGCGAGTCGCGTCACCAGTCGCACGAACGGCCCCGTCAGCTGATCGTTTATCGCACAACGAAATGTGAGGTGTAGCGAGCGTGTTACCTACTACCTGTCTACCTACCTACCTGTCTACCTACCTACCTACCTACCCACCTGCCTACCTACCTAACGTCAAGCCACCAGAACCGTGTCGCGTACTCGCTCTCGCGCATCCGCCGCGGCCGCTCCGCGTGCAAACTGTGTGAGACTGCAAGCGTGACCCCGCGCGCGCCAAGTGCTGACGGGCGGGAAGGCGCGCACACACACCTGGGCGCATACTCTCTGGCACCGGTTTTTAGAGTTTACATGGGAACATGGGGAACAAGAATAGCTGTTGCGTCTACTCCAGTCCACAGGTCGGGCGCAAGGAGGTCGGGCCCGAGTGCGCCACGCGCAACCTGGAGGAGCACCTGCCCGAGGGTGGGATTAGCGTTAATAATTTGCAACATATCAGTGAACGCGAGCCGGAGGACTGGGACTCCGATCCGTCGTTGCACCCGTGCGCTGGCACTATCTTCATGGAGCGCTCCAAGCAAGCTATCGAGAGTGGGTATATCACCCTGGAGTCCTGGTTGGCCCGGGAGAAGGCCGGTCCGTGGCGACGGATGCGCATTTGATCGTCCACCCACCTGGGTCTTCTCTTTTCTAGATGGCATGGTGAGGAAGAAGAGCCAACATCAAATAGCGGACACAAGGCCTTTGAAGAAGAGTAGCAGCTGCAGTACAATATATTTAGACGACAGCACGGTTTCACAACCTAACTTGAAAAATACCGTCAAATGCGTTGCCTTAGCCGTTTATTACCATATTAAGAATAGAACGTCGCAGCGACAGATCGACATATTTGATGAGAAACTGCATCCGTTAACGGTAATAATGTCAAAGAGATTCGGACGTGTGCATTTAGCCGCCTCTGTAGAGCGGTGATCTATTTCTATGTTTTTGTGTACAGTTGTAGAAAAAGTCTTGAGATTTATCTAATCTGTATTAATCATGCGATTGGTATTAAATGAGTAAAAAATAGAAGATACGAAAAATCTAGAGAATGTACAGCTGTGGACATGTCGATTGCGACACTTTTTTTTCACAGGTTTTTAGAATATATTTAATATGTACAATATATATTTTATAGGTGACTAATATTTTGCAAATGCGACGATGTACTTATCTTTAGACTAGTCTAGAGACAGTACACCAATCGTGGTTCGCATTTGCAAAATATTAGTACGTTTTGAAGCCTATTAAAAAAAAAGTGTCGCAACCGATATGTCCACGACTGCACATTCTCTAGATTTTCGTATCTCCTATTTTTTTTTTACTCATTTAATACCAACCGCACGATTGATATACAGATAAACCTTGAGACTTTTTCTTGCGCAATACGTTAAGTGAGGGCAACGCTTGAGTAAATCTATCCTTTCAGAGGGACGGTGTTTCGGAGGATTACGACAAGCATAATCCGGAGCACAAGCAGATATACAAATTTATAAGGACGCTGTTCAACGCCGCTCAGCTCACCGCTGAATGTGCCATCATAACGTTGGTTTACCTTGAACGCCTACTTACTTACGCAGAAATAGACATAACGCCGGCTAACTGGAAGCGCATAGTGCTGGGAGCTATTTTGTTGGCGTCCAAAGTTTGGGACGATCAGGCGGTGTGGAACGTGGACTACTGTCAAATACTGAAGGACATCACGGTGGAAGACATGTAAGTCTCTCTCTTCTCAAATTGCACTTGGCAATCATTGTACGCGTCCGCTTTTCGCGAAGATTAAAAACAATCGTGTAACTTCTAACCAGGAACGAATTGGAGAGGCAATTTCTGGAGATGCTGCAATTTAACATAAATGTTCCTTCGAGTGTATATGCCAAATACTACTTTGATCTTCGTACACTCGCGGAAGCGAACGAATTGACATTCCCGAGCGAGCCGCTTAGCAAGGAGAAGGCGCAGAAGCTGGAGGCGATGTCCAGGGTTTACGAGGACAAGGTCACGGCCGAGGCTCTACGTACCGGTATTAAAAAGTGGTCCAGCTTAGACAATGTGTGCATAGGCGGACCTAGGCGTAGCATCGCTATTTTATCTTAAAACATACGTATGGATGTAAAACACGGATGTTAAAACACGAAAGGGGCGTGTGGGTGCACTGCTCAGATTTTAAATGGAGGTACGTGAAAAAGGGAAGAAATTTGTAGAGACGTTCGTTGTTACCGATCGATTTTAATGATTTTTGAAAGAGAGATCGTTTGGATTCTACCAAACGCTTGTGTTACATCTCCGTTATTGATTATTGATGGGATATATTCGATGTATTGTATACATCTCTCTCTCTCTCTCTCTCGCGGCAAACCGTTTTTACATAGTGTCCAAACTAGATGTAAAAATATCGCATGTACCGTACCGTACCGTGCGGCTAAGTTGTACCATAACGGAAGAATTTCCATTGTTTGCAATAACAATCTTTAATCATTATATATATATATACTCTAAAAATTTAGACGTTTCTCAATTCAGTTATAATTTCCAATAATACAATATTTGCATTCTTGTTATCTGTACTAAAGAATCGTGAGGCGCGTCGATAGAGAAAAAGATTTTAGATTGGTCTTTGTTCTAAGATACATTTCCTAAACCACTTTGATTTTGCTCGTGTTGTATCACGCTAAAATTACTTAAAAAAAAAAAGAAAGATTTAAATATTAATCTTATTTATCAATAAATATCAATCACGTTTCTGTTAATTGTGCAAAGATTCTACTGTCTGGGACCTTATAATGTGGATATATAACAAAGCATACGAGAATGTGAGGCGTATTGACGAAAAACAAAAGGGTGAGAAAGGAAAAAGTTTTTAGTCGTAGCATTATCTGTACTGTCCTTATAGGAGAAAATAACTTGTGATATATATTAGTCAACTATTCATTATCCAAAGCATTTTATATATTGACTGAATTTAATAAGAATCAAACTTACGGCTGATTTACTAATAATATTCTAAAAGATGAAGATATATGCAGCATGCTTCAAATTAAAGATCATTGATATTTGTTAATAAAACGCTATGTAATTTATCGAGATAATCCAATTAGAAATTTGCAAGCTATAATGCATGTCGCCTTGATATTTGATCGAAATTATACTTTTAAGTGTATTAATATATTTCTTTTTGATTTGCTTCTATTTTCTCACTGTCGTGTACATCGAAAAATTATTACATGAGAAAGAAATTATCATGGATTTAGAGAATTAAGATTATACTCTTTTTTTTTAATACATATTATATTTCTATGTACTTTTTTTCTGATATATTTCTGTAATGTCAGCACACACCATTGTTTGTTTTCATTTTACTTTGATTTAGAATTATTAACATTATTATTAGTACAATTTGCTTTAATCAACAAATGTATAGCGTAATAATAATTTGTTAAAAAAATTTTTGACACTTTAATTAAATATATCGGATTTGATAGGTGATTTACGTACTTTGAATGATAGTACATAGCAAGAGAACACCATTTACAATAAGTATACTATAATAGCGTTAAATATTAGCAAATCAGCCTTTATAGCTTATTAAGAATGAAAAGGCACGGATAAATTAGTCTGAATAATTGCTTTTATATGGCGCTACTTCCATGGATTTATAACTTTAGATAATGCGCGAGATAAGGATAAGCCATGATATCAGGGTTTACATCTTTTTTTCTCTTATAAGATTACTCAGTCTGACAAGGTTATTCACATTATTAAATGATGGAATTTCATTTGTAATCAATCTATTCTGTCAGGATTATTGGAAAGAGAGTTAACTTGATGATATTATATAAGTCCACGTTTCGTTTGTTCTTTTCATAATGCAATACGCATTACTTTTAGATGCTTTACAGGTGTTGAATAAACATTCAACAGTCTTTTTAATGTAATAAAGAAATCGCGAACATCACACATTTCTATGGCCGTAAAAAACTGCTGTAAAGTATTTAATTCTGACAGCTACGTAAAATATTCATTTCTACGTAAAGCATGCAATTAAATCTTCCAAAGATCATCGAGGAACACGCTCACTAAAGAAGGGAAAGGAAACTTAGAAGTTGTATCATATTCACATTTTACTGTATGACAAGGTGAAATTGGAATACCATTAAAGTACCATTAATATAATATAATCGTGTATCATACGTGCTACTAATTGTGTACGATATAATTTAATATTTTGTACCTACCGGTTAGAACTTTAAATATTAAGATAAGTCTTACATTGTATGACTGTCGTTACGTCTGTAAGAATTAAAGTGTAATCTGAGAGTTCCGTTGGATTTTCAGAACGCCGTTGACGGAGGAGGAATAATTACGATTTATTATTATTTTTATATTTTATTACATGAAAGTCAGAGTGTTGAAACGGTCGAATTTATAATAAGAGCGGCTGTAAAGTCCAATTGTACGTGGGGGGAGTAAACGAAATGTGACGTGCGTGTGTCTCGGCTTTTGACGCATTGTACAGCTATATGCCGAATCGACGAAGCGTAATATGTAACATATTTGCAATTTCTGTCCATATTACAGTTTTTCATTTTCGCCTGTCCGATGAATAAAGATATATTTTTACTGCATTATTATATATCATAGGTAAACTACGTACGTACATACACACGCTATGTACGCTGCGGTAGTGTTTATACAACTTTACAGAGCAATTAATAACACTGTGCGATGCCAAAATGTTGTTAAAATTATAATGTATAGACTATTGCACATCACACACACACACACACACACATAACACGGAAAGAATGTGTACTGCACTGTGGTTTTCGTTTGTTTTTCAATCACGATTCTGATTTTTCCGACAAAAAATCTTTATAGAACTTTTCACACGCGCATGACTATTTTTATAAATAGATATTCATTATGAAGACAATCTTCGAGTCTTATTGCGTCCTGTAAATAAATTGCCGAATTCGTATAAGATTCGTATAAACGTGTGTATCATAAACCGTACCACTTTGTTAGTAGTTACCCGAGCACTGGATAAAAAAAAAAAGAAAAGAAAAACAAAACATTTGCGCTTGAAGGTGATATTTCATATGTAGGGTCGCCTTTAAGTCTTCCATCCTATAGCGTCTGTACAGATTCCTACGATACTTTTAACTTTACGTAATAAATATATTACGTTTTAACATATTATGAGACCGATGCTTTTATATAATATGAATTTGTGATAAATAGATTTACCAATACATTAATAATATCGTTTTGTACATATACATATAAATATCTGCATAAAAAGAAAACACGCCTGTATCTATTTTCATTGTAAATCTTATTGTCCAATTACAGAGCAGATATTGTAAGGCTATGAAATTTACACTCTGTCGCATCTTTCACGTTTACTGAAAAAAAAAAAAAAAAAAAAAGACGGACTAGAAGTCTCTTTTTCCTACGTTTTTTGCTCGCTATAAGAAAAATGGATGCTTCCGCTTGAACACATAGCGCTTTCACATGATTATCGCATGTAAAGTACGTGGCGTTTCTTGGAAATATAAAATATAAATCGTTCGCGTTTTTCAACATATTTTCCCTTTATAACTCTTTCTTATTCTTATTGCACGCGATTGGATAGAAAGCGGTATGTGGCGCGCGTACGTATGGCAATTGAGATGCATAAAAACGTGTGCTGTTTTCTTTTTTGCAAAGAAATTATTATTGATAACGAATATACACAGAAATACAATGACATGTTACTTGATTATGTATACAATAGTTGTATCGAAATCCCGATGACTGTATACACAAGCGGAGCCATTCTCGTCTTTCCGAAAAGCGCCAAATTTTTCAAAGACACGCAATTTCATACAAAAATAAAATTGTGCCTGAAATAATTTACTTAAACAACATGTATATTTGCATTTGTATATTATATCCTATGCCAAAACTTTTAATATATATGTATAGATGTATAAAACGAATATACATGGAATTTTAATAAACATTTCATTCTCTCGTAATACAAAAGTAAAACGAACGAATACTGTCATCGTCTCAAAAAAAAAAAGCAAAAAATCATGTTTATACAAATATCTCTTTTTTCCAGTTAATAAAAATATATCAACAGATAAAAATCCACCAAATAAAAAGTATTGCAAAGAGATGGCACGGCAAATCGCTCCATTCCTTATGATTAAGATAATGAAAGTGGGAAGTACGTTCTGAATTATTTATTTGACGGTATTTAACGTTCATATTCCGATCGGTAAATACATATTAATATTATATAACGACCCAGTTACCCCCGCACTTTTACATTACAAGATAGTAACAGAAGCTTCCTCAAAGGGTAGTGCTACAAATTCAGTCTAATAAGAAACGATGCAGAGAGTACTTTTTAAATTATAGGAATATAAAAACCACAAAATATAAACTATACAATAATAATTAATATCGATCGAACATATATTATTTCGTATCTATACATCATTTCTCTTACGCTTCCTTGCGGAATATGAAAAAAAAAAAAAAAAAATGATTAGAACAATATATGGAAAATGAATAAAAATACAAATTGTAGTCCATAGCAGTCTCGTGCTATTTTATCACTGTCATACAATCTGCCGATAGATTGATAATCGATTGCGATATAATCATGTCGCATATCGTACATTGGCATAATCCTCCTTACAGTCTATCGAAAAGAAAATCATTTGGGGAAGAGGGAAAGATGGGAGGGAGGGGGGGCGAACCGCGATACTGTATTACATCTTACGCGTATGACACATTCATTGTAAGCATTATAATACGAAGAAAACGTTTACTTCCGTCTGCTACGTGGGCGTAGAATCACTGCACGATATTCAATTGTCCGGTGTTCGTCGCGTAAACCACCCCTTGGCCCGGCTGCGGCGCCCACCTGATGCAATTTAGACTGAGGTAGCTGGAGACCTCCCGGCAGTTTTGCTTCAACTCCCGAATAAGCACCATACTTTCCCGGTTACGTTTGATGTCCATGTCAAACTCGTTTCTCACCCGAATCCGCCAGTCCTGGATGTGCGGCCTGGAAGTGTTGGCTGTAACGTTATTCCGTCTCGGAATACTACTCGTGGAAACGTTATCGTCGAGCATCTCGTCCGAGGAATCGTACGTCAGCTCCACGGTCGGATCTGACGACGGCACGTTCTTCTCGTCGTCGAGCTGCTTCTCGAGCTTGTAAATCAGGGCCATCGTGAAGGGCCTGGTGGGTACGTGAATCCGGCGTGCCAGACCCACCAAAAGATGCTGCTGCGTGGGCGATATCGAGACAGACACCACCGTGTGATCGAGATTGGTCGAGTAAATCTTTTCTCCCAGCGTTTCCCACTGCAGGCTGTAAATACCTAAGATCGAGAACAGTAAACCGCACAGAGCTTTAGCCTTTCGACAATTTATAAAGAAAAATTACCGAGTTTGTACTTTATTTCGTTTCTCATATAAATAATGAAAAAATTGCGCGCAAAGTATATTTGTTGTAACGTTTTAATATAATCCCTCCTTGTGGAAGAAGTTATCGTTTAAAAATATCTCCCTGCAAGATTATCGGTGTGAAAAAGATGCGATGCAAAAATAAGAAATTATCTCTTCAAGATAAAAACAAAAGGTGTCAAGTACACGCGCGGTGAAAAAGAATCGTTAATATTTTGAGAATATATATATATATATATATATATATTATATATATACTTCGCTAATGGGGATCAATACGCATTTCTTGCTTACCTAACGTGGTCGTCACATTAATGCGGCCCGACTGCAGAAGCGTCGCTAGCAATTTTCCGTCCGTGGATATGTCAATACTGGCGTCGTTATGAATCTTGCATTCGCGCACCACGACGTTTTTCTCAGCTGAAAAGTCGTATTGGCATGTATGAGAATACGTAGAAAATAAACGTGCGATCACAACCGATGATTTACGTTTAATATTTCTTTTTTACTAACAGTCCGTAATATCAGGTATGTCGCCGTTGGAGAAGTCCCATGCTTGAACACGATAAGTCTGAATTTCCAGCGCTGGATTGAATGGTATACCCATAGGTATATGATGCTCTAAGAAATTATCAGATTTTTATCTTCACACATGTTGCATGTACATGCATGTGCATTCAAAATTAATTTAATCTTTAAACGATATTAAACAATGACCGGTTATATATTGGTAGTAATTTTAATACGAAAAAGTAAATGGGAAAAAGAGAGAACATGGCAAATCTTTTTGCATAAGATTTTGTTCTCTGAAAAATTGATTTTACCAAATTACAACATTAATAATGTTATTCTGAAACTTGCATAACGTAAAGATCGTTTCATCAAAGTGCAATTTAAAAAATTGAACATTTTAAAAAGAGTACGAAGGTTGTCGAACAAATATCTTTGTATTCTTATTTCTGAAATAAGATAATAAATTCGTAGTTTTTTTTCAACTAAATATTATATTTTTATTCTCTAATAGTTGCTATTAAAAACGAATTTATCAATTCTAAATCAGTATCTCTTTCTTCCCGATTTTACTACCAAGAAGAAATTATTTTATATCGTATATATACATCTGAAAATTAAAAAGAAAAATGTAGTACCAAAGTCCCAATAATAATCGTAATTTTCATCATTTCCTGGATCCTGTCCTCCTCCTCCTCCTCCCCCTGCTCCCCCTGCTCCTCCACCGCCGCCACCACCACTACCGCCGCCTCCTCCTCCTCCTCCTCCTCCTCCTGCGCCTCTTCCTCCGCCTCTTCCTCCGCTTCCTCCGTCATCACCACCGCCATTACTGGGATTCGAACCAGCACCTCCTCGTGATCCTGTATTCACGAATTCAGTGTAGCGAGGTATCCAGGTGGGACCAACCCGATTGCGCCACAACGTTAGGAACGTTGGAGTCAATACCTAATACAAAAGTTAATAACGATTAGAAACAATAATTAATTCATAAATGGTCAGTAGTGAAAAATTAAGGATCGTAAATTTTTGTAAAGAAATTATAACTAAAATTGGCAAATCATCGAAAATTTATGAAACTATAATTATTCGTCAGGTGATGACGTCAACTACGTTTGGATTTTAAATCGCAAATGCTCAAAAATTTATACCCGAGTTCTATTACTGTTCGACTGCCCAGCCCAACTTGGTCCAGGCTGATCTGTGGACTCGTTTGTCCGATCGTTGTTCCTATTGTCGACATTATGGAAAAAATTATTGATCAAGTACGGCGGAGGTGTGTGCGGCGGAGTCGGCGGCGTGTTTTGCCTTCTTCGTGGATTGCTGGCTAGATTATCCAGGTCGTTCACGGGCACGTTGTTCACCTGCAGCTCGGGAACGTTGAATTCCCGTCGGAGGGACGCGCCCTCCCTGTTGTGGGGGAATCTCCGATTGTTGTTCGGATCGGAGCTGCCGTATCTGTGGATACGCAGAGGACGCTCGTGCAATGACGCGCAAGCACCCCGTGCGTACTGGCGAAACCAACGATATCTCTGACGCCACGATCTGGCGTTCTGTTCGTCTCCCGACGTGTAAGAGATGTAGTTCCTCCAGCTCTCGCTGGAATGCGCGGCGGAGCCGGTCTCCTGCTGATCCCTCGACTCGTTGATGCGTCTCACCGCCGGCTCGGACACCGTGGCATTTCTGTAGCTCCGCTGATTATAGCTCTCGCTCGAGTTTCGCGGCTCATTCGCAGCGTCCATCGTACGATTCTCGACACCCGCCCTGATCACCTCGCCGCCGCGATCGTCGTTGTCGATCGAGCTGCTGCTCTGGATTCTCTCCACGATACTCTGCACCTCGGCCGACAGGGCGTTTTCGGACGTCGACTGCCGATTGTCTTCGTTCTGCGCGCTATCGTCGTAATTGTTATCGTCGCCGTTGCCGCCAGGCCTAGCCGTCGATGGACCGCCGGTTTGGTTTCCGGAAATACCATTGATGATTTGAACTGCCCGTCGGTAGCAAGAGATTCGCTTCAGTCGTCGGTAGCGCATGTGATTCCTATACGCGAGCTCCACGTTATTCGATATTTCTGCACGGTTCCTCGGGCACCGCTCTCTGTCCGCGTTTCGCCTCGGCGCGTTATCGCTCGCGCGATGCGGACTCTCCGTCTGCAGGCTGTTGTCAACGCTGTTACTGCCGCGCGTGTCGTCTCTGTTTTGGCTGTCAACTGATAAATCGGACGGGAAAGGTCCATACTGACTAGATTCCAGCTCTCGCCTTGTTATTACCAGCTGCGCCAGCAATAAGTCTGTTAACTCTAGTGCGAGATGCAACAATACGTACAGCTCTGAGAAAAAAAAACATAAATTGTTAGAAATCAACAATTCGATAGAAGCGAAAATGCGGAAAAAGTGAAATTATTTCATAGTTTTATTCTAAAAAAAAATCGAATTTGAAAATTTCAGATTTTTTTCTCTGATTCTCAAAAATGGCAAGTACTATTAACATTTCAATGATCAAAATTAATCCTCTTGAAGACGAAACTGCACTTCAAAAAAAATTTTATTTTTACTTTACGTTTTGCGCTTACTTTTTTTAGAGAATCGCTACTATTGAAAATTGTATTACACTTCAATAATTTATGATCTTGTATAAACATGATAAACTTACTGTACATCTGTTCATAAAGAACATTGCTTTGGGAACCGTTTCCTGACCTCGTCACTTCGAAAAATTGGATCAAAGATCGCACCATCAAGCCAAGGACTTGTCTGAAATAATATTAATTGGTCCGAATATATTATTGATTATTCACATAAGTTTTGAGATGTGATGTAATACTCGCTCGATATTTTAATGTCGTTCTATAATATTTTAACATTAATATAATGTAACACAATTACGCAATGTGTGTCGTCTCTCGCACCTAGCTCTCAATCTTGTAGCCTCACGAATCTCTTCCATTTCCCGATTGTCATTGTCTCTGCTGGTTTCCGATTGGCGGTTGTTACCGTTCAACCTTCTGTTGGTGTTCCGAGCCAAGGCCCTCTGCTGTCGGACCAACAATTCCAGTCGTAGGATCATCTTTTGCAGATATTCAGATGTGTTCGAACCTCGCGTTCTATCCCGAATATCTATATCTACATCTAAACCGTCGTTATTACTGCCGTTATTATTCTGCGGTGCGTTCCTCCGTAAATTCCACGGTCTTCTAACGTGCTCGCAATGACGAAACGGATTATTGGCGGACTGAGACCTAAGGCTTTGTCTACGACGGTGAGACGATCTCATCGACATTAAATGATTTCTGAAAAAAAAAAACCAAATATGTGAAACAAAATTAAAATTGATTTGAAGAGACGATCCGTAGTGTGCTTAGTTTAATTATTGATATATAATTATATTTCTTCAACTAATAAATTTGTAAAAAGATTTTCCAGAAGGAAGTCTTTACTTTTAATATAGGTCTGATATAATTTGTTTTTATATCTTTACTAGTTAAAAACAATAATTATTTAATATTTTTTAAACAAAACACACTATCTCTAGAATATATATAATTACCGAAAAGATAGCCTTTCGTATCTATAACGTAGTCTGTTGAGTCTCCTGGTAGATAATTTGGATGACGATATGGAAGCCGCGGTACAAAAAGTCTCAGTTTGGTTCGCTGGATACTGCATGACAGGATCAGAATTGATATTGTTATCGTCATTCCTGTCGCTGCTGTTACCGATCGCTGCGAAGTAATCAATATTCGTGTCCGATGCCTGGGTTGATCTACTGGGACCGGCGCGATCGAGACCGCTGACGAAACTCGAGATGCTGGGCAACGGCTCCGACTCGTTCGTGGTTATCGCGGTGACCGCCGGCAGGTTCGCGTTGGCTCCGATGTTCGACACGACGCTGGACATACTGGGCAACTGCACGTCGTCGACGGTCGTCAGGCTGGAGTACGTGTGATCGTTCATCGCTCGTGCGTCGGCGACGCGCGAGTCGCAATTCTGGCAGCGCGAGGTCAGCCGCGCGTAAAGGCCGTCCAGCATCTCGTTCAGCTTGAGGCACTGCATCCGTCGTAGCTCGGCGTCGCTCGGCAGCAGGTTCGACAGACTTATATTGGTGCTCTCCTCGACGTTGCGAGTGCTCGACGTCGGCTCGTCCTCGTGACTCCTCTCGAGACCGGTCACCCCGCTCGACGTCGACGGTTGACTCGGATCGGTCGGCTCTGGCCTCGCGTCACGGTCGCCCTCGCTACTCTCCCTCTGGTAGTTCTCCAGCAGCTCTTTCTTGAAATTCCTCGCCGACTCATTCGACGAACTCGCAGCCGACGTCGACGGACCGGGATTGCTGCCGGCGGTGCTGTCTCGTTGCGCCTCCGTTTGATCGCCGTTCTGCCTCTCCACGCGGACCGTCACGTGCAACGATCGTATCTGCCGTTGCAGGTCCTCCCACATTTTGCGTACTTGACACAGCTGAACTATTTCCAAGCGTGCTCTGTTAACGAATTGGGAAATTGTCACTTTTGATTGACACCGGAACCAAGGGAAGTAATAAAAAGAGTACTGTAACTCATTTTTTAATGTTGCTTTAACACAGTAGTATACTTAAAAAATCTATATAACTCTACAAGTTACATAACATAATTATTTATAATAATTATTTTATTTTCATTCTAAATGTTGAATAAAAAACTTTCAAAAAGAAGCTAAAGTGTATTTCAAAAAGTATTTTCTCAGGAAAGTTACAACTCTTGCAGTTACAATATTTTTTATCGATGTCGTCACGTATCAAATATAGCTGGTTGAAGTTTTGAACGTTTCTGGAGCGATTTTAAAAAAATGATTTGTCACATTTCTAGCTTCGCACAGAGTAAATCATAAGTGCCAGACACAAAATAAAAAATGTTTTATTGAATACACGCGTTGGAAGACACCCTTATGCTCGATAAACCACCCTTCAGGTCAAAAAAATTCTAGCTATGCTAAAAATGATTTGTCCCATTTCTACTTTTGCACAATGTTACTTCTAAGTGCCAGATACAAAATAAAAAATGTTCCGGTAGAATTCACGCGTCAGAAGACACCCTTATGCTCGATAAATCGCCCTCTCGGTCACTTAAAAAAATTCTAGTTACGCTAAAAATTTAAAAAAAAAAATCGCTCCAAGAACGTTCGTAATCTCGACCAGCTGTCAAATTTACGAAAAATTTAATTAAAAAATTCCATCTCCATTATGCCTTAATTATGCTCTTATAAAGTTGCGTTCAAACATAGTTCAGAGTATTTAGGCAAATTATATAATAGTAGTTAAAATTCTACGAGATGCCATCATTGTATCGTTAACTTACCGGCACAAGCGGTGCATGTTGTCGATATGACGGCTGAGCAACTGGATCCCTTGCCGAACTCCCAGTGAACTCTCTCTCGGGTCTATATTGTCAGCGCCGAGCATTATCGGATCTATAACGTAATCGAGATCCGGGTCATCCGTGTTTCGTTGGTCCTGACTTTGCTGCTGCTGCTGCTGCTGTTGTTGCCTGTTGTCGCTCGCTGTCGATCCACTGTCCTCGTGGCTAGACGCACTGGCGACTCGCGTTGCAACGGGATCGTTAACCATTCTCGACAGCTCCGCGAATCCCGCTAATGTCCCGCTAATCGCACGCGTCGCGCCTGGAGCGGGCGTCTGCGTCTGAAGCGGAGCACTGGCGGAGCCGCTGGTGTTGGGCGCCTGATTCTGTTCCGTTCTATGGGACTGGTTCTCGCGTAGGCTTCTGAACGGGAACAACGGCGGCTGCTCGTAACGAGTAGGATTCGCGGACACGGGCGACAGCTGGTTCCTCTGATCTCTGTGCCTGTCGTTGAGACTCTGATCTCCGTCCTCCGAAGGGGACCTCGGTAAAGCTTGCTCGTTCGTCGACTCGTTATTGTACTCCGAGTTCCTGCTGGAGTTGTCCAGCTGTATCCATCGACTGGTCCACCGGCGAGAGCTCGAGTTTGCGTTGGGGCTTGTGTCATCCAAATTTGAATCCGAATTGCTGTTCTCCTCGAGCAGCCAATATCCGTTCTCCGAATCGTCTAACAATACTTGCTGGCTATTATTGTTTTCCATCCGATCCGCGTGCAGATTTCGGAGGATTTGCAGAACGTCTATCACTCTCCTGAGTAAGGGTGAATTTCTAAATGTTAAAAATTTCAAATATATGACATCTTCAAAAATGTACACAAAATGCACGAAAAAACAAAATCTCAAAAAAAAAATGCGCAAATTAAAACTAAAAAAAAAAAAAACAAAAAAAAGATCGAACAAAATACGCCTACCCTTGCCTGCGATTGAGTTCGTGAGACCTCGATTCTTGAGCATTTCGCGTGATCCTAGACGTTCTGTTATCCTGAACGTTGTCTTCGTTCAATTCGTTATTTACACTGTCAGCTAAATTGTTCCTATTCGTTTCGTCCAATCTCGGAGAGTTGGTTGGAGTTTCTTGATTTCGCGTGCTGCTGCTGCTGCTGCTCGCCCGTGCTTGCGCGACGGACTTGGGCACGTTCGGCTGAAACGCCGAGTGGGTTGAAACTGTGAAGTTAGACGCGCCGTTACGGGATGATGTCGATGCTCGTGAATAGCCCTCGTCGCTCGAGGATGAGCTGTCTTCTGGAATAACAGACAGATTTGGAGTCAACAACGTCAATCTTATTTCTCTATTCTAATACACGCGTGCAGTTCGACGCTCAAGTGGAAATCTTACCGATGTAAGACAGTGGCGTCGGCATGGAAAACTCGGCAGGACCCAGTTTACGCTTTCGCTGCCTCGGCGGTTCGTCCTCCGTGTTCAAGTCGTCGAATCGTCTTCTCGTTGCCCGTCCCGTGCTTCTCGACGAGGTATTAGCGTTCTCGCTGCCGTTGGCATCGGACCACGTCGTGCCGCGGTCCTCGTTCTCGTCGGCGTAACTCGTGCTGGGGAACACGTTGGATTCCAGATCGTGGACATCTCGCATCGGCAATCTCGAAGACAGCATCGACGGTATGGAACTGGTGCTGGGCATCTGCCCGTCGTTCGGCGTGAGCGCTCTCCATTCGGCCTCGTTTAAATTCACCTGCGACGGATCGGTCGCGATGTGCCGATTACGCGGCAGGATGCCGTACACCGTGAACTCGTCCCGCAGCCGCTCGATCCGGGAACTCGTGTTGGTGAACTGCGCCTCCATGTTGTTGAGCGCCTCGATCTCGTCGTTCAGAGCGTTGCGAAGCAGCTGCAGGCGGGAGTTACGATTGTTGGAGTGCTCGAACAGGGTCGCGGTCTGCCGCTGCAGCCTCTCCCGCAATTTCTGCAGTCGCACCAGGCACGAGCTGTTATTCTCGGCGGCGGCGTTCAGAGCCTCCCGCAAATTCTGCAGGGTGGTGCCGATCTCCTCTTGCTCGGAACGTTCCATCAACAATCGCTGGCATTGCTGCAACCTCTCCAGATTCGTGTTGTTCGCTTGCGCGCTGGAATTCAATTCGTTCCTTAATCTCCGTATAGACGACTCGGTCGCCGCCGATTCATTTCTGCCACTGGACTCCTCGGGATTGGAGGACGAGGCTTCCGGCATATCCATGGGGTCGGTGCCACGATCGATCTTCAAAGAAAATCGACATATTCCTTACACACATTTGATAAAAAGAAGAAAATTCTGACGAGGTCGCGAATAATAACATATATATATAGCTCACCGTATCTCTGTTCCTGGAAACGTCAAAGTAGCGTCTTACGAGCGTCACGTATTGATCGACGAGATCTCTGTAGCATAAATTTATTCTCCTCTCCGGATCTTGAGAGTTGCTACCGCGCGATCTTTCGTCCACGCCGACCCACACGTTATTCAATCGCTCGTACAGCTCGTCCCTGGGATGGGAGTCGTTCATCGCGCTCGATTCTCGATCGCGGCTCCTCAGGGAACTCGGCAAATCATCGTCGTTGCTGTCGTCCGCTGATCTATTGTCAACATTGTCCGTGTTCGTCGGATTGCCGGTCGGGCGAGATGGATTTCTCGTGATGCTCGGAGAAGATGTAGCTTCCCTGGTTTGATTCAGTTCTACATCGTAAGACATAAAATTATTATAATAAACCTCGATTTTTAACAAGACGGAGTTGTATTAGCTCACAGAATCCGTAATGCCGGGTTAACAAATCTAGATACCTTCAGATAGATTTCGTCGCCGCTGAAACCGCGTTTCCTCCTGCCGCGTACTGTTCCTAAATTGTTGACGATGATTGGCGAATCGCGAGAAGCTGGACATTTCGTGGCCTCTGCGCATAAGCAGATACGCACTGAAAGAATCTCTAGTCAAATTTCGCAATCTCCCCGATGAATTTCGATAATTTCACATGGTATGTAATTGTATAATCATATAATTTATGTCGTATAATTTAAATACCGGGAAGTTCTATCTGCAGTATGACCGTCCCCCGATCCTCTTCCATAAAAAGAGCCATGGTTCCACAGGTGAAAAGGTGAAAGTTCGATATCTGGGAAATTTTCTCGTGGCTGGTACCTAAAGTTCCTAATTTTTTCAGGATTACAACACAAACAATGTTTATTTAAAATAGCGCACATATAACAAGAGTAAAAGATACAGATTTGTTGATAAAAAGAAATTTAATTTAAAACTGAGACATTCAATTTTGTTTGATTGCAAAATAATTTAAAAAATTAGAGACTATTATCAACAGATTTATAATAAATATTTCATTGTTTAGTTCATACATTCTAAAATTCAAATTTTTTAAATTTAAAAGCAGTGAAAAATATCCAAAAACTAATGATATACAGACTCATCTAATCTAAAATTTATTTCTTATGGGCAATATTTTCATTATAGCGTTCTTAATTTCATTATAGTGTTCTTACATCAAACTGGTTCTAAGTAATTGTCCCACGGGTGCCCGGTCCCATTGTGATTGCACTTGCGGCGTATTCGCGATGCCTGTGATTAGTTTTCTTCCTAAACTGTCAAAAGCTACATATCTGCAATTTTCACAAAGTAAGATATAGTTTTTCATAACGTTTCTTCTCTTATATAATAATTTACAATCTGCAGTCGCTCTTGAAGGTTGAACATACCTCACTTTTTCTTTGTCAGTCTTTGTAGCAGTTACGGCGAAAGGTTGGGACTTGCTCCAGTCCCAAAAGTGAATCTCATTATAAGTGGCTATAACTAACAATCTTTCAAAGGGATGGAACGCGAGCGAAGCGATAACGGTGTGGCTGTCGGCATTCCAAATTTCGCTACCACCCTACACGAACAAATTTGTGTTGCGAGTCATTAGATGCATCGCCCCGTTTAATGCCGAAAAAAATTTATATAATTCCAAACTCACACTCAAATCCCACACGCGAACTTGACCTCCTAGGCAGCCGGACGCTAAGATCTGACTGGAGGACGGGTGAAAAGCTATGCACCAGGGAGTACGCGGATGTCCGGACAGGGTTCTAATGTTCTTTCCCGTTGCAATCTCCGTGATATAAACATTGTGATTCCCATGCGTGGATGCTATCATGGTCCTGAAATTCGTCGTTTCGTAATCTTGTAATCTCCTTCATTGTATTGTCTTATGATAATACTAGCTGTTACATTTTACTTCCCTTTCTTTAAACATTAGTATTATCTTCTGGTAATAACAATAAAATATAATATTATGTTTTGCTCATTGTAGCTTACCCATCAGGACTGAAAACCATTAGGAAAGTGGCTCTAGGAACGCCGGGTAATTCATATTTCTGCAAATACACGAGTAACACTTAATCATTTCGCTGTAACATGCGCAGCGATAAATATATCATTGTTAATACAGTCATTAGAAATTAATGAAGTTGAAAAACAAAAGTCATTGCGGAAGGCTATTTTTATCAGACAAGATTTATCCCTGTCTATATCTACATTTACTTTGCAAATTAGAGATATGAATAGAGTAGACAGGACTGAAGTTACATAAGTTGTATCGTATGGCTATTAGGTCGTGCATGTGAAGTGCGTACCAATTCTATGTGGTCCTTCAGCACAAAGTTGCTTTCAGCTACCTCCTCCAATACGTGCGTATTGGTCTTATCCGTGTGTAATCCAAAGTTCCGTAGCCTTAAGCTGTGCAGTATATTCTGCGACCTGCTGCGGTGCAGCAACTCCGGTCTTTTCTTGACCTTCCCCATTTAGCCAAATGTCCTTGCAACGTCGCTAAATGAATTGCGAAATAGCGTTATGGTATACGTAGTCACGGTTCGAATATAAAAGTATTTTATTTAAGAAAATAAAGGCACACACACTCTTCGGCTGATATACGACAAATGATATTTTTTGATTGAAATTTAAATAACTTTCGTTACTCCAATATTACTTGTTTCATTATCACCATCTGTTTTCTTTTAGCTTTTCATTCATTCCTTTTTATATATTTTCCATGCCGCGAAATAAAATAAAACATAAAAATATATATATATTTAATATGTGTACATGTATATATATATATATATATATATATATATATATAAGGTTATACATATATATAAGGTTATATATGTATATAATGTACATATATATATGTGTACATAATTTATATTTTTCTGTCGTAATTCCCGTACGTTCGAGAGGACGCGGGCAGAGACTTTCGATCCCGATTAACAGCACGACCCTACTATTGTCTCGCCAGAATCGCTAGAGCAATCGGTATTAGAAATGTATGTTACATTTTTTGTTAAGGTAGGTTAGGCACAAAACGCGCCCATACCGACTCCCAACTCGCGGAACGAGGGGCAGCGCGATTACGCGAATGAATTAACGGCGACACGGCCTTCGTACTCCGGACGGCGTCGGCGATCTCCTCTCTGGCGTTCGCACACTGGGTAGGGAGGAGGGGGGGGGAGGGGGTCGATCCACGTCGAGCCCTAAGCTAATTACTGGCCCGCTGGCTGGGTGGCTCTCGGAAATTTATAGCGACGTCGCGCGAACCGAGACGAATTCGCGTTTCCCCCCTGGTACAAGTCCGTCCCCCTTTCCGACTTCACTCCGACTCCGTTTTCGCGCGGACGATTCGAGGATCCCGTTTACCTGCGAGAGTTGTCGCTTCGCCGGGATGACGCCGGCATGGAAGAGTAGGATGCGCGACCTCCGCTACTCCGCGTATGCGGCCAACGTAAATTCCCGATCGCGTATCCCACCGAAACACATCGTCGTCCACCATTAACTCGTTGTTCGGAGCTATCAGTGTATCGTGAGGCACTGCGGACCCCCCTCGAGCTCGTCGGTCACGATGTTTTCGACTGATTAAATTCGTCGTGCATCGCTAGATGACACTAATCTTACGAGTAGGAGGGAGAGCGAGAGAGAGAGAGAGAGTGGGGAGGGGGAGAAAGAGAGAGAAAATTTGAATAGAAACATCTCCTCGAGAGGAATAATTCAGATCTTTCTTTAAAATTATTACATTCAATAATTTCAATAATTTTTTTCGGTGTAATTGTTATGCATTAGATTCTGCTTCTTAAATTCCCCGCCGACGTTTATTTAACACCGCTAAAATATACCAGAGGGAGTTTTTCGTTCAGATAAATAAATAAAATTTGAAATAGCATTTATTCATTATAATATAATAATATATTATGCCTTATAAGCACTTTTTTTCATTCCACCTACACAACAGTATATACTCTATACATAATAAATTTCTCTTGATATATCTCATAATTAAATTCTTATACAAGTTCTTATATACAATTCAGTAAAATAATTTTTTATAGAAATATATCCCGGCCCTTTCTCTCTAAAACAACATTATGAATATATATATAATATATATACATACACAATTGACTCTGACTAGGTAATTTAAGCTAGGACATGATTTGCTGAAACAGATTCTTTTCTCTCAAACGTTTTGAACGATCTCCGCGAGACGAATCGAGACGCTTCTCCGCAGGCGCCCGCTGCCGCAACTTAGTGATCCAATATGCGTAGATTACCCGACACAATTTTATTCTCCAAAACGGTTCCAGAAGGCAGGTCTATGCGTTCTCCGTGATTGGCGATTATAATAACGGTGCCCTTCAGAGTTACCCCTTTCCCAAAGGTAACGTCGCCCGACACAGTCAAATGATCCAATTCGAGGAGATCCGGTATTGTCGGAAATCTCGTCAGAAACTCTTTCACCTGTAAGAAGAGGGGCATAGTAAGATTGGACATCGCTGTGGGGAAATAGAGATATAAAAGTAACGTAAACGAGTAAATATTAAAATAAGAGTTAATCCTACTGACTTTTGAAAAGTGATTGTCTCCCAATTTGATGAGGGGCGTTGTGGGGAACATTCGTTGAGGACTCATCACGAGAGATCCGTTGCGCAGCGTGTACAAGTTACTCATTACGAGCATCAGATCAGAGGTCTTTTTCACCGGCAAGAATCTACTGCGCGGCACATTTATACCTGCGGCATCAAATAAACATTTTAGATTTAACGCAATCGTGTACAGAATCGATTTAAAAAAAAAAGCAAAATTTTTTCGAGAGATAACTTAATTTAAAAAATATTTAAATAATTTTGAAAATAAAGAAAAATAAGATAATTTTAAAAATTAAAAAATAAAAAATATATATTTTTTTACTTTTGTTAAAACAAGAATTATCTCTTTCGACTCTTACCAATACTTCCTTCGAATGACTTCATAGCAGCTCCCACAGCTGTTTCAAGTTGTATTATATTTAGACCGTTGGTAAACGTTTTGTTGTTTACAATTATCTCCATATTCAACGCCTTTTGCTCGAGTACTCTTTCGATGGCTGTTCAAAGTGCGATATATATGTTAAACATCGCTTTAATATTGATTGCATGGCATACATGATGTGACAAGCTTAAATACACATACCACTAAGTTTAATCCAGAGGTTGTTGGTGTTGAAATACTTAAATGTCTTAACGGACTTGAAGTCGTCGATGTGATCCTTCGGAACTTGAGCTATTTCGAGGAGACGAAGTTTATCCTCGTATTTTATAAGTGTGCCACCCTGTAAAAAATAAAATAAATAATTAGGATCTCTCTCTCTGTCTCTCTCAATACTATATTCTCTGAAACGAATTTCATAGTTTTCTCACGAAGCGCACCTTGACGTCCGCTCGCGTTTTGTCGGTCACTTCCATGACAAATTCAAGAGGCGGTTCCGGGCTTTTGTTCAACAACGACTTCAAGATTTTAATGTCCACCGTGGCACCAAGATTATCTATGTTCGAGATAAAACAGTATTCGCGGCCCTGCAAAGAATCCGAATTATTCTTTTAAGTTGATTGTTGTGTCATTATTTACATGAGCATCAAAAAATAAAAATTCCATTACCTCACGAGTGAATTTTTTAAGCAGACCGGAATTTTGAAAACTCTCGTAGAAATCTCCATGACCGGGTGGGTACCATCTGCGTTAACAAATTATATTTATTATTATTTTATGTGAGCAGGTTGTTAAAATAATATTAATAGTGATTATATAAAAGACTCGTTCTTACGCTTCTATGTCCTCATCGATCTGACAGTGCTTAGCGATCGGGAGGAGAGAATCTCTGTTTATGCGCGGATAACAGCTCTGATTAAAAGTATAAATGTCTATATCGATTCCTTTGTACTTTCTAATAATGCGCTGCGTATCGTCGTCCGTGTTGAACGAATTCATCAGTATGAGTGGCACATTAGCGTTATACGTTTTATTTAGGTGCTGAAAACAACAGAAATACATAATCAATTATTGTTATGTTCTTATAGAAATAATAATCTTAGAACAGTGATTACGCAAATAGTAAAAATAAACTATTGTTATAATTTGTTGCGATACCTCAATTTGCTGAACAGTGAGATCGAGAAACGTGAGTCCATTTCGCACGGCGATAACGGACTTCGGTCCGTGGCATCCCATGCTCGTTCCCAGACCACCGTTTAACTTGACGACAACCAACTTATCTAGCAGTTCCTTCACCTCGTTCGTCTCCGGTGACGGCAAGGAGTTGTAATTCTTGACCTATTGAAAAAAAAGCATAATTCTGATTTAATTTTGCTATTTGTTAACAGATTTCACTGCACGGAAAAAACGATTTTGCTGAACATGCAGATCTGAAAAAAATTGTTGGGCAATTAAAATAATTTTGTTGGAAAGCTAAACTTATTGTTAGAATATCAAAACGTTTTCTAGCAATGCTTATCATTTTTAACTTTCCAACAAAATTATTTTGATGGTCCAACAAGAATTATTTTCAGAGCTGTGTTAGTAAAATTTTTAGACCTTCCAGCAAAATCATTTTTTCCGTGTGATTAAAGTACTGACAAGGTGCGGAACGTTTCTAAAGCCTTGTGTCCACGATACTAGAAGTCGGTCCAGGTTCTCGAACCGAAAACTGTGTAGCCAAGTAACTTGCAGTTTTTACGGAAAACCAGCGATTTTATTGGCTATACAGTTTTCGATCCGAGAACTTGGACCGATTTCTAGTATCGTGAACACGAGGCTTATAAGATGGTTTCATAGAACCTCGATAAATTATTTATCAATCGTAATAATTTCGACTAAATTTAATTCACTAATTGTCAATACGGAGTTAAAACGGATTAAAGAGACACAGGGTGTCGTCTAGATTTTTTTTAAAGGGAGATGAAAGAACCGCTCCGGACATCTCCTCGCGACGATCTTCGTCAGCTCGCTTCTGCACGATCGGGTTTCACTCACCGCATCCTCGGACAGCCTCTGAATATGGTCCCACTCCAAGGACGGGCCCTCTTCCTGCAGAAATCGCTCGAAGAGATGCTGGAACCCGGCGAACTGCCGGCCGATCATCGTCCTCTTGTTCTCGCGGGCGGTCGCCTCCAGCTTCTCAAGCTCGCGCTGCAGCTCGTCCCGCGCATCTCTCTTCGTACGCTCGCGGAACGCCTGTGTATCTGAAGAGCTGCGTTGGTGACCGCGGGCCTGTGGAGTTTTCTCCGCGGTATAGCTAGATCGAGATCTCTTTTTCTTACCTATCCTTTTCGCGAAGTCCTCGCAGTCCGCCCCGATGAGCCGCTCGCCGCGATTCAGGGGCGAGAGATTGCGCATTACGGCTTATATATTTCTCGAGGCCGCGGCCGTAAAAATTGATTACAAAAAAAATAGAGCAAAAAAAAAAGTAAAAATAAATACGTGTACGACGCTTGCGAAATAATTCGGCGCGTCCAACCGCCGTCTCAAAAGGCTTCCTTCGTTAAAATCTCCCTCGTTCAGGCAAAATTCTTATATAGAAACGCGATCGCGCAAAAATCGGCCGCAATCCGTGATCAACCAGCGTCGCTAACGAGGTTCGTTATTTTTATTCTTTTTTTTTCTTCTTCCGCTGTTTCTTCTCTCTCGACGCGCGATGAATTATCGTGAATCGTCGTCATCTGTCCCCCCTCTGAGAAATGCGCGAGAGCGATCACGTTGACCCGGCTGAGTCTTTCGAAAGAGGTGAATGAATAGATAAGCGGGGAAAAAAAGCGACGCAGTAAAATAATTAAAATAAATTGACGCGATAACGATAAGTCTAAAGACAAAAATTATCATAAGCGAGAGATAGCGTTAAGTTTAGTCGACTGACAATGAGCTTAACGCTATTTCGCTCGCGTCTCAGGGAAGAAGCAGGAAAAAAATTCCATTTTCGGCTCATTTTCTATACCGATTAATTAGAGCGAAAATGTCTCGCGATCGGTCTTTCGCATTATGCCTACGCGGCTAGGTAAGTGGATATCTTTGACTAAGCAAACGATAGCGGCCTGCAGACCCTGACCCGATGTCGCGATCGGGTTGATCTCGCCTGCGAGACGATAATCCGAGTTAACGTTTTGACCCCTCCGCCCGGTGGGGATTCTCTCGGTCTATTGCCGAAGAATAAAAAAAAAAAGGAATGAAAGAAACAACGAAACGATGCGATGTATTTCGTGGCTCGAATATTTCATTTCACCTTGACTTAAAGTCCAGATAATATATTGGTCATGATAGGACTGGCCCTAATCTCTTTTTTTCCTAGTTCCCCCTCTTCTCCTCGGTAGATAAAACCGGCGTAAAGATACGCGGGACGAATAATATAATCGGCCCATTTGAATGTTTGACTTTCAAATTGCGCCGCGATAATAACGCGCGGCACACTAGGCACCGAATTTGCATCGAAAAGTGCGCAAAGTCGGCTTCCGGGACGACGAAGGGAAATTTCGCGGTTGGGTTTACCGCGTGACGAGACCACGTGGGCGAGACTTGCGCGAGGATTGTCGCAGAACGAGACGTACAGTACACGTGAACGCTAGACGAGTTCAAAAATAAAAATCTATACTTTTTCCATCCGAGGATCGCTAAATCTATACCGACAAACACATAATCGATACTGAAGTAAACGTTGGTAACGAAGTACACTTCCGCTGACCCTTTTCCACGCGATAACATTATTTCGAGAAACGGAATCCATGAATTTTATCTCTGTCTGTTGAAATAACAGTCATGACATTCGATTACTCGCGATATCAGGAAGAATTAGGGAGATACGGAATTGTAATGGAAAGAGAGAGAGAGAGAGAGAGAGAGAGAGAGAGAGAGAGAGATCTCGGTTGTGCTGCTAATTAAGCGAGCATATTATAATTTTTAAGCGCCTGTTGTCGAAGGTGTTAACAGACGACGACAGGTGTGTTGGCGAGATATAACGCCAGATATTACAATCCACTTATGGAATCCACCTAGCGATCATACAACCAATTGTAAATCGAAGATAATTCCCGCGATTATCAACTCGGTTATCATTTCGCGTTTCAGTTGTTACAAGCGAATCATCCACATATCGCGAAATGCGAGAAATGAATTGTCGAGTGACAGAGGTGAGAGATCAGAAAACTTTTAACATATAACTTCGTCATTTCTTACGTAAACTTTAACGATGACGAGGGGAAAAAAAAGAAGTTTCTGAAGGTCGACTGAAGGTCACCCTGTGTTTCCTGACCTGGACGCGATTTTACTTACATAAGCCGAGTCTTGCCGGTCTTACCGCGCAGTAAAGTCGTCGCGGACGCGCTTCGCGAAATATCTCGTACATTCATTATATGCTCTGGACATGTGGATCATTTCGACAGCAAGAAATATACAGAGTGAGTAACGTTCCCGCACGAGTCACGAGCTCGGTTTTTTTTTTCTGTTACGGCTTATCTCTCTCAGAGAGCTTCTTCTTTTTCTATTTCATTTGAAGGGACACGATCTACGAAAAACGGGAAACAGTCCCCGTCTTTCAAGAATCAACGGAAAAACAAAGTCGTATAATACACGCGACTTTATGGGAAGATTGGCTCGAGGGTTAAACGACCAACGAGATCGGTACCGCGATTACGAGAATGACGCCGCGCGGCACTCGAGTCGGGTTCGCCTATCATTAGCTTATGTAACGACGAGATTAACACGCGTGCTCGTATCGTAATCGTCGCGCAGAATCTCGTGTAAAATTTTCCCCGCGGCAAAAATTTACAGAAGGGACGATCCCGTAAAATTACCTCCCCCCCCCATCCCCCGGATCAAGATGTTGCCTGATCCAGAATGAAGCTCCTCGGGGATCCGATAAAACGTCCTTGATTTCTCCTGGTCGGGTCTGACGAGGTTGACACAAACGTCGAACATAATAGGTAATGATTTAAATCCCATTAGATTTCTAAAGATAGGTGTTGTGTCACGCACACGTGGAACAAGGCGCGAGAGAGTTTACGGAGAGAATCGTCAACGAACGTTACAATGTAAACAATTCAGGTGTTGTACTACAACAGCAGCCGGTTTCCGACAGGATCAAAGTCTCCAAGTTCCCGACACGTGGATTCAATTATTGCACGCCTGTTTAACGCTTTATTACATCGTCCGCGGATGTCCATTAATCAACGTAGATTCTTAGAATTTCGCAGATTCCCGGAAACTCGCAATGATTTTTTTTTTTATACCGCTAATATTCCCTTCCGATTTATTCCTCCGGATAAGAAAGCGATTAAAGCGACTGCGAATACCGACGAATTTCAGAATAACGAAGAGACCGAATAGACATTGAGGTCCTTTGCGCCAAAGGAAAATGCTCGAGAATCCTTCAGAGAGGCGCGAGATTCCTTTCCGCGAAGGGGAGAACATTCGGGGATCCCTCGGATTTTATTCGGGCGCGACATTCTTTCCGTCAAAGAAAAATGCTCGAGAACCTCTCGGATTTATAATTCGGACGTAAAGTCCTTTCCGTAAAAAAAAAAAAAAAAAAATACTCGATAGAATCTCTCGGATTTAATTCGGGAGGTCCTCTCCGTTGAAGGAAAACGCTGCCGGGATCCTTCGGACTTGACGGGAATCGAAATTGAACGGATCGACCCGCAATCGGGGCCGCGGAATGCAGGAATGACCGCTCGACGGCGAGGCCCGCGACGGCCTTTATCACTTACTTGCAACAAGTACTCCATGTGCGGCACTTTGAAGACGCGTTGCGGACGATCGGCGACCGTGGAATGCGACTGCGGCATTGCGCGTGCGGGGATCGGCAGCGGACACGAGAGGCGCGCTCCACCAAACACGACGTAAATACGTGAGTAATACACGTGACGTGTGGATGAGATACGTGAGATACGCGAGAGAGAAACGGGAACGTCTATCTTTTTCAGAGAGACGCGAATCTCTCTGCAGCCCTTCGGAACCGGAGGTTCGAGCAACGTGCCACGGCTGTCGCTCGAATATATATGTCGGCGCCCGAGGAAGTCGGCCCATATATATGTATTTACTGCCCGCCCGAAAGATGGCAAAAAAGAAATTAAAGCACAAATAATACATATGTATAGGCCAGCTTTAATTGCCGGCATTCGACGATAACGTAACGACTCACACACACACAAATGACTGCAGTTTGCCGGCTAATAGTCGACTTACGACCTTACGGGATTTTATGTGTGAAGGCCTTTATAGTTGCCACAAAGTCGACTTCAAGTCGACTGACATGGCTGACTTACAGCCGACTATAGTCGATACATTTGTCGACTGTTAGTCGGCTATAAGTTGACATTTAGTCTGACTTTGAAGTCGACTTTGGATTTTTTCTGCCGACTGATAGTCGACTAACAGTCGACTTCGTGCTGTGTGGGGAAGAGCATTGCATTATACATTACACACTTCCACATTTCCTCCCGCATATTTTTCTGCGCTTTTTCTCCCGTCATCTCGCGCGCGTAGTTCTCATTTCAATTAACTGCGACGAATGCCCGTTTATCTATGCCCGTGCAATAAATTAATTATTTAACGAGTATCACGCGATTCCCATTAATCGCATGCAAAAGTATAATCATATTTATATTACTTCGAAGTCGCGTAACGTACGCGACACTTTTCTATCCACCTGTCAGCTCGGAATGAATCTATTGAATCTATTGAAATTGAAAAGACAAACTTAATTATGCGAGTAATGTCAGTGGTTAAGGTTGCCTTGAAGAAAAAGAAGAATTTTCATCCCGAAGGCAATCGGTTCGCCACAGCTTGTTCCTGGCTTAAAAATATATCTATCTCTGTATAAAATATCTATAAAAAAATTCCTCGTTCCCAATCTTTCTTTCCATATAAAAATTAACAGAGTTTCAATTCACATCGAAAAATAACAGTGCAGCGTAATAGCTCAATGATGACAGACATTACTCCATAAATTAATTGCCAAAGTTACGAAATTTAAGTAAATTATGGAGCAGCTCAAGATAACAGAAGCCGCGCGTCTGTGGAACGTCAAGTCATTTTTCCTACCAATGTAGATCAACTTTAACCTTGAGTTGACTTAATTTTTATCTTTCTCTACTTCTAGAGAAAATTCGAAAAAGATGAATACAAATAAGTTAAACCGAGATTAAAGTCAACCTACATTGACGAAGATGTCGAGCATAACCTCAACGCGGCGATGTTCTCGAAGGTCGAAACCGAAGGGAATACCGGGATGAGGGAAAGACCGCGGAGGGACGTCGCCGATCCGTTTGGAGAACAGATGCCAATGGTACGTCTCATGCTTGCGAGCCTTTCACAGTCTTGTCAGCTGTGCCCTTGACAAGGGGAAACAAATGAGAAACGGCGTGAGGCAAGGGTACGTACGAGAAAAGAGCAGTGCGCGACAGCAGGAAGGGCTGGATTGTGGGATGACACGGGAAGAGGTCCGTAGTTTGCCGTAAGTTACAGAGAGCTCGGAACTTTACCTTTCTGTCGTCGACCTGGAGCATCGTCGATCGAGGTAGATCGTTCGTCGAGCGGCGGTGTGCCCTTTAACGCTGCGGCGAAGGTCAGTCACAACAGTAGGTCGAAACAACCTGTCGGGGTTCGATCGCTCCCGAACAGGAACTACGTGGCCGTCTAAGCACCGTGTAAAATCCACCGTGCCATTGCGAAAGAACCCATATTTTTATGCCTCGAATGTATAGGATACCCTTGACTACAAAAATATGCCGGCTCGTGACGTGGACGTGTCCTTGCGGTGGGCAGGCGATGCTACAGCGGCCGACTTTACCGACGACGGGTCGCTCTCGCGACCTCGTGATTCGGCGGTTACGTCACGATCTATTCGTGGCGCGGGCGTATTACAAATTCGCGGTCTTAACTTAACGCAAATTGATGCAAGTTAATACTAATTAATACAAATTAAAACAGGCCGAGACGTGATAAGGAGCGAAGGCGGAGCGTACGTTAGACGGCGAAAAATTCCCCTTTTTGAAGAGAAGTCTATTTTCCGCGTTATTTACGAAACTCTGGCAGAGCAAATTAAAACCGACCACGTGTCCACGGTCACGTGTGTAGTCGCGTTGAATTTAAATCCACGCGTACTGTAAGTACTATACAGGGTGGCCGTATTAAATCCTATGCAGCCCCTTCGCGCAATTTTGGAAGCCTGGAAAACGCGCCAGCATTAATCTACATATACAGTATGTGGTTAATGTAATATAATTGTTATTTTTTATATAACACGTCCAGATTCAAGAAATAATTATTGATTTACCAACAAGCGAAATTAATTAAATTATAAATAAATTTTAATATACCTATACAATCTTACTAATCTTATATCTCATTAACGTTTGTTTAAATGTAAATATAATTTATTTAAACATTCATATTTGACGTTTTATTTAAATGTAAATATTTACATTTAAACAAACTGCATTTCATATTTAAATATAAATACACAATAGTGACATAAATAATCATATTAACCATCTCGCCGACGTGTTAATTAAACAAGTGTAAACGTCAGTAGCGCCGTCTGCAAAAGTATCTTTGCGCGATTCTAGATTACAAAAATATAAGGAGCAAAAAAAAGGGAAAAAATATAAGAAGAAAGAGGAAATAAATATTTGATATGAATTACGAGTCTGCTCTCTGTAGCTGCTATATATTTTTGTAATTAAAATAAAATATAGACGATTCTTTGCAGAGAAATAGATCATCTGGGAAAGCAACGAGTAAAAGTGTTCAGCAACAATGAACAAACCCAAAAGAGATTTGCTTCTCCGTTCGCATCTACATAGCCTGTATTCTCATGGGCCACACAACCGGTAGTTATTATAATTATTATTTCCACCACTGTCCACCACGACTGGGCGATCGACTTGTTGTGTTTACATCGGTCCAATTGTGGAAAAACTGTATTGAAAGAGAACACGTGCGAAATATCGAACGGAATCATCGCGACACCTGTCACCTTGACGCGGCGGTCTATCTGATCCCACTCACGATTGAAAAAATCGTAACGGGTATTCAACGACCTGTAAACCGCTGAGAGGGAAAGAGAAATCCATAAGAGAGAGAGGGGAACAGCGCGGTTTCTTAGACGATTTCATTACCGGTAAAAAAAAATGCTTTAATTTTCATATATAATGATAAGCGTGAAAAAATTCTCTTATATGTACTTCAATCTTTCTATATATTTTTCAGAAAAAATTCGCACAAAAAAAACACGAGTTTTTTTCATCAAGGTCTCGCATCTATAATACAGGATTTCGTTTCGCTTGTAAATCTGTTAGATATTAAAGTATAATTGAAGAGACGAGCATGGCGGAGAAATGTGCGAGCGCGAACGACAAGGAGTATCCGCCGGCGAAGAAAATCAAGCTGGTGGACCTGGTGGACGACGACGGGAGCATCGACGCGGTCGAGGGGAACTCGACCGAGAATGACGCGAGTGAGGCGGAGCTGGATCTGTCGGGTTTCAAAGTGACCAGGGTGCTGCAGAATAACTGCGCGCGGAAGTTGATATGCATGGAGGGGACGTTCGAGGACCGGGAGGGCCCGGCGGTCGTGCTGCTCGAGCAGAGGAGCTTCCCTTACGACAAGGTGGTCCTGGAGAAGGATTTCTTCGACGGGAAGACGACCTACCGGAAGACCTTCACCAATGATGTCTACAGAAACTACAATTGCTTCCCGACCGAGGAGCAGAACGGTACGATCGGTCTGCTTCAATCTGCAATTTTTTGTACATCAATTGCCGTTTTACGAGCGAATCTGTTTTATGTCTATTTCTACCAAGGTAGATTAACTTTAATCCAGGTTTAACTTACTTTGTATCTTTTTTCTACTTTTAAGAATTAGAACAAGATAAAAAGTAAATAAAAACCGTGATTAAAGTTAATCTACATTAGTAGAAATGAACATTATTTTTTTTTTAAGGCCTGCGCGCGACCGTGATATACCCCGCCTCTCAGACGCACATCGACAAATACAAGAGGCAGGAGTTATATGTGATAGACGAAACCTACGAACTTTATCAGCAGGTCACTCTCCCCTACATAGAGTCGATGAGTCTGAGTTTAGAGGTATAATTTACTTGAGATAAACGTTGAATTGCATACTTGATGCAATTTTGAAAATCATACAAGAATACAAGGCGTATAGGATATTTGATTTCTACATTGTTTGGTTTTTTTTTCAGTGGATAACTAACATTCTGGAGCACAAAGCTGAACAGGAAAATGTTATTTACGAGGACCCCGACAAGGATAGTGGCTTCGTGTTGGTGACGGATTTTAAATGGGATGGACAGACGGATACGTTGAAGTTATTGGCCCTGCCATTCCAAAAAATAAGATCACTGAGAGAGTTGAATGGGTCTCATCTGCCTTTATTGAAAAATATACGGGATGCCGGGACGGCAGCGATCAGCAAGAAGTTCAACGTACCTGCGTCACAGCTCAGAATGTACTTCCACTATCAGCCGTCGTATTACTATCTACATGTGCATTTCTGCTATCTTATGTTTGAGGCACCAGGTAAATTGGTATAAAAAACCTATAAAAATAACAGATAATATATGTTTTATGGATAATTTAAGAATGGGCATTTCTAACTGCAGAATTTGTTTTCCTTTGTCTAGGAATATATGTGGAAAAGGCGCATCTTTTGTCGACGGTTATAAGAAACTTAGAACTGATGCCGGACTATTATACGAAAGCGGTACTTTCGTACGTCGTGTTCAAAGGCAGTCCACTGTACGAAAAGTTTAAATCGCACGGAGCGCTACAGACGTTGACGTGTGAAACGCAAGAGACTGTAAATATAGACTAAATAAGACTGCTTTACTTAGAAAGAACGTAAGTTACGTATTCTACGTTTGTGTAACGTACGACAAGAAATTGATGTGTATATTTTATTTACCAGTTGAAAATAAGAAAGGAGACCATTTCATAAAACATGCAGTGTTGTTAATCAGAAACATCTTCAGCAGAAGCAGCGTATTAAATCTTCTTATCAATCACAGTTATATTGGAATCACACCTTGAATTACTTATAGCTAGAAAACATTGCAAAAGACTAAAGAGTACTTATTTTTTATACAACCATTTTTTTACGTTACGTATATATTTTACGAGAAATACGATAATTTTTATTTAAAGAAAGTTTTATTTCAAATGTAGTGTATCATAAAATATAAAGTTTTTATATTTTTTTATATTTTTGTAGCCACTTAACTGAGTTTTAAAAGTAAGAAAGCATATGAATTTTTTTGCATTATATGTCTAAGTGTAGGAAAAAAATAATTTCTCACTTTTCGCTGACTGTAAAGAACGGGAATTTTCAAAAAATTAGAAAAATAAAGATTAAAATAAATATTTACATGATAATATGTAATTGCAAGATCAAGAGGCGTTGTATTCGCAAGAAAAATTTATATAAAAATACATTGTGTAGGATGTGTTGTAATATATAGATAATTGGTAAGGGCGAAAACAATAAATATACTTCACCACTTATAATTTCTTTTGTCGCTTTTAAACCTTTTTATTCGTTTGTATACGACACCATTTAGTAGAGAGCAAGTAAAAGTATTTCTGGAACATGAGAAAAGAAACTTGTATAGTGTACATATACATACATACGTGTATGTGTATATGCGTTCTTGGTTTATTAAAAATTCGGTCAGAATCGCGTTTGCGTAGTGCAGATTTCCTTAGATATCTGCGATAATCGTCTTCACTTTTGTATCTACGAGCAAAGTAAAAATCATTTCTCAAGACTAATAGGAACCTGCAGGTACAACTTCAATCAATAACATAAATCCGCGTGTATTAAAATCAAATTTCAATATTGCTGCGTTCTGTATGATATTGCCAGCTAACACGCTTCTTATATTGCTGTCGCTATTACATTTAATGTAACTTTATCCCGTTTACAAAAGAGAGAGACCGTCGATCGGATTGACACGTTATTCAAAAGACCGACCTCTGCTAGTTTAACTGTGGCTTCTACTACAAGCGGATATTATCTACGAGAATTACTTTCGTTTAAACGAAACAACGTTTATCCAAAATAAATCGGAAATGTCGGATTGTGTCGCCAGTGTCTGCGTCAAGATAAATGAATTCACATAAATCATGGAAATTCCTCTCCTTGTTTTCTTAATCGCCGATGACAAGAAAATCGTATGTATGTAAACGTGCAACGCACGAATGAACATCGTGCAACAAATAAAAATAATGCCATTAAAAGTAGTAACGTCATAACGTAATAATGTCACAGTGCACCCAAAAAAAAAAAAATGGAGTTTAATCAATATCTAGTCGACGTATAAACTATACGCAACATATATCAGTTTTTACAATGTTTATTTTAATAAATATTGCTATAGAGATTATTTGTAGCGGTACGTAATACACAATAATGTCATCCATTATTAATATCATCGATAAGATCTCTCTACTTATGTTCTGGAAAAAAAAATCTTTTTATATAATTACATATAATTTGAATGAACATCTGTATATTCGAAAATAATTCTTAGGCGTTTCTTTCCCAGCAATTTCGTTTGTTTCATAACGACTCCAGAATTTTTCTTTTTTTTTTTTGTTTTTGTCGCAACAGCGTGGATTTCTGTAAAGTTGTTTTACATTGTATTACTATCAATCTACAAATTGTAAAAGAATCACATATATATCTCTCTTCTATGAGATTTGCACTACTACGGGATATTGCAAGAAGAGGAATCTCAATGTGCTCTCACATCTTTCTCTAAAAGGAAATATAGTATGATCTCGAAAGGATGAAAGGAAGAATTTATAAAGCGTGTATTTTAATATGAAAACAAAAGTCAAATATATTCTGTATGACCGACTGATAGACAGAAAGTATGCAGAAGAGAAGGATCATTATAAATATAAGATTGTTGCGGCACCGGGGATCAGAGAAGTGCCGTCGTTCGCAACCGGATTCTCTTCGGTCACGAATTATCGGTAGAAACGCATTATGATTTATGATAGTGTCGTACATATATATTGGTTCATATTTCGTGAGTTTTACGATTAATCGTAAAAGAGTTCTCTTGGCCAGATTCTTATTATTTTTCTCTTTCTCTTTAAATTCGCTGCTCTCTCACACATACACACACTCACACACACACATATATATATATATATATATATATATAATGCAGCACGTGGTTCTCTTCAGTTAGGCGTAATGTCACACACTTGGTTGATTTATCTTCAAAAAAAAAAAAAAAAATCGTTACAGTACGCTAAAAATTTCATTCGACGAATCCCGCATTGTCGGTTTCGTAATGAATCGTTAATAAGGGCATTTGCGTGCACGGTTGCGCGATACATGAGATCAATAGCGGTGTTTGCTGTTGTTGCATTTAATATGCTACACTCGTCGCTCGCAGCGATATAAACTTAATTGCTACGCAATGACAATAAGTACGCAGTTAAATGTATGTTTTGTGGAAGCGCACAAGACGTTAATAACTAATAGTAATATGTAAAAAAAAAAAAGAAAAAGAAAGAAAAAACGTCCGCGGTATACTCTTTCCATTGGAAATTGCGATCCGATTCGAGACGCCGAAAATCTCGAGCGTTGTAAAAACGAAAAAAAGCCTTTTTATTGTCAACTCGCCAACTTAATAAATTAGCTATGTAATATCAGAGAACTTATAAATTATATTCAGGAAGCAGGTATTACAAAAAAACCTGGATCTTCTTTTGTGCATGTCTCTAAATCTTTCTCTTTCTTTCTTTCGCTCTCGCTCTCTCTCTTACACACACGCCCCGAGAAAGAGTGGCCGAACGAAAAATCTAACGTAAAAATTAAGTACTTTGTTAACGCACGTCTTCCTCCTTGTCGCGCCAAGTGTAAAACGATGCATTTGGAAATAGGAAAAACTTACCTATTAGCGATCGATTAATTATCTCGTTATTAATTTATTATGATAAGAGAACATCGTTATATGTAGTAACTAAAATAATTGTACATATATATGTATGTGTATACGCGTAGGCGATCGCATGTGATTCTTATGTGCACGCGATGTGTACGAGTATACACAAATAAATATGTAAAGCGAATGTATATTTACACATGATGATTATGTAATTGTGTCTGTATGTGTGTGTTTTTCTTTGCGTCTGCATGTGGGTGTTATATATGTGTGTTTGTGTATATCACAATAAACTCAATGTATACGATATTATCTCGCATAATATTAATTGCTTATCAAGCCAGCCTTCTCTCAGATGGAATTAAATCCAAGATAAGTAAATTAGCCAAAAAAAAAAAAGAGGAAAAAGAACCACTACAGCATACGTCCTGGTCAGGTACACGTATTTCACGATCGATACTTTTTTGACGAATTAGTAGTCTCCTTGAACTTTATTTTTCGCTTTTTTTTTCTTCGCTGACAAGCCCGTCGTTTTTAAGCACTTAAAACTCGTTGTCCAATGAAATCGACAAATATTATAACGTAAATTGACCTTTTTAGAACGAAATGACTATGCCACGCAAGTGCCCCCGACAGTTATACCGATACGTTTACGAAGCGGTATCAAAGTTCCTTTCCGACAAATATTTACATGTCTGTATAGTCTTCGCGGATGTTATCCGTGTACAAACAAGTGTAAGCAAACGCAAATCTAAAATCGAAACTTATCAACGAACGAATTTTATTCGCAAGAGCAAAGGTAAGTATAATATCTTTGACACTGGGACACAACAATTCGGAAAATAGAAAATGCACATACGGTTTTTACCATTTCTTTCACTCCCCCCCCCCCAAAAAAATAAAACTAGCAACCATAGGAGTTGTTTCGTGCATTAAAAAGAGTACACGAATACACGATATGCACGTTACTAACGTATGCAAATTAGAAAACTTCTACGTAACGTTTCTTACAAGTAACAAACTAGCACTGCTCTTTTGAGGACAAACTCAAAATTTAATAATATACACATTGTGCAGGAAAGCCTTTACAACGTCGTCCTTTATGTCGATCATTCCGGGAGACCGGGGTGGACTCAATTCGCAATTCGCATCATCGAACAAAGTCCAAATGCTAAATCTTAGTAAAGGGAGAGGAGTTCTGTATTCTTCTTTCCATTAGAAGGCGAAAAAGTTCGAATGTTGGATATCTAGTAAATATTTGTGCTTGTAGAACTTCCTCCATCGCTTGACTAGTTGGTCATGATCCCACTACTAGTGTCCATAAGTAAATTGTCATGACAGTGCTTTGTATGTACAATTATGGAAGAATGACCTCGTAAATAGTTAACAAGTTTACACAACATTTGCAACGTAATGAAGCAAGTACTGGCTTTCTTGCGGATAGAATAAAAAAAACGCCAACTTTATTATAATGATTAATTGTTCAATCAATTCCACACGCACACACATACACACACGCACACACACAAAATCCTTTGATCATTAATCAATTATTCGTAATGCCATCGTATGCTCTTAAACAACTCTTCCGAAATATTCCACGTGGGCCAATTAAAATTAAAATAAAGTAATCATTTCCTTTTCTCATTAATTTTTCAAGGTGAAGGTACATAAACCTACAGAAATCGAAATTATAACATATAGCACCCACTCGAATACACCGTAAGTGAATTGATAGACTGATGGAGATCACATCGTTTTAGCGAATATTTAAAATTACTGGGCGCTTAGATATACGCCATGTACAAATTGTTATGTTTTTATAAGAGTAAACAGATCTCTCAGGTAAACATTATGTACCACACCTTCAATGGTGTCATAAAGCTTTTGTCAAAGTCATGTACTATTTTCTGTACATATATGTATATGTATAGATATGTATTTATATGTGTATATATATGTATGTAATTGATATACATATATATATAAACATATAGCGTGTACATATATATACATATTGTACACAGATACATACGTTAAGAGTAACAATTAAAAAAAGGAAAAAACAAAACTTCTCTTTTTCAACTCTGAAAATTATATTAATGGACGTCACAGTAAGAAAAAAGAACTTTATCCACATTTTTATATCTAGTCACAATGTAGTTTTATCAACTTTTTCAATGCTAAGTAATGAAATAAATATTCCTCTTAGTTAAATAAAGCGATCTTAATACGAAAATAACTTTTTTTTTCTATCTTTGTACTCGTAATAAAATTATCCTTTTTTTGCGTTTAAACTCTTTTAAACCAAATGTATGGCATTACATAGTCTCATATACCAGCATGATAATTAATGCCATGTTTTTTTCTTTTCTTTTTTTTAAATTAAATCAAGTTAGCCATCACATCTTTTCATTACTAACGTGCTCTATGAATCAATCATTCTTATCACATGGAAATTTAATTTTTTTTTAATCCTGCGAAAAATGCAATGGCTACACTTTACGCCGTTTTGAAAGCCAATACATAAAACAAACATTATTAAACTAAAAGTATGAAAATTTAAAAGCACAAAAATACGCGCATGTGTGCATGTGAGAGTATCATCAGTACGGACATTACGATTATCTAAAAACAAAAAAAAAATTTGGCGTCGCGACATTTACTTTGATCCTTCCTGGATAATGCTTGTACTTCTTTCTATGTTGTCAATGGCTATTTCTCCATGATGATCGCGTAACATAAAATGGCTCAATATGCCAATGATATTTAAATAGTTTGTATGATGGACTAGCTTCAGTTATACCGACTTGAATAAGAATGCATCTTTGACAAGTCATCGTATGTTTAGGCATATGCTGCAGGAAGATCGTAACACGGATATCAACTCTCTTTCCAACTTCTCCCTTATCGTGACTTTGGTATTAAAAAAAAATATCTTATCATTTTTCTTATACTCTACATAAAGATCGATTTGAAACGTCAAATCAACATGTTAAAGTCATACATATGTATAAAAAATCTATATCATAACGTTAAGCATATGACAAAATGTATAAGACAAACTTGCCGAGGTATTCTTGTAGAGTACAAAATATATTTTTTTTACTAACATATAAACTAACGGTTAGATATATCGATTTTTTAATTAGTCATCACTGTCATCGATATTTATGCATGTACAATTGAGACATGTATAATTACGCATGCGCGTAATTATGCATGTATAATTACGATTACGCAAGCCGATTGTTTCTCAATAAATCGTTACACACCCGTAGAGATCAACCTGCAGCATAAATGTTACAAATTAAAGACTGTCACTGGATTTCCTCGACATTCTAGAAACCAGTGCCGCGTCGCGTGATCATAAGTAATGTCAACGGTTCCTTTTTTTTTTCATCTTTTTTCGAAACGACAAGACACGAATACAAAATATGTTTCGCGAAGTTTCTCATGGAAGACTTCCAGGTTTTGTTTTTACATTGGGGAGATGGATCGGTATATATAATAAAAATATGTCTTGTCTTTAAAGAAGACGTGTGCAGAAAGGATTCAGCGGCTGAGAGATCCGCATTTTTTTGCGTTACTTGTGAACTAAATGACAACATTTCCACGGAGAAACTTGAAACATTCTTTTGTAGTTGATGTATCCTACTACTCGGGTTTCTGATGAGAGAATTGCAGTTCCTTAAGCTTCGGTCGACGCTACAAGGGAACTTTTAGGCGTGTACGCTGTCGCATTCGGATCCAAATTTGACACGGTACACCCCGGACAAGGACTTTCATTCGAACGTATTTTTGTTCCTGCTACTCTCACTTCACTATTTAAACGAAGCTTGGACGTCGCACAGGTTGGCGCTGGACCAAATGTGTCTTGTGGCATCACAGCTAAATCTTGCGCTATTTTTGTTTTCAACATCTCGATTTCTTTTTCTTGAGATCTGATTAAGCCTGATTTAACAGAAAATAATATGATACATACATTGCCGGCGGCAATAAAGTGTGCGGTATAACATATGTGTCCCTATTTCCTTCAATAAATGTTCACGCTTACTTCGATCGTACATACATATATTGCAAATATTCAGAAATAAAATATATGAAACATTAAAAAAAAACGTAATTACGCAAAATGTATGAAAGTTGCGTGATGTGTTTTAATTACTTACCTTCACGGATTTCTAATTGCCGCTTAACTTCGCCGAGTGCCGAAAACAAATCCAGTTTTATACGCGTCTCCGCGCTCAAGCTGTTTTCCAAATGAGCGTTTTTATCTTGCAGCGCATTGAGTGCAGGGAGTAGAATTTCACATTCTCTGTGGCTCTCTTTACAACGCACTGCGTCGTTCTCCAATGCGTTACATCTGAATCAACATACGATATACAGATTTGCGCATTGCTCATTTTACATTGTTTCGCAGTTATTTAAAATTCAAGATCGTTTTTACGGGGATTCATTTCCTCTTACCTTTCTTCCTTCAATTTGAGTTCTCGGCGCAGATTTTTAAGGTCCTGTTCCATTTGAGATCTTCGACTCTTGCACGCGTCAGTGCACTCCTGCCGGATAAGCGGAGGTGGCGGCGGCGGAATCGCGGAGCGTGCCTCTTCGGCGGCTCGTCGTGCCCTTCGCTCGGAGAGCAAGGACGCTTCGCATGCGTTACGTTGCTTTCGCTCTTCCGCAATTCGCTTTTCCAATGATGACACTGTCTGCTTATCCAATTGACGCGCCGTCACTAGACCATGTAATCTACAATGTTAAAATTTATATTATAGGATTGGGTTATCTATTTATAATCCAAAGATCAAAGTAAAAATTTTCTTTCTCCCTTTTCTCTGTGTACTATATTTTACCGCAAATTAAAATTAAAAAAAAAAAAAAAAAAAAAAATACAATTTTAAACATCTAATGATAAAAATGTGTCGTAGTATTTTACGATAAAATTTATAGAATTTATAAAAAGAGTTGTATAATAAAGTAGACAAACTTTTTAATATTTAAACATTTTTTTTAAATAAAGTTTTTATAAATGTCAAATATAATTATTATTAATTATTTATCCTTCATTATTGAATTTTCACAATACAAACTTTAACATTTTATATACCTTTTATGTATTTTCAGATTTCAATTTTTAACAAGCTGAAAATATTGATGACTTTTTTGCTACTAAACATGATTTTTGTCCAAATATTAACATATGCAGGACAGAACGTAATAATTAATTTGATTTCAATGCATATTTAAATCTGCATGTAATACGTAAAACAATCAAATAACAAATGTTTTAATTTAATTAAAATTTGAATAAATCATTACAAAAAAAACTTTATAGCTAGATATTCTCTTTCAGAAATATTATATTAATTCACTTACTTGCTTTGCAATTGATCGTTATCATGTTGGAGTTGTTGAATGTCGTTCTTCGCTTGCCGCTCTCCGTTGAGCAAGACATTAATTTGCGATCGTAATTCTTGTTCCAACTGCCGACTTGACTGCAAATCTGACTTCAAACGTTTTATGTCCGCCTCGAGCCTGCGACACACCAGTAACCTATTTCAACGACAAATCATGCTGAAGAGAAACTGACGAGGAGGTCTACTAGAGGCATGCAAGACGGTAATAGGATTTGTGATATCTAAATGTGAAGTACGATATACCAGATTTTTCATTAGAGTTTCAATCTGTGCCTTCGAAAACATGTGGGATTAGCAGAATTTCTGTATAGCGACTCTTACAATAATGTATAATTTACAAGAAAAGTTTCTCTCGTACGATATACCTTTGATAATAATCGTCTTGCTGTTTCTGTTGCTCCGCCGTGACGTCGCTCGTATTTTTAACCTGCTTCTTACGCTCCCGTTGGGCATTGGTAGTCGACGATGAATCCCGGCTTTCCTTCACGTTATTCCATTTTCCCGTTACCGAACCGTTCGTTTGCGATTTTATCGTAGTGTGTCCGCAACCCTTGATAGATTTATCCTTTTCTACCTCGTTTACGTCAAAATCATTTACAGACCTGTTTTGAAGAAAATCGCGCCGATAAGTATTTTACGTGAAACTGAAGTGTGGCTAAGGAGAGATAAATTTTTCGATATGAAAAATCGACCGTACCCCACCCTCTCGATGAGTTGTATGTCACTGTGCGATACCGTGCTTCCGTTACTGTGTATAAATCTCTTGTCGCTTTTGTCCGACGGTGAATTGTTTGACACATTGTGTTTATTATGCTGCTCTTCCTGCTTTTCGCTCTTGTCTAAGGATTTCCTATGAGTACTCTTGGTAGTAGCACTCTGTGTTTGTGACGTGACCTGGCTACTATTGTGTACCCCGCCATTTTGTACGTTCGTTTCTATGGAATTGTTATTACCCTCTGGAAGAACAAGCGGAGACAATTAAGATGCGTGTAATCACGGCGATTACAGCGGCATGCTGTATGTCACACTCGGGGGATAATGATTGATAATAAATACAAGCTACCTCTGCTTTTTTCAGGGCTTGGATTATACTGTGGACTCAATTTGTGTGCTTGAGTTTTGACGTGTTGTTCTAGCGACGCAGTGACCTGCTGTGTCTGTGGCTGCACCTGCGGTTGGATTTGCTGCATCGACATAGCTTGTTGCTCTAGAGGCAGTGCTTGCTGCAGTAACTGCAGGTAGAACTCGTTCTCCTTTGCCACGTCTTTCTGTTTTCTCTGTCAAGGGCAAAAATCGAGGCACATAAATATTATTCATCGTGACGAGCGCATTGGGCAAAAACATTACATGTATTTTATAAATAAATCAGCGTGTAAAACTGTGTATAAATCTCTTGTCGCTTCTTTTGTCCGACGGTGAATTGTTTGACACATTGTGTTTATTATGCTGCTCGAAGACTAACCTGCCTCATTCTGTAGCCTACATAGCTCTTGAAACCAAAGCCCAATGTAACTACAGGATAGCCAATGCTGGAAAACAGAAATCGTATTGCAGAAATATTTACTTGGAGCGAACGGACGTAAACAGATTACATATTATACTAATATATCAATTAGTACAATAATCTATTTACATGCGTTCGCTCCAAGATACATGTGACGTAACATAATGTTTTTATATACTCTGCAAAAAAAAACAAAGATAAAACTATTACCAATGTGCTGCAAACGGCCGACAGAGGTCTAGGTGAAATGGCATATGTCGTAAGTCACGCAACCGCACTGCTGCTTCTATATATAGAAATAGTAGCCACAGCATCACAGTTGGTAGACACACTCCTTTATCTGTAAATAAAATATGAATACGTTTGATTAATGTTTTATGTATCCATTAAAAATAAATGATTCCTACAAATATAGTTCCTCATGCATGGTTCCAAGCACGAACCGTGTATGAGGAATATTTTGACGGATATACATATTATACATTTGTCCGTACTTCAAAGAAATTCGTTTTATGCGTACCTGTGTGCCAGACGTATTGCACCCAAACGTAAGTGCTGGCAGCAAAAAACAGCCAATGCACGGGGATAAAAAAGAAGCAAATCATGTCTGACGTAAGTGCAATACAAATAAAAAATACAGAGAAGGCCTGTAAGAGAGAGAAAAAAGAGACAATGAGATTTTACATGTACACGATGTGATGTCCGATGTTGTATCATATTTCAATAATTGAGTAACGTCGACACTTACCAAGCCTTGATATTTAAAGGAATCGTAAACGCTTCGGAGGAGTAGCCAGAACGGCCACAAAAATTCAAAACGGAATTCCAAAATGAAGTCTGCCAAGATCACCATGATCCATAGTAGAAGAAACTTCAGATAAAGCAAGGTACTGAAACAAACAAGCGTAATTAATTCAATGTCCGCTATATCTTTGCCACTTGCTGGATTAAAATTTACGACGAACGACACACATATCTGCTGTACATCTATCTTGGATCTGTTCTTTGTAGCTAAGCCAGCGTACGCTCGTACTTGAGTTGACATAAATGTAAATATACTTTGAAGCTTGACAAAAGCGAGAAAGAAGAATTTAATACAGTCCAGCGACAAGGAACGAATCTACTGTATGTAAGAGCCTACTGATCTTTGCAAGGTCAATCAGCACTTTCTTTCAAAATATCAGATAAATATGTTTGGACCGCAAGATACGAGATACAAGTTGGCGTCTTCGAAAACACGGAGAGCTTACATAACGCCGATCGAGATCTCGTGTTCTCCGAATGGAAAAAGAGAGCAAGAAGAAGAAGAGAAATCCATCGGTTATCGCGTCTGTTTTACTCCGTTATCGCGGCTGCTCAGCCGCGGTGCAGGCTGTACATGGAGCACATGGGACGCCGTAATGCGATAAGCTACACGGAGGGATGTTTTGGCTACACGAGGCTGCCGAGGCGAGAGAAAGACGGGGGGGAGGACGCCGGGGAACGAGGTAGAGATGCGTACGGATGTCTGACCCGCAGGTAAGTAAATGTCAAGCTAGACGAGAGCGCGGCGTCGACTCGGCGTCGCGGTTGCTCGGCGTTCATTCGCGCGCGATCGTCGCCGTCGACATCGTCATCAACAATATCATCGTCATCATTATTATGATCGTCGTTCTCGTCGTCGTCGTCGTCGTCGTCGCCGTGACCCGTAACACCTCGCGTCCTTTTCCGCGAGGTGGGCGAACGGGGAGGGGAGCGAAGCGTAGCGGAGCGGGGGAGGGGGGCGGGGAGGGAGGAGGGTTTTGGTTACGTTTTTTTGATTACGGAAGGAAAAACGGCCATTCCCCGAGCGTAGGTGTACGCCGTGTACGGCGTACGCATATGGCGGCGCGAGAATTTACCTTCCGTAGATCCCCTCGGTGAGCTTGTTGCGTTTCAAGGGCCTCCGAAGCTTACCGCACTCGACATTTCTCCTCTTCATATTCCTCACGGCACCTTTCACCACCAACCACCAAGGCTTTCCAAGCAGCGACGTTACTCGCGGGGCGCTTTACGGGGGGGTAAAACGGAAAAAAAGCGGGCCGCGGCGGCGGCGGCAGCGGCGGACACAACACACTCGCGGGGAGCCTACCACACTCGGCTGCTGCGCGCGGGGGTAACACACTCGCGTGCGGAAAAAAAAACTCGGGCTCGCTCTCTCTCGCGCGCGCGAACTTCTATCAGTCTCTTTTGTTGTCATTCGTCTGCGGACAGACTCGAGGTCTCACGGCGGTTTACCAAGCAGCTGATTGGTCCATCGCGGGACATGGCGCTTTAATCAGCGACGAGAAATCACCTGCCGATTGTATTAATCGCGCGGCGCCGCGCACCACCACCGTCACCATCACCCGCCGTCGCCGCCGTCAGCACCGTCGCCGCGCTCGTCCTGCGTCGCGAAAAATCACAAGGCGCTCGTCGCCTCCTTCGAAGCGTGCCGATCGCTCGCTCGCTCGCTCGCCGGCCAATCTCTCTTTCTCTCTCTTCCGCTCCTCTTATCAGCCTTCCTCCCTCTCTCTCTCTCTTTCTCCCCCACGATTTTCCGTCGCACGACGCGATTTCGGGGGCTCTCTCTACGAGCCTTTATCGATCGTAGATGTCTCCCGTCCCGACCGTGCTGCGGTCGGTCCATCAGCTCGTTTCACTCGCGTTAACAGCGCTCCGCGCGACCTGGCAACACGCGCCGCGCCGCGCTCTCCCCTCCACTTCCTCCTCCTCCCGCTCACCCACTCGTCTCCGGCGTCTCTAACTCTTTCGCTCACTCCTTGGCTTTCTCTCTCTTTCTCTCCCCGGCGCGCGTTACCAAGCGAGATGGCTTCCTCTCTCCTTTTCTCTCTCTCTCTCTCTCTCTCTCTCGTCGGAGGGACTTTCGTCTTTCGGCGCAGCTGCACCCGAGAACCGTTATACTGCACAGGACGATCGCGTGTTGCCTCGCGATTACGAAATCGCGAGGAGTCTGCCGTCGTCCGGTCACGTCCAGTGCGGCGAGACCGCCAGGTGCAATCGAGGAAAAAGGAAACGGGACCGCGCGCGCTTTCCCGCGCCTTTGTCAGCTTTGTCCCTCTCGGCCGCGCTTTCCGTCCTCCCCCCTCCGCGGCCGCCGCGCCGGTGATAAGGGCCGGGTCGCGAGCGTACGATCTTCCCGCCAAAAGCGCGAGCGTCCGTCGATCCTCGAGAGAGGAGTTCAATCTCGGATTGCGTTGCGCGCTGTCGGTGTGGCGCTCGTATGTTAATTCGCACACCGAGTCGTCCGGATCCCCGTCGTCGTGAGTCCTGACGAGGAGATCGCTCCCACGATCGTGCCTCTTGATGCCAAAAAGAAGGAAAGCAGCGTTAAGGGACTGACACGTTCGATATACTTGGTACAAATATTTTCTATTTCTCAAACGTCACAGAACGATTAATCCGAACAGCTGATATAGTGTCCCATATGTCGCAAATTCGCTTGTAACACGAGGAGCGGATAACTAATTCATATAACTTGTCGAGTTATTTCATTTCTAATTTGTATATTCAATTAACTTGTAAATCGGCGTTCGCGAAATATTTATACATATATTGATCACGAACGCACGCCGAGACGGGGGAGAAGGTGATAATAATATAGCTCGTAAACAAATAAATATCCAGGAAAAATAAAGGTAGTAAAACGTAATATGCATATATAAATACATCGATCATGTGTAACGTATAGCAAATATTGTTTTCTATAAAAGAGAATGTGCCGTTTTATTATCCGAGCCGCGAATTATGAATATTTACATTAACATGCGATATCGCTAATTATTCATTCGTCGATTATGCGAGCGAGATAAAAAAAAAAGCCGCACGCCTCGGTTGGCCGAGGGAGCGAGAGATCGTTAAGCTGCGCACATGCATGCATATACAAACAGCGAGGAACGAGTCCGACCAATTACGCGTCACCGCGCGTGAAGTGCGCGGCAATGTGACATGTGACGTTGGAGGCGCGATTGGTCGGTCTTATTCGCGGCACATTATACACGCACGATTATGCAAGTCCAACTGGATAAGGCTTTATAAACGCTCTATTTCGACATACGGAATTCCCGGAAGAAAGACACGGGCGTGTCATACTTGATGCCGCTCGACGTCGACGTGGCGGCGGCGGCGGCGGCCGGCGATTCTGCGAAGTTTATCGACTCTGCGCGTCAAGTGGACATTTCCCACACCGGATCGAGGGACTCGAGGGGAATCGAGCGGCTCGGCGTACGTTCGAACGACTCGGGTGTTTTCCAGAGCCGATTCGACTCTCGCATGAGGGTAGGAGAAGATATCCAGCCAAGAGAGGAAGAAGCAGCGAGGAGAGCTCGGTGTTCCGTCAGTTCGGCGAGGATGGAGAACGAGAAGTACTCGTCGGCCAATCGTAAGCTCAAGACTTACCTGTCGTACGGCGTCGTCCTCCTCGTCGTGTTCGCCTTCGCCGCGTACAAGGCGACGAAGGACAGGGCGACGGCGTCGGTGATCGCGACCACCCTCGTCGCGTCCGTCTTCCTCATCGTCTTCCTGATCTGCGACGTGACGCTGCGCCTGTGCCAGACGCTGGTCTCGTTCACCACGGACGTGGATCAGCAGTCCGGGGAGAGCTACTGGTCGGTGGCGAGGTACCACTTCGCCCTCAACACCCCGTCGGCGACCATCGTCGTCATCGGCGCGCTCCTCGTCCTCTGCCTGAGCATCACCATCCGCAGGTGTCCGGTGAGCTACGCCTGGGACTTCGGGCCGTACGTGTGCGTGCCGCTCATGATATTCTCCGTCTGCCTGTTCAGGATGAGCAACCTGGCCGAGTGGGAGACGGGATCGCTGTCCGATCTCAGCCATATGAAGGGTCTGGATTACGGCACCGGTATGGCGTACAACTTTTACTACGGCTACCTGCGACTCGTCCTACCGTCCAGCGAAACCGTCAAAAAGGGCATAATCGAGAAGATCGAGAACTTCGAGGACAATCACAACGTGACGTTTCCGGTGCACAAGCTGTTTGTCCTGATACCGTCGTCCGGGTACATCCCGCCGGACCTGAAGGAAGCGTCCGACCAGTGGATGGAGAGCGCGCACGAGCTGGAGGAGGATAAGCGCAACCGGGCCGGCAACATAGGCAGGACTTACCGCAACAACGTCTACAAGATATATCCCGATGGTAGAAATTCGGGCAGGGATCCGGTGTACGCGGTGGTGGAAGGCGCGACACCTCTGCTGACGTTTTACGAGGTGCAGAAGCACGATCATCCCGAATCTGCCGTGTACAAGCGAAACAAACGTAAGATTATCGAGATATTTTATACAAAACTGCACGAGATTTTGCAGAGCAACCCGCAAACCAGAGATTTATGTGAATTAATTTATTACAATGATAACGACGCGAATGGCGACAGAGTTAACGTTGCGACGATAATCTTGGAAAGGATATTTGAATTAGGTCGCTCTGCAAATAGATTAGGCGGCACACGTATGTCCTAAATGTGTGACAAGTTTCGTAAACTTATACCTGATAACTACTGCTATAAGTTTTATAAACATATACCTGATAGCGCTACTTCCATATGATTGTACTATTCTACATTTATGTATATTTCAACGACTGTTATACATAAATTTATCTAATATTTCTCTGTAGTGCAAAAGAAACGTAAGCGTTTGCACTGCATTTGACGAAATATCCTATGTCTATCTCGCCAAAGAATCTTAGTATCTGTAGAACCAGTTTTATGCATAACAGTCTTCAGCACTGAATGAATTTGCTATGAGAATATACATGACGCACAACAGTGTTTAAAAATTATGTTCGATTATGTTATTTTACTCGCAAGTAACGTATCTTTGTTTTCATATTTTAACTTTGTCTCAATGGATTTCGGACCAGTGAAACGTATTGCGACTACGTTATCTTTTTAGTCTACTTATTAATTTTCTCCATACTTGTAAAAATGTGACAGAGATTGAAATTGTGATTAATGCATGAGCGTAAAATTTTATATAATTTTATAATTCCTTAAATTCCTTTGCATGATTTTAAAACAGGAGCTATGTATATATGGAATGTCGTTTTATTACATAAAAGTCATAAAACTTTTTATTATGCAATATCTGTATATACGACTTGATTGGCCTCGAACTGTCAGGTTTTTATAAAAATATACAGTAAATACGACAACAGCGATTTACGATACGTTTCAATGCTCAATATAATCTTTTATACCTCATATAGTACTTAAACATTTTTGTACGATGTACGAAATAAAAACACAGTAAAATTTATATATGTATAAAACATGTATATGTATCATTTATTCACAGATACAAGTTCCTTACGAAACACACGTTACAATCGTCGCATTGGCCATTTATAAAAGGAAGACATATGTAAACAGATCGCTAATGTCGCGCGGACATTAAGCACCTTCACATCCACGGCCGTTCTTTATATGCAAATATACGTATTAACATCGGTCAAGAACTAGCGTCTTGAGAATTAAATGATTTGTATACAATACATATGAAATATAAGACAATGGCCTTCCGTGAAGGAGAAAATCTTTTAAAGATTAATAATTCTTAGTAAGACCACTGGTAAAAAGGCACAGAATTAAAGCGTGTTAGCCACGTAATCCATGCGATTGCCGTATGACTGATCCGACAATGCTCTCGAACGTGGCTACGAACACATTTCAATCGTCATGAACGATGGCACGTTGCCTCACATATCCATTTCGAACTGCTCCGCGGACTCCTCGATCACCAGAGAGTTGTTGTCTGTAACGTCACACAAACGTGAGGAAAAGTTCTCTCAATGCAATCGTTATTACGTGTATCGTCATAAGTAGAATGTCTCTCGAATAATATATCACCATATTTGTCTTGTATTTGTTTTTAGTAGGAAAAGCAAGAGAGAGGTCGCACGGGAAGAATCGTTTCAGAAAGTATAAAGCGAACTGACCTTTATTAACATTTTTGGCGGGGTGATCTTTCGTGATGGCCGGCGTGTTGCCCTTCAGCAATTCCGACGGTATGGTCAGCGTGCTCCGCGGTGGCGTTCGGGATATCGGGGAGTTCCGCAAGTTCATCAGAAACGCGCGTTCGTAAACGATGCGAGTACCTGCACGCAGAATTTGAAGATTTAATTTTCTATGGAATCTGCGATTATAATGAAGCTCCACTTTTTGTCTGTGGGTATGTTTTCAAGTTTTCATTATATATGAAAATATTCTTGAATATTAAATTAGGAGAACGGCTAGAGAGAGAGAAACATGTGTAAGAGAAAACCCATGTATCTGTTGCAACGCAATTTGTATTTTTATAGGTGACGCCGTAATTCTCGCGATTAAAAATTATCTGATAAGGTCACGTATTAACGGCTGTGTTGAACAAAGTTAAGTCGGTTTTATCGCAAGTCCGACATTTAATCGTAATTTTATGGTTGTCGATTAGGTAGAAGCTTTCGGTGAATCTTCAGGCAGTTTTCTAGAGGAAAAAATAATGCAGCAAATAAGACTACAGTAGGAGGGAACAATGGACCGATTTTCAAGAAAAATTCGTACGCGGGTTAACGACGCGCAGAAACGACACAATAGCCTGACAGTTATACGAAAAGCGGCGCACACTGCCTATTTATATAAGTGTATTTCTGTACACTGACACCTACCTAACTCTTGAAAGGAGTGCAAGGGTCGGCGAGGATGCCAAAACATAATGGCAGAAAGCAGAGATACGCGCGAAAACAAAGTCAACCGAGGGGACGTTCGAGTTTCTTTGTGTAAGTCACGTACGTTTTAGTCCGTGTAACATGAGTTTTTTTTTTTTACCCGACTGTTTTTCGTTCTTTTACGTACGAGATGAAATAAATTTGTACTCAAAGAAGCTCAAATAAGATTCATTTCGCAAAATTCTCTTTCAACAAAACGCATCATTACGTAAAAAATTCTCATAGAAAAGATTGTGCGCGTTGGGAGTACGATTTAATTAGAAGCTACGTGTGTCAACAATTAATTATTTACGATTTCTCTCCTATCCGGTAAAATCGTTCGTCAACCTGAAGAACGATAGGAATCAGTTTTTTTTTTCTTCTTCGCAGCATAGAAACACGCGTCCACCCGCGAGGCGGCTGCCTGTTGATCGTCATTGTTTACATATCGAGATGTTACGCGAGATTTACGAAGCGTCGCTCGCCGCCGCGCGCTAAAGTTATCCCGAAGGTCCGACCGACCGGCCGTTCTCGCGACGTTGTGTGTATACCCTTGTTTTTCACATCACCGCGACTTTCTGCGCGCCGCGCTGGCGTGGCGCGAGCGCGATAAACATTACGCGTCACCGATTACGCATCAGCCGACGTTCGGGCACGTATCGCGCGCGCGCGCACGCATTAATTCGGCCTTGGCTTTAACGCCCCAGGAAACGTCCCGCGGAGAGAGGAGGAGCAGGAGCGTGGTTGAGTGCACGCGACCTGACTTTGTTGGCTCACCTGGTTCGTACCGGCGGATCCGCCGACGATCTGGCGCTACCGAGTTTCGCTTGCGATCATGTTAAAAAAATAAAAAAAAAAGTAGAGGAGAACAACTGCCAACTGGATGGGCACACACGTAGCTCGTGAATTATCTACGTCTTGGCCAGATTTTTTTTATTTATATCACTAACGACTTTCGTATCTGGATATTTTCAACTCCAGCCGGAGACCGCGAGATTTTCTTGGGAAATCTATGGAAAAACTGGGAATCAGAATAGTGACGAAGACTTCATTTATACCTTTGGCCGTTCTCATTATACGTATAAATCGAGCAGATCTCGGAAAAAAAAACGATTTATCATTAGAAAATATTAACCTAAGTATCGGCAGGTGTTAGATTACTCTTTTCATAACATAGACTTGAGAAAGAGAACAAAATTATTGTATTGTCAACAATCGACTCTTTAAGAATAAGATAAAACAGATTTCTCAGAATTATCGGTATAGAGATATCCGGTAACAATACATCGCATCTATCAACCTTTAGAAGTCTTATCTGCGTGATTTCTCAGACAATTTTTCAGACAAATCAAGATGATAAATCGTTCAAACCGATCGTATTGAAAATAATTTAATCGCAATCTTTTGTGTATTTTTTTTATATTTTATTTTCAATGTTAGGTGCTTTAAGCCTCAAGAGTAAGGTTTCATTGAAGTCCACTTGAAACATTATCTGATAAGTGAACTGCAGTTGTTGCTCGTTAATAGCTAGCGATTAATAACTAAAAAGAATGTCATTTATCGCTCGAAACTATATCGCGTGCGTGGAAAATGCCGCCACGAAATCGGCGAAAGAATCGAGACATCCAGTATGAATCTATTTCACATTTTTTCTTTCTTTTTTTTTGGTGCTTCGCAGATGTATTTACTTCGCGCGACTCGCCTTTTCTCGCCTCCTCTTTATTCTTCCTCGCGATCGAAATGACGCGCATACGAGAAGTGTAAACATAAACGCGCGATAAGTTATCCTTCTATCGTTCGTTAAAAACGCAATAAGTAGAGCCCCGCATTCAATATCTCGCGTTCAATGTCGAGCCCGACGATCTGAACTTCAGCCTTAATAAGTTTAACCCCCTTCAAGATGTAGCAATGGGGATCTGTGGATGTGCCATTTTAATCATATTCGTTTTACTTCAGTAAATAACTTTTTCCTTGAGAGAATTTTTTGCTAATCAATTTCGATCAAATTTGATTACTTACTGCTCCCCCCGGGAAATAAAAGCCCAAATTTGTATCGCTTTTTACAGATAGTTAAAAAATTAACGTGGAATTTGGAAAAAAATACACTCTGCGGATTTACATATTTAACATGCTGTTACCTTTCTTCATAATACACGCAATTATAGTTTCTTATAAGAATTTATTAATTTGCTAATATAATTGAAGGCTATTTAATATATTAATATAATTTCAATATACATATTTATAATAATTATTTAACAGAGCAGTAAGTTGAATTTGAGCGAAATTGATTACTAAAAAAATTCTCTTTCTCTCAAGGGCAGAGTTATTCATTGAATTGGTGGCATAACTGATGTGTGATTCATTATAATAATTATATTTAACATAGACTATACGAAGGGGACACTCAAAGGTTACTAGAGATCTTTGATTAACGATCTGCCGGACGTCGCTCCGCATATCGGTTATGGATTAACGTCAAGGTCACGTTATCGCCGTCGAACTGATAATTGGACTACTTCGACGGGATATAATTTCGCGTGCGACGCAAAAGTCTCCGGATATTTTCCACGCAGACGGGCGATCAAACAAACCTGCGCGCCGAAACCGCGCAATTACGTAACACGCCATCGGCGTTATCGAGTCGCGCTCGCTCGCTCGCTCGCTCGCTCGCGTGCGCGTGTGCGTGCGTACGTCCGCACACGGGAGAGAAAGGGAAAGAGATACACAAGCGCATATCGCGCTGCTGCGCGTAAATACCAATGGCCTTGACGGGCCGTCTTGCACGTGCGCATTTTGTTTGCCGAGGTCGCGAAACGACTTCGAGCGCGGTGTCGAGGTGATCGCGAGATGATCCGCGCGACAATACAGCCTTTACTCCCTTTTATTCTCGCGGATCCCGGGACGCGAGTGGTTCTCTACGGAAGAAACAATTCTCTCTATTCCGTCCCGCCGACGTTCGTCCGTCGAACGGCGGCGATTTATTAATTGATCGCGAATGTGTCCTCAACAATACTCGTAAATACGCGTATTTCTCGTAAAAACAAGTTTCATTGTAGGCCGTCGACGGCTCGCGATACACAGCCTGTGGGAGCCTCGGAGCCGCGGAGGGGCTCTCGAGCGAAGCTAAGAGTCGAGTTATCAGGATTCTGGAGTCGGGAGAGAAAGGAGGAGAGAGAGAGAGAGAGAAAGACGGAAGACAAAACTGACCTCCCGGCGTCGTGGAGTAGAGCGTGCCCCCGGGGGTGGACGAGTAGTCGGTCGGCAGTTGATTGGGATCGTGAATGACGACCCTCTTGGATGGTATGCTCTGGCTCTGGGTGGCCTGTCTGGCGATGGGAGACGCCGACATCTCGTATAGCTTTATGTACGTTCTCTCTTGGATTCTGCGCGTCGATCTGGACGCGTCTCTTTTCTCTCTTTGTTTCTTCTTTCTTTCTTCTCTCTCCGCGTCACGTCCGCCGCGAGAAAAGCAGAGGTCCTTTATTTCTTTTTCTGGCGTGGTCGTCAATGATAAGCGTTGCGCAGTGAGCCACTCTCTCGACGGAGCGTGCACGCGATCCTTTAATGGAGGACGGGGACAGTCGGCGCGACTCCCTTTTGAACGACCGGCTGCGACTTCCTCGCGCTTCGGAGTCTCACGGAACCGGAGAGACCGATTTGCCACGTACGAATCTTTCAATCCGCGATCCGCGTATTCCTCGACGATGCACGCCGACGTCAACGCGACATAACCTAGTACGTTACGGGACGATGGACGACGACGAGGTGGACCGGTTGGGCCGACTCGTCTCACGCAATGTGCCGCGGAATGCGATAAGCCAACGTCCGCTTATATAAGTTTACCCCACCCCTTTCACCCTCTCGTGAATACTCGCGCGACGTCGGGAAGGGGAGGTGCCGAGGTGGTGCGACCGAACTCGCGACAAAAGACGCGTGAGATGCTTGGTAAGGTGGGGTGATCGCGGCATTCGCGGCACCTAACCTGCACTTCTCTCTCTCTCTCTCTCTCTCTCTCTCTGCACCAATAAAAATAAAGTGCAGCACTCGATATTAGATCTGTTTTTGATAGCTGAACCGGCTACACTAGTTCAGAGTTTATCTTTCTTCTTCCAATGTAGAAAGAGAAAGATAAACAGTGAAATAACGTGCAGCAGTTCCGCTGTAAAAAAACAGGCCTATTTTTTTAAGCCCGTGTCGGGCTACGCGTTGGGAGATTATGCGCGATGGATAATTGCGATCGAGTTGAAGATTAGAATTCGATAACTTGGAATAATTTTATTATCCGTTTATTTGTTCTAATCGACTGAAACGAGAAGGATGATTCTCACGCCAGCAATAAAGTGCAGCGATGAAATGGCAAAACTGAAGATACAGCCGGTTTCTATGTAAATTCCGTGAACTTCTCGAACTCTAGTCTTACTCTTGGCCCTTGGGTCCCCCCCCCCCCCGCGTGAATGGACTCGACGGATAATTGAGGAATATTACCGATCGTGTCGATGCAAAACATGTAAACAATTATATTGCTGCATTAAGTTCGCGATTTTTTTATTATGCAAATGCCTCATAAATAAACATGTATATATTTATGAAGCGGTGTCATACGTAATATTATTGCTGCGAAGCCGCGTTCTTTTTATCATTATCACCCGCATGAATAATCGAACGCGGGATGATGACGACGACAGAAAATCGAGCGCAGTTCTGAATAAAAATTGAATATTCTCGCAGGAACATTTACATGTCGATGAGAAACGTTTAGATAACAATTAAATTGTGAAATTAATATTGCAAGCCGAACATTATAAATTAAAAGTTTTCACATTCGCATAAACTATAATAATTACTATCATTCTTCGTAAAAATGACACAAGTGTTTTATTATAATCCTATGCAATTATATCCTACGTAGGGAAAAAAAATTAATTAATGGAAGAGGAAGCCAGTATTAATATTTAATTATTTTCAGATCCAAAAGTATAATCCAATTAGCCTGAAAGCAACCTGCACCGCCATTGGCTAGCCGCGCTTTTAATTTCGAAGATGGCGACGAAGCGAGCTGTATATAGTTTATGTATACACAGAGGTATCTGGAGTCGAGATTCCGGACTATTCTGGAGTCGTGATACATATAACGGATCTGCGTTCGTGCGGCCGGTAGCCGGTACACCTGATACTGGATATCTCTTGTACCTGAATGAGAGGGAAAGAATAGGGTTTTCTCGCTAGCGCGTATTGCGATTTTTTTTAACGAGACCTTTTTCTGCGAAGACAAGTGTATATCCGCGATGAATCCCTCAGAGCCAAGCGGCACCGAGACTCTCAGGTACAATGAGTTCACATTGGATGACACTGAGATAAGGTTATACGCCAGCTTACTTTTGACGCTCTTGACAGATCACATAAAGCTTTTCATTATATATTTCACAACTCGCTATTTTCGATGTGATTTCCGACGTGTGTTGCACTACCTACTATATCCCAAGTTTGTTGTATGTCGAGCGATGTTCATTTTTTTACACTTCTTCTGTTTTTTTTAAATGCGTCTAAAAAGCACTCGTTGCATTTCTCTTTTTTAGCTCTAAGATGAAAGATGTGATTGACGTTCTCGCGATGCAGCGCGAGAAAAGGAATACATTACAAAAAAGCATTACGATCGATTATACCAAGTCTAGCGATAGCTTTACCGTCTCACGGTTTATCTTCGAATGCGGTACGTGTTGTACAAGCAGTATGTTGTTAAAAAAAAGTTACCTGTGTAACATGGGAGCTTCGGTAAGACTTTTTCTCTCTGATTTGCAGGTCTGAAATTGGAAGCTCATCCACTGACGATAGCTACCGCCGCGACGCTATATCACAGATTTATTAAAGAGGCGACGCCACAGGGATATGATAATTATGTAAGATTGGATCTGGGTACAGCTGTTTCAAAAGACTCCGGATGATTTCTTAACGAATACGACAAATTTCGTCTCTTTCCAGCTGCTGGGTGCGACTTGCCTTTATCTGGCTGGTAAAGTGAAGGATGATACGCTGAAGATACGAGACGTGATGAATGTATCCTATAATACGCTTCACAGAGGATCTCAGCCGCTCGATCTCGGAGATCAGTATTGGAGCATGAGAGACGCGATCGTTCAAGCTGAACTTCTAATCATGAGGATGCTCAAGTTTCAAGTCACGCCGGTGCATCCGCACAAGGTATTGCAAATGTTACCAACTCTGGGAAAGCAAAAAAGATGACCATATAAGGGCCATTTAAAAATCGTTCATAGACGATCCGAATTGTGACGGTAGTGCAAGCAGTCGTGAATAGCCGTGTTACGTTTTGTTGTAGTACATGCTTCACTATCTGCGATCCCTGCAAGCCTGGTTCGGCGAGGAGGAATGGTCCAAGTATCCGGTCGCGAAAACTAGCATGGCGCTGCTGCAAGATTTTCATCATTCCCCAGCTATTCTCGACTACCCGCCGAATTTAATAGCGATAGCTTGCATCAATTTGTCGCTGCAAATTTACGGTGTGGTCGTACCATTGATGGACGAGTGTGATCAACAGCCGTGGTTCAACGTGAGTATACATAGTGCTGCAACGTATCTGCGTTTACTAGCTAGTAAATTTTCTATATGAGTCATCTTGTCAACCTTGCAGGTTTTCTGCAAAGATTTAGCGAGGGAAAAGTTATGGGAAATCATGGAAAAAGTGATGGCGGCATACGATGATGAACCTGAAACGAGAGACAACTAATAAACGTATCTATTACAACTGTATCTATTACAATAATAAAGCGTTTTTTCCGTACATTACGTATTTTTGAGCTGTTTAATCATCAAATGGTTTGGCATAAATTTATTTTACAACGTTCGAGTGTTTATTTATTAAAATTGATCTATTTGGCTTATAAATATTAATTTTTGTAGTATCACATACGCTTAGATTCTTAATTACGCGAAACAATTGTGAGTTTTAAAGGATTACTTGATTATAAATATTAATTTTTGTACTATATACGTTTAGACTTTTAATTACGCGAAGCAACTGTGGATTTTAAAGAATTATTCTCTTCAACAAACTTTAACGCAAAATTTTGACATAATTTTTCTATGAAACAAGATATACCTGTGTGTCGATGTACAAAATATGGTGTATATTAGATGCATTGTTTTCGAATATACAAGATTAACGTCTTAAAATATATCTCTTTCAAGATTTTTATTTCATTCATAAAATGACAACACTTCTTCCGTACACTTTTTCAAAGTGTTCAGCGCGAAGTTGATATCACCGTTATCCAGACTAGCAGATATACAAAGTCTAAGACTAGGTCTAGGCAAAGCTCTTTCCGCTTCCAAATAGGCAGGCAGTATGACCGCTAAGTTATTCTCTATACATTTATTAGAAATTTCCGTCAGTAATTTCTCCTCGGTGGCATGGTCTCTCTGTTCCTTCAAATATACGTGCTTCAAAGGCGATTCTACGAAACTAGGGCAATCCAACATTGGAATGTCTTTAAGACCTCTGTCGATCGACAAGGCATTATTTCTCAAGGACTGAAATATCTCTACGTTATTCTCAATGATATCTAAAGAAGTGATAGCGGCGGATGCCAAGAGCGGCGGTTGAGACGCTGAGAAGCAGTAGCCAAGGCCAGCTAAACGTTGATGTTCAATGATGAAGGACGTGCCCACGCAAAAGCCTCCAATAGTTCCTATGGCGCATTCTAAAGATCCTAAAGAACATTTGGACAGGTATATTATTATGTACGCGTTCACATATATTAATAAGAGATATTTGGCTTTAAGAATTTCTCTTCACCTATTATCATGTCGATTTCGCTTCTGGGAATGTTGAAGTAATCGGTAACGCCCCTTCCATGCTGACCGATGGTACCAAGTGATATCGACTCGTCGATGAAGATTCTCAATTTGTACCGTTTACAAAGCTCCACTAGTCTCGGCAGGGGACAAATCTTGCCTGTGTTCATATAAATACCCTCGACAATGAGAAAGCGTCTGACCTTCGCGGCCTTCTTAGGATTTTTCCCATCTATTTCCTCCTGCTTCGTCAAGAGATTACGCAGATCCTCGACGTCATTGTGTTTAAAATATCGGATATTTCCTCGAGACGCGTCCAGGCCCTTCTGTATGGCAAAATTCACTTGCTCGTCCACGAATATCAAGTCGTTACGCTTGCAGTACGCCGGGATCGCGGACGACACGGTGACGAACCCGTAGGAATATATTATCGCCTCCTGCATGCCCATGAACTTGGCCAGCCGTTCCTCCAGCTCGATGTGCACGTCGACGGTCCCGTAGAAGCCGCGCGGTCCGCAAGATCCGACGCCGTACTTCTCTATAGCCGCCACCGCGCTTTCCACCAGTTTCGCGTTGTCGCACAAACCCAGGTAGTTGTGCGTGCCCAGATTGAGGCAACTCTTGCCGTTGATCATCACATACTTTCCGACGCTGGAGGTGATGCGTCTGGGTGTCAGCGAGGGATGGTCCGTCGGCGGCTCCGGCACGAGGGACTCCGGCCGCCACTCCGCCAGTTTACGCTCCACCAGCTCCCTCGAGGGCACCGGGCTGTGGCGACCGTTGCCGCCGCTGCCGCTTCGTCTCTTGGAGATGAACCACACCACCCAGAGCACCAGGATCGCCTCGAGCATGGTGTGGTAGTGCGGCAGGGTGTTCCGCAGTACTTCCACCGATTCAACGAACAGGAGCTTCGTGTTCATGTTTTCTCGTGACTAGTCCGGATGGACTAGTCCGTTTACAGGCACTTTCGCTTATCGTATATTAAAAAATATAAACAGTTTCGTCAGAGTTACATCTGCGGGCGAGCTCCAGGCGATGGCAGGCCGACGCGACGCTCGCAACAGGCCACCGCGGATTGATAACGATAAACTGAGTTATCGCAGGCCGCGCCGTAGCCTTGGCTCGGCGGCAGCCTTCAGCTGCTTCGCCGAGCTTCGCCCGCCTTCGCGTCAATGTCCAATGAGGTTAAATTGAATCCATGATTAGTCGCGAGCCTTTAGATGGTTATGTAAGAACGAATAACAGCGTATAATAAGCGAATTTTGTGCATTAATGCACTATATTAATGCAGATACGTAAAGAGGTGGACCAATCACGTGCCCGGTGAGAGGATCACAGCAATATGGCACCTTTTGCATTGGACGTTTGATTGGTGTATCTCCTTGTTTACCTGCAAGCTGAATAAATTATAATATGCATACTTATTATAATTTTGTAAAAAAAATAAGCTGAAAAAATTTTTATAAGAGAATATATTAATTTTTGCGAGACGAGACACGCGCGAAGAACATTTTATATACGTATTTCCACATAAAAAAAGCGCTTATCTCGAGTTATTTTTATCTCATAATTATTTAAAATTACGAAACTTTAGTTCTTAAAGTTGGGGTTTCGTAATTTCGATAACGTCGCTATCGAGGTCGCTATATACACGTGTACCGTAAATAAAAGGAACGGTTATTCTATTTATCACAATTATAATAAAACAAACAGATTATTTAATTTACTATATTGCATTATTTAATTATTAAATTGCAACAAAATTTATTTCTTCAGTGGATATCATGTAGCTTTGTGATGTGAGCAAACGAGAGCTAAAAAAAGTTTTACGACAACATTGTATTTCGATAATAAAACTACGACGTCGTTTTTTAATTGTCACTTATGCTGTCTTCCTCCAATAGGAGCGCCAGAGAGAACTATGAGAGCAGCCACACCGGATTTTTGGATGGGACCGGCGATCTCCCTCGGACACTAGCGCTCCATGTCCACGTTTTCAAAAAAGAAACTACGTACCACGTCAATCTTATAATAATATTGTCGATCAAATCATAGCACGAGAACGTGGACGTTGGTCCGTGTTAATTGTGCTACGTGCACAAATTGATTGAATAAATAGATCACGTTTATTTTGCGATGTTGCTAATGAAATGACATTCCAATTCATGTCTGTATTATATCCACAAATTGTAGGTGAAGAATGTGGCATATATATGTATAATGCACGATTAGCACGGACACGAATCATATTGGACTACATCCACGTGCCTAGCCAGAGCCTTGTCAGAGGCTCGAAAACTCCCGCCGATACGCGGAGAACACGTTGAGCGAAGAGGTGGCACGGAATCCTAGCCAGCGCGCGTATCGACAGAGGCTTGGTGATAAGATGGAAAACTGCTGAGCGAAGAGGCACGGAATCTTGGACAGCGGGCCTCGTGTCAGAAGCTTGAAAACTCCCGGCGATACGCGGAGAACATGTTGAGCGAAGAGGTGACACGGTATCTTACTAGTCCTAGCCAGCGCGCCTTGATAGAGGCTCGAAAACTCCCGCCGATACGCGGAGAACACGTTGAGTAAAGAGGTGGCACGGAATCCTAGCCAGCGCGCGTATCGACAGATGCTTGGTGGTAAGATGGAAAACTGCTGAGCGAAGAGGCACGGAATCTTAGACAGCGGGCCTCGTCAGAAGCTTGAAAACTCCCGCCGATACGCGGAGAACATGTTGAGCGAAGAGGTGGCACGGTATCCTACTAGTCCTAGCCAGCGCGCCTTGATAGAAGCTCGAAAACTCCCGCCGATACGCGGAGAACACGTTGAGTAAAGAGGTGGCACGGAATCCTAACCAGCGTGCGTATCGACAGAGGCTTATTGGTAAAATGGAAAACTGCTCAGCGAAGAGGCACGGAATCCTGGACAGCGGGCCTCGTCAGAACCTCGAAAACTCCCGGCGATACGCGGAGAACATGTTGAGCGAAGAGGTGGCACGGAATCCTACTAATCCTAGCCAGCGCGCCTTGATAGAGGCTCGAAAACTCCCGCCGATACGCGAAAAACATGTTGAGCAAAGAGGTATCCTAATCAGCGCGCGTATTGACAGAGGGTTGTCGGTAAGGCGGAAAGCTGTTAAGCGAAGAGGCACGGAATCTCCCACTCTCATACGGCGCGTAGGCCCCGCCTCTCAGCGCAAAAGCAGCATATATGCGTGGGTGGGGGTAAGGCGGCTCCTCCTCCATGGCGCGCTGGCGGTCTCCGCCCCGAATACCTCTGCCACCTACTTAGTTAATGTGCGCTCCTGATACTTTATTCGATTTAAACGAAGTTTTCTGACGCTGCGAAAGCCGGCTTTTGCTTAACCTCTCATCTCTATATGTACTTTTAACAATATTTATGATCCTTTGTGCATCTCCACAGATGCGTAATTAAATTTAAACTATAGTTTAAATAATATATTATTTAATTATAATGTAACATTAAAATTACTCCAAATTTATTATGACAAATAAGTAATTTACATATAAGGCGCGGCAACTTATTTCTTACGATAAAACATAATAAACACTGAAAATCGTTCGTTAATTATTATGTAACAATAATGTTCTAAAATGTTTTATTAATAAGGTCTTTTCGAGAAAACATATATGCTTCGCATTAAGGGACACGTGAAATTGCTACTGTATAAAGGCATTTCTCGGAAAATCATCGCGCCTATACTGTCTCCCGTCGGTGGAAGACTTGGAATTTGGATGTTCCTCCTTTTCATCCATGCAACAATATTCTAAATTATTTTATCGTTTAATTCTTTTCAAGGTAGTATGAGACTAGCATTAAAGAATACAAGGATTGCAGATATATAGGTAATAATCCAGCGTGTTGCTTTTCGGAGCTTCGTCGAGCCCCTATCAGATCACACCGCGCCTATTCTCTCTCGTCGGCACTTGGATAGACGTGGGTACGTAGTTCCTTTTCTGAAAACATGGACGTGGAGCGCTAGTGTACGGAGGAGATCGCCGGTCCGGTCCCACGCAAAAGGTCGGCGTGGCCGTTCTCACGTCTCTCTCTGGGAGCGCGACTGCGCGCAGTCCGTCGTGTATACATACAAAAGCTGTGCAAAAAGATAAACTTTCCACCGGGACTGTACCAAGAGGGAGGGGGAGAGAGAGAGAGAGAGAGAGACACACGTTGTCGCCCGACGAAGCCCTCTCTCTCGGCCGTCTAGCGACACGACTTGCTCGCAGTGCTGAGTGCTCCTTTCCGGCTCAGGTATTATCGTGGTTCGATTAACACACGTCGACCGTCGTGTGTTAATACGTGCGCGTATCTCGCTCGAGCGAACAGACCTGAAGACGGGTCCTCGCGCGCGCGTGCAATCGGCGATTATTATTAAGCCGCTGCCGAGCCGCTCGAGCGGCGGCCGAAAACAGTACTTCCGGCACATCCGGCAAACGCCCCGAGTGCGGTCTATCTGTCATCGTCAGCGCGTCGCGCCGAGCCGTGAAAACTTCTAACCCACCACGACACCGATCGCTTCCACGCCGATTTCTATCTCGTGTCTCGTCGAGGGAGGGACCGGGGCCAAGCCAAGGAGACGGCGAGTCACACGCGGAGTACCTTCCGCTGGAAAACACGGTGAGTACATGTACATTCGCGCCGCGCCGTGTGCGACACGACGTGCAGCTCCCTTTCCGTAAAGTTTCTCGTTCAATTTTTTTCCCCGTTCGAGAGACCCCGCCGATATATCGAGCGCGATCGCGAGGGTCATTTAAAGCGCGCGCAAGAGTGCGCCGTGGATTTCTTTTTTTTTCTTCTCTCCGCGCGGATTTTCACGCTCCGCGGCTAAGCTCACGGGGGGCCGGAGGTGCAAAGTTTGGTTATCCCGTCGTCGTGTCGCGGCGCATTCCGGCGAGCGTTGCCCGCTTTGAGTCATGCATTCCACTTGACGTTCAATGCCGGTGACGTGTGCACTCGCGCGAGTCGCGCCGCGCTGTCACGTCATGGCTATACTCCGCCGAGGGCCACCTCTGCACCTGATCACGGCCGACAAATAATTGTCACTTCTCGTTGAACTGTTCAATTCCCATTGTCAAGGTTTCGCACATCTGTTGCGCGAACGTCCGGTACGATAACCTCGAGCGGCATTGTATGATGTATATAGGGTGAGACTCCGATTAACTTCAATTAACGTGTCGAGCGTAATATGTTGTTAATGTAAATGGAATAATTTTGACTTTTTATTTGACAAGTGGAAAGAAAGATTGGAGCAACGAATTATGTAGTTAGAAATTGTGTGTCGATTGAATGTGTCCGGTTGTATTTGTCATCGATTAAGTTAATAAGAATACGATTATTTAAAGAATTTTTTAAGTAAGATTAAATACGAGAGAGAGAGAGAGAGAGAGAGAGAGAGAGAGAGAGAGAATATTATATAATTTATTAAGAAATGTAATTTATATGAAATTTTAATTTAAATGAAATTAAGGACAACGGGAAATTGGAAATTTATCGTCAATTAAGTTAATTGCAATTTAATCGGAGTCACCTTCGTTAAACTTATCCGCGAAATTTATTACTGAAATACTGCGTTTCTGCAGTTCGATTTATCAGAGCGAGGAGATTAATAGCAAATTCGGTTAGCGCTCTGCACTGATGCACATGGAAGAATGCCATACATTTAATTATAGTGTGAAAGTGTGACAAAAGCAGGTTGAATTGTATGCCGCCGAACAATATATATATTTACCACGTCGTTAAAAAAAATGTAGATATTCCATCGAAATGTACTTACGTTGCAATACATTTATGTCATGACAAATTTATAGCAGTATTGCGGTCTTTATAGGGTGGAGTAAATTTATTATGTCATTTGTTATAGCGATCTATTATCATTCATTTTTTTTTCTATTTATTGACCAGTTACAAAATGGATGCTAATCTGATTAGGATAACTGCGATCAATGTTCAATTAATTGACAGTTGACTTATCAATGAAATGTCTACATTGCTATCACGGACAGAATTTTAACTTTATTTTTAGTTTGACACACGGAAAAGAAAAATTAGATTGAGGACGACGGATTGTACAATCAGAAACTTTATTGTAAACACATTTGTGCCGGTTGAATTAATCGCCGATTAATTTAATCGAACTTTGACCGGAGTCCCCTCTAACTGAGTCAGTTGAATTTTAATAGCTACAAGAAGAGAAATTACTTGATCGTGACAATCGTCCTTGAAATCAATTATTCAATTTATTTTTTCAACGTCGCCACATTCTGTGGATAATTATTAGTGTTTCCTCGCAATGTAGTAGAGAAAATTAAATTAGGGACAATGAGATATCGCGGTCGAGAAAATTGGATTGACACTTTGTGACTGCCGTGTCACGCATATCTGCAGGATGACGCGTATAATAGCCGCAAAGGTCCCGTCGCTCATTTGCGGGTGACGGGTTTTATTTAGCCCGTTCAAGAATGATTTTACTAAGTACTTAAGACAATTAAAGCAACGCTAATAAATTATATTCAGACATTTAAAGTACATTTAAAGTAAACAATCGAGTTATTTAAAATAACGCTTGACAGTCAAGAGTGTTAATCCCGTTAATCCCGGGATTCAGTCGGAAAATCGTCCCGAAGGCACGATGTTGCGATCCACCTCCGAACTGCGGCAGCACAAGGGACGCGCAGCCGGGTAGGCGAGAAGAAGGCGCGGCGCGGCGGGGACGGGACGACGCACCGCGCCGGTCGAAACTGGGAACGTCAAATCCGGGCGGGCGTCCAGGACGTTATCTCCTGAGCCGCCGCCTCTCCGCTCGCGCCTTCGTTATCGCCGCCGTCTGCCCTCGCCGTTCCTCTCGAAAAACCGGCCGACTTTTTCCTTTCGCCGTTTTTCCTTATCGCCGACAATCGAAAATTCTCAAGTTCAGGCTTCACCCGGCTATCGCGACTTCGGCGAGTGCGGTTTTTGCATTTTGTTATCCTGTGGCTGCTCTTGGATGTACTCCAACATTCTGGAATCCGCGCTTCCCGTCTTCCCCTCCGACACTCGGCTCTGCAGCGAAAGGTCTCCAGGACCCTCTCGTGCCGTTTGTTTTGCTGTTACGACGAGAGTGCGATGACAATTTGAGGGATAATTACGTTCGATTTTTCGAATTTCTTGTTGCTGTCAGAAAATTGTGCATCCCGGTGCATTCGGAATTTTTCAGAGCCGCTGGAGTAGAGGGAGAAAAAGGAGCACAGAGCGTCACGTCGCAACAGGCAATCGTTTCGCGGGCGCGATTTTCGATTGCTCGTGCCTTTTGAGTTTTGCTTTTTGCTTTGAAAGCGTTTATCGCGCGCGTCGTATGTATAAGGTGCGTGTAAAAAGACGACGTTGGTGTGGATCCTGCAGCGACACACGCTTTGGGCTTATAGCGCCGCGTCAGTTGTGTGGCTGACCTGTTATGTTTACCATTGAACGTATCGACGATTTAAGCGGATCGTTTAACCCGCTGCACGAGGCGGCGTCGACGGCTACGAAGTAGGGGAACGGAACTCGAATCAAATATTCTCCGGCTGGGAAATTGTTGACCTTGTCTCATACTTGAAAATATTTGTTAAATTTCTGACTGTTAAGTCTATTAAGAAACATACAGTTTTCTCGTTGAACCGAATGGAAGTTTGTAACATTAACTTATAAGAGAGTTTACGGATCGAAGAGAGAGAGATAGAGAGAGAGAGAGATTATAATTCTCGGTGATACCATTGTACCACTGGCTATACGCATTTAGGAAGGGCAGGGATAGGTGACAAATACGTGGAGTACGAGGTGGATGATAGACAGGAACGATGTTCAAGTGCTGCGTGTGTCAGACGTCGAAGAGGGCGAGTACTGAGAGATCAGACGCGGATGACACGCCGGTCGGGTCACCCAAACTGACCGCGGGTTCCTTCGAAGTGGACGATGAGATTGAATCCACGGTGAAGGTGGACCAGTTGAATGGCAACTTGCAGAAATCGGGGGAGACGTCTCCGGTAGAGGATAAGGATGCCTCGCTGGAGGATAAGGATGCCTTGCCAGAGGATAAGGATGCCTCGTCACAAAAGAATAAATATGCCTCGCCAGAGAGAAAGATTGCCTCGCCTGCAGAGGATAAGGATGCCTCGCTAGAAGATAAGGATGCCTTGCCAGAGGATAAGGATGCCTCGCCACAAAAGAATGCCTCGCTAGAGGACGAGGACGCCTCGCCAGAGAAGCATGTCTCGCTAGAGACTAAGGATGCCTCGTCAGAAGATAAAGATGCCTCGCCAGAGGAGAAGGATGCCTCGCTAGAGGAGAAGGGTGCCTCGCTAGAGGATAAGGATGCCTCACTAGAGGATAAGGATGCCTCGATAAAAGAGAAGGATGTCTTGCTAGAAGATAAGGATGTCTCGCTAGAGGATAAGGACGTCTGGCTAGAGGATAAAGATGTCTCGTCAGAGAATAAGGATGTCTCGCTCCAGGATAATATTGCCTCGCTCCAGGATAAGATTGCCTCGTTAGAGGATACGAATGTCTGGCTAGAGGATGAGGATGCCACGCTAGAGGATAAAAATGCTTGGCTAGAGAACGAGGATGCCTTGATAGAGATGCTCGGTAAAGATGCTTTGCCAAAGGACAGAGATGCCCCGCTAGTTTTCACCCCACCAGTAATTCGCGCCAGTTTCATGATGAGGAGCTCGTGCGTAGTTTCGCAGAACGGGAGCACCGACATCGAGGAGAGCTCGAGCTCGACCTCGACGAAGGAAACGGTTGAGGAAGCCGGCGAAGAAACCGGCGATCGGATTGTCGATGACAAGGACAACATCAACATCCTCGACGGCGTCGCCGCCGAAGATTGGACGGAGGACGTCGACTCCACTGGTGCTGTTGGTCCCGTGAAAATGAATCTTTACGACGCGTCGGGATATATAGAAAGGACGATCGATGACGGGCCGGAGGAGGAAGGCGACGACTCGGTATTCGAAGGCTATCCAAGCGAAAACGAGATTAAGAAGGCGCCACCAGGTATATTAGGATTCCTTCGTCTCCGTGATTTACAGATCACCGACTCGCTATATCATGTCTGCCCATATCATTAATATCAGATTAATACATTTTTATAATTTTATATGCCGACATTTGACATGGGTTTGTTTATTATTATCACATCATTCTTCTATCTTTATTTACAGTTATTTTATGAAATAAACACATCGTCGTATTTTCAAAAAATTTTTTCTTAATATCTGAACAAACAGAATTACTAACTATATCTAAACAAGAGATTTTTCTCTTTTAAAAAATGTATTCAAATCTGTTTCTTTTAAATTTAAATATATTAAAATGTTATATATTCAATCACGTTAATTTTGTTTTTGAAGTATGGAATATTAATAATCGTATTTTCAAACATGTTAATATTTAAATATTAATGTAGAACATTTATAGCAAATATACGTGCCAAATGAAAAATGCACGATACTGTGCTTGGCATACTGAACAAACGCAGAAACTAGAGATGAATAATTAAATAACTATCAAACACGTTTCATTAAATTCGCAATTAAAATTTTCTCTTGTTAATTATTATATTACGCTGTTCTTGTCATAAAGTTACAGAAAAAATTACGTGTGTTTGATTTGAAGTGAAATGCGGCATATGTAAATCTCGTTTTGTTTTGTAAATAAAAGCGGGCTCTTTTCGTGAAGCGAATGCATATTCCACGTAAACGTGTTACGCAGCGCTCGCGTCAGCAGAAGGAGCATCGATTTGTAACAATATCCGCGGGTGATCTGACACTTACCACTTTGTAAATTGTCTATGTGTGGGGGGGGAGTTGTGTTAACTTTAACTTGACGGGCGGGGCGGAGCGGGTGGCCACGTGTGGCCCCGCAAGGCTCTTCAAGAAAAGGCATGAATCCCTTAGAAGAATAAAAAGCTCGACGTGTTGTATGTCATTTTCGTAGTTCCACGTTGGCTGTCGGAGGAAGACGACGGCGAATACGTCTCGGGTGGATGCAGCGGCATGCAGGAACCGCCGGCGACGCCCGTCGCCCGCGACGAGTTAGCTTTAAGGCGGCACAGATTCTTCTCCGATCTGTTGCAAGCTGCGCAGAATTCGACGGAGCACCGAGTGAGATTCGACCCGCTAGGACCGATGGTGCACACCGGTTAGGACTCGCTTGAGAATTTCCCAATCGCTTGCTGTTATTCTTTCACGCGCTGTTAACTCTAAGGTCTAATAGGTAGCCCAGCGTTACGTCCGCCTCGCGAGAGCTTCTCCGTGTAGTTTGTACCTACGATCCACTCTCGTGGATTATACCGGTTTACGACAGTTTATAGTTTGTACAGCCGTTTAACTGGAAAACTTTGTAAATTGTAGGCGCAGTGCCGTCATATATATATATATATATACAATATATAGGCGAGCGCTATTAAATAAATATTGAATATATTTTAATTTCCGGTCTCGAAAAAATTTGTCACTCGTGCAAAATTTTTTTATTAATATTTGTACTATATTTCATTTTGTTAAAATACACGGAAAAAAAAGAGAAAGATAAGACAGAGATTTAATTTAGCTACGTGACGGCATATGCAATGCGATTGCAACTGTGATAGCACTCTTTCGATTTCCACGTAATATTACATATCTTTAGATATGACGATTGAATCTCTATGTGCTAACAGTAATGCCATTGCGATTATGTTACATTATGAATCATTTGCCGAGCGTATTTGTGTGGATGGGACTATAACTGCACGATGTTGGCGGATTCTCTAATAATAGTCTGGAGTATTCTCGCGTCAGGCGAAAAGTCATCTCATTTGTGAGATGTCTTTCAGTTTCTTGCCAATTTTCGGAAAGTCTAGTAGCCGCATCGCCACTTATAATAGGATAATTGCAATATTCTTCGAAACCTAGGTAACATTCTGGCGAAAATTAAAAATAAAGAAAACAAAACGTATAAATAGTCTGTTAAGAAAGAGCGTGATCGGTATAATTTTTATGCGTATTTTATTAGCGGGAAGATTCTATGTGCATCAGGAGATTTTTTAATCTACGACGCATTGTAAAACGGGGCTTATATTTTTTCAAGATAACGTCTTTAAAGACAACTTTTTTGACCGGAGTCATCTTTATCCAGTGAAAAGAAGAGAATCTTCGTCTTAATTGACCTTCTTTTTTGCCTAATAAAACCCATCGACAATATCTATAGTCTATTAAAAACGATATTTTAAAGTATAAATATAAGCGAGTGTTTAAATCGATTTAACGTTTTTTATTTAAAAAATTATGCTTCATTAGTCGAAAGTGCGTAAATGCCAAACAATTATTGATGACGACTGAATCGTTTATTACAATTATTTAATTGTAATCAAATACTACTAAACGCACTTTTATCATTATAATTTTAAAAGTTATGCCGCTCGCGTTTTTTCTTATCAAACTGTATATTATTAATACATATGTGTGTGTGTGTGTGTGTATATACACTGAATTTTAACACAATAATCTTATTAATACGCACACACTTACGTACTACATCTAGACGCGATATAGTTATACTAACGTAACTATTTATAAACGTATTCTATATTTAGTGTTCCAAGTACTCGATGACGAGTATTCCAAGCGTCTGAATTTCCCGGATATTTCCGAGTGTAACCCGCGTGGAATACAGTTTACTTTTCTGTTTACGTTATTCATTACGCCGTTTATTTATCAGTTTTATGTTATTACTTTCAAGCGCGAGTGAATCATCTTTTTCGTCTTATTGTTACAGTTTATACATGCTAACGTTTATACATTTGTTTATAAAACACATTGCAGGTTGTGAGAGCAACGAAAAGGAAGAACATCTGGAAGAATTGGTGAACCGATTGGAAAACGTAACAAAGCGACTCGAAAACGTACACTTTGTCGTGAAGACGCAAGACACCGCTGTACAAACGAGCACACCTTCCCCGAACAGGTCTACGTCAGGAAGTAGTTTATCCCCTCGTTTATCTCCATTGTCGAGGCAAGAAATTATTCCGAGTCCACCTGCAAACATGTCGGTCGCCGGATACGAGGACTTTTTGGCTGGGCCAGTTAAGGAATACTTAAAATTAAGTCAGAAAATTGGCGGCGATGTGGCTGTGCATAGCAAGCTCGTGGAGAAGGCTTTTCAGTAAGTAGTACAATATTTTTAATTTTACGTCGAGATCGAAGACACAGATGTGCATAAATACGTAATATCGAATAAATTATTAAACGTATTCCAATTAATTTCAGAATTCAGCTTCAGTTTGTACAAATGGCGGCGAGCCGGGCCGCGCCGGCGAATCAGTCCGAACAAGTGTCTCTGTTTGCGCCCATGTCGCAACAGATACAGCAGATTCAAGAGTTTCGCGAGAAGAATCGTGGATCTCCGTTCTTCAATCACTTGTCGGCAATTAGTGAAAGTATCCCAGCTTTGGGGTGGGTCGCCGTGTCGCCTACGCCTGCTCCCTACGTAAAGGAAATGAATGACGCCGGGCAATTTTACACCAATCGTGTGCTGAAAGATTGGAAGGAAAAGTAAGCTCTCTCTCTCTCTCTCTCTCTCTCTCTCTCTCTCTCTTCCTAAAGCTCATTATTTTTTTTCGTTATTTATTCCGGAGCGAAGCTAAAAAATTGTTGCCATTTATAGAAACAAAATACACATAGACTGGTGTAAAGCGTGGGTGCAAACGTTGACCGACTTGCAGCAGTACGTTCGTCAACATCATACGACGGGCTTAGTGTGGGGAAAAACTGCCGCACCTGCGGGCGCGTGCGGTATACCACCCCCTCCGCCGCCCTCGATGCCAATCGGTGATATCGCACCGCTATTGAATGACGACAGAAGCGCCCTTTTCGCTCAGATTAATCAAGGGGAAGACATCACGAAAAGTGAATAGACTTATATATACATTTGTTCCTCGCGCGTCTCTGTAATCTCTGTACGGGAATATTTATAGTTTACACGCAACATTTGATATTTTTATTGTGTGTGTAGGTTTGAAAAAAGTCACCTCAGACATGCAGACGCATAAAAATCCTGGCTTGAGATCCGGGCCGGCACCGTTTAAAGCGCCGACGGTCAACGCGGCACTGATGAAAACCGTGTTGCCGGCGAATGCGCCTATTGACAAACCACCCGTATTTACCAGAGATGGCAAAAAATGGCTTGTGGTACGATATTTTACAAATAAAATAAAAATATTAAAAAAATGTGTACCGCTGTACCTATTATATATTATTGTTACGTTTATTATTATTTATATTAAAAATATTGTACCTTTTGCAGGAGTATCACAAGGGTGAGAATTTAGTAATCGATAACGTAGAGATGAATAATGTGATTTACATGTTCCGGTGTCAGGATAGCACACTTACTGTCAAAGGCAAAGTGAATTCCGTCGTCATGGATTCCTGTCGCAAATCATCCGTTGTATTCGATTCTGTCGTGGCCAGTGTCGAATTCGTCAACTGTCAAAGCGTACAAATGCAGGTATGTATGGATAGAATAGGTCCTTTTATTATTAGCTCAGGCTTTAGTCACTTATGCTTTTATGATGTTAAGATTAAAGAGGGAAGATACTAGATAAAATAAAGATTTATTAGATGTAAAAAACATATTGATACCTAAAAAATAGATGACATTGCCAGATGTCAATATGATAAGAGATTTTCTTCTTTTTTATTATATACGAGAAATTGTGTTTCGTTTCGATTTTGCTCTTAATTTTACGATATCTTATAATTTAAGATATTTAGTAAACTTTAAAAAAATCTGTCACTATCTCATATATAATTTAATACATACAAGTGTAAACAAAACGTTTATTTAGAAAAAATGCAGTCTTATATAAAAGAATTCGACACATAAAAATATTAAAAATATTTACATAGGTAAGGCAAGTTGTTGCGTTTCAATGCATTCATTGTAATTCAGACATTGATGTACATGTATCTGTAATGGAAGGTTTCGCCGTAACTTCTTTTTCCGTTTTTTCGACAGTAATAGTCCACAATTTATTTTTATGTATCAGCAGATCTGTCGTGGGACTGATATTCCTCGTGTTCAAGATAAATAGATCCGCCGGATATTTCTTCCGTAGACTGTCATTCGCCATAATAGAAATAACGACTACCTCCTTAGAAGCGATCTTTTCTATATGCTGCAGTATGCTTGCGTCTGATTTCCTGCTACATAAATCTCTCTTGTCCGAATGCTCCTTCTCGATTGCCAGAGACTCTACAGTTTGATCACTAGACAAAACTGCCGAATTTTTCCTTGGTACGTTGCTATTTCTGCATATCGCGCTCTCCGATTCTTTATCAAGCGTGCCCTTTTCTATATTCAATTTAGTTAAATTCGACACAGTCCTCTCCACGCGCAAATGCTTGCTCATTGAAACACTGTCACTTCGCGCGACCTCCTCGTCCGTTGTGTGATCTTTCGCACAAGTCTTTTCGTCCCATAACATAGTCAACGGATTTCTCTCCTGCGCTTGATATTTCATTCGATGAGGCGATTCCAAACGATTCTTTGAGATTGGTATGCAAGATTTAGTGGACGCCTTTCGTGACGATATAATAGACTTTGATTGAGTCGTTAGTCGCAATTTATTCTTTACACATTTGCCTTTATCGTTGTGCAGTTTTGCATAGGGCTGATGCAACATACCGCTGATGTAGTCCCTGGTGTTGTGACGCATCAAAAATGAATGTGATTTCTTTGGATATATGTTCACTTTTTTTAAATCCCTACGCCTGTTAGTTACTAAAGACATGTCGCTTTTGGCTTTAACCTGGGAATGTGTCTGGAATGGTTTTGTCGAATAACGTTCTACTTGAGGTGAAAAATGTGCGATGTTTACAGATATTTCGTCATTTCCCTTTAAATTATTTGATAAAATACTGTCTGTATTTAACGCTTTATTTTCTTTGCGCAACGAGATAGGCAGTAGAGAAGCAGCAGAATCAAAGATAAAATCGTTTTCCATCTTTGGAGATGTTTTCGCGCTCGTCGAATAATCACGTTCTGATTCACCGAGAACAAATAGTTGCTCTTTGATAACATCATGTTTGATTTCCTTCTGTACGTTCAACTTTCCGTGCGAGTGATTCACGTTCGACGTAGATTCGGAAGACACGTTATCCATTTTCACATCACTTATTATCTCCTCGTCGGTGAAATAGGAATTACTATGGGAGATCGAATTGCAATTAGATGATTTTGTCGGGTATTCCTCGCGTGCTGCGTGAGTGACTTTCGCATTAACGTTCGCAACGTCGAGTAGAAAACGCGACATTACTGATGGCTTACTTTCGGTGATTTGCGTCTGTTTGCTGCGTTTATGGAAGTCCGCAGTTATATCAACTACTGTGCCTTTATCGGTTTTACCGTTTTCTGTATTTGACGCAATACGCTCTTCGCGACGAGGTCGCGCGATCGTATCCGATATTTTATCCGTAGCTTTCGAGTCACTTTCGCAGGAATATGTTAGAGCTCTTGGAAGAGACAGAGCTTCCTCCCTTCCTATAGATACGTCTGATCGTCGTGTATCGTTCTTGTTAGAAAATTTATTCTCAATAGGAGTAATAAGCGCGAACATTCCCGGGTTTCTCTTTAGGTACACGTCGGAAGAGCATCTCAAGACATCATCCGTCTCCTGTTTGTACTCGTCCACGTAACTCGACCATCTATTTGCCAAAAGATCCGACGATTTCTTCGAAGAGCCGATAATTCGATCGGCGCTGCTGCAGCTGGACGGTGCGAGCGATCGGTTGTGCACCACTACGTGACTCGCCTCGTCTGAGCGTCGAAAAGTATCGCTTCTACCTTGACACCGGAGTGCCTTGCGCGCTTTGAAAATCGCTGTATTTTGACTGTGAAGAAAAGTGTCCATGTAATCCCTGATATTTTTAACGCGTTCCAGTATGAGATCTTCGAGTTTCAGCACCGTCAGCGAACGTTTACCGGCCACATCGCCACTGATGTCGGAGGCTGCATCCTCTCTTAAATTTTCTCGCACGCGAGCTCGATAATTTTGTAGGACAGCTTTCGTTCGCGTCGATCTCTCGTTCGCATTGATTTCATCCTGGCTTTTCGCACTGACCGGTATCGTTATCGAGATTACTTTCTCGTAAATCGGAGTCTCCAACGAAACGCTATTCTCGATCGCGGCGTCGTTATGAAACGCGAGATCCGTAATGCTAAAATATTCCGAGGACGTTTCGGGAATACAATCCTGGTACTCCGTGTCGCATTCGTCCTCGCGACGCGCGAGTGCGTTAACTTTCTTCAGAGGCTGAGAGAACAAGTCGCGTCGCTGTTTCATTTCCAGACAGATGTAACGTCGATCGATTTTGCCACGGGAATTACTGACAGCCGGCTCGTCCTCCTTGATGTCTATTATCATCGACGGAAAATTGTTGCTTGACACCAGCGAGGATTCATCCGCGGTATCGCCCTGTTTATCTATCGAGTACTTCTTTTTCTCGAGTGCGTCAATAAGGCATTCTTGAAATGCAGGGCCTCTTGAAGCAGCAGTGCCGTCGATCTTTCTTGCCTGTTATTGCTATCGATCGACATCTTACTTTGACTGCTATTTTGAGATATCGTCACGTTCTCTCGGTATTGTTCCTCGTCGAACGTGTTGCTAAATTTTCCAGTAGCGAGTCTTTCTAACGATGCCCCGTCTTGAGTATCCTTACTTTCAGGTGATAAGATATAGACTATTCTGTCCGCCTCAGATATGTTGTCGCGGGCACTGAATGGAGTATCTGTTTTCATTGCATCTTTATTGGCCTCGGGACTCGATTCTAATACGTGGTCACGACCGCAATCGAAAATATCCTTTTCGCATTCTTCACGCTCATTTCCCGATGTCTGTGACATCGCGCTGCAGGAACGCAAGTACGGCTTTGCTGGAGGATTGCCCCTAACTGACCTCCGTATATCGTGCCGGCTAATTCCTTTACAAGTATTTCGCAATGCGACATTTTCGTTGGAACATCGATACATTTTCGACGTGTGTGACGAATACTCGGCTAGGGAGGACAAACTTTCCTTCAGCTCGAGGTATTTGCTCGAGATGTCCACGATCGGGTACGTTATAAACGAGTCTGCTTCGTCGATCTGCCGATCCGTCGATTCCCGCCCTTCCGGGGACCGCGTCGTGTCTTGATACGTTTGCAACACGTCATGCAAACCCTGAAGTGTCCTTCTGACCTCGACTAAAGTCTCCTGAGAGGGCTGCATGTTGCGCGCCGGTCGCATTATCGGAATAATTGGGACGAGTTCTCTCGGGGGTGCAGGGTGGGTGGTGGTCTTTAAAGCTACAGCGTCGTTCGATACGTGATTCACTTTATTTTCACGATATGTTTCCTCGCTCGTACCTTCTACCGCGTTATCTTTTATCCGTTCCACGAATTTCGTCTCGTTTATTTCTTCTCGTTTTGCTGCTGCGGAAGCGCCGCGGGATGTTTCTCGCTCTTCCGTTGTGGACAGGGCCGACTAGAACGTAACGATTATTATATGTTTTATATATATATAATATATAATAATATATATATATAATATATATATATATATATATATATATGTTATTATATGTTATTATACATAATTTCATTTACCGAGTTGATTTAAGTACGGCGGTTAATAAGCTTACTCGTTGTGCTGCGTGTGCGGCTTTCAAAGTGGATGCTTTGCTCATTTCAGACGAGCGATTCAACGAACGCGAACGTTTATCCTTACGTTGCAACTCCTTCAGAAATGACTTACATTCATAGACGGTCTCCGTGAATTTCTGGCATGGATTGTATTTAACATTCGTCGCGTGCGCGCTGTTCTGCGTCAAGGGAGGCGTCGTTTTTGAAGATTGTCGATTAATCGCGTTCGAATTCAATGGTAGAAGCTGCACATTTCGTCGTTGCAATGTGAAATCTTTGCTTCTCGAAACCTTTTCCTTCGTACTCTTATTTTGCGGGTATGTACGTGGCCTCCATGTATATGTACTAACAAAATAAGTTAAATCAGCGATTGCGCTGCCTCAAAGATTTTGCGTTTTCTCAGAATTCTTATTCGTAGACAACAGACTGAAGTAAAATGTATAATAATTGATATAATATTATGTTAATGTATTTTTTCAATCTTGGACGACACGCCGAGCAGACGTATTTAATAATTTTTTATTAATGCTTTTGCTTAAAAAAAGAATCAGCTAAAAGGATCATTATCGAGAGAAAGTGCAAAGTATTTCTGAAACATTCCAAGACCATTTTGCTTATCTGTATAAACGATTAGTTGTTATTAATGTTGTGTGAACCTGAAAAATTAATGTAAAGTCAAATAATTTATTTCTAATCTTTGTACTTCACAGATTGGTCACTAGTAGATTTTAAAGTTTCAATGCTGCTGCAGGCTGTTGACAATTCACTGTGTTTAACATGTGGGGCACATTCTTGTTTTACGTCCAAACAATTCGTCAGTTTTGCTACAGATGATCGTGGCGGTTTTAAATAAGGAGCATACACGTTGCTCTCCGATGAGGGACTGAAATAAAGTTATCATAAATATATTAAGATCTACGCTCTTTTGTAATCGACTAATTAAAAGTTTATTGACTATTTAATACTTTTAACTTATCTCTTTACGTACTTTAGTAACACGTGTTTTAACCAATTATTCCGGTCACCCGGATTGGATAAAGTCATTCTGATCTTCCGGAACTTGGGATTCAAATTACAGATTTGATGTGGTAACGGCCACGTTCCGTATTGCATTTTGTATGTTAAAACATTGATTTTCAATTCCAGATCCTGAATTTTATACCCGACTTTATTTAGTATTTGTTTATTAAACACAGCATTCTTCGTGCGCACATTTTTGCAATATTTTATACGGATAAGCACCGTGGAAGCGATGGCTATCGCTAAAACCTTTAAACGTTAGGGATTAAAGTATAATCGAAGGTTATTTTTAAGCCTAATGATAATTTGGCGATCCGGAAAATTTTATGAAACTAAAATAACAAAAATAACTTCTATGTAAATATTTAAATTATTTATTCTGTGATATAAATTTTTAACAGAAACTTCTAAAAGCAATTACTACAAATATATGTAATTACGTACCCATATAATTCCTTCTTTTGCTAAATAATCAACCACGTCAGATACAACTTCGCTCCATAAATAATTTGCCACCGCGATTACACATTCCTTCCAACTTGTCTCACACGTTACCGCTACAGTTTCGAAATTTCCACCTGAAATCATTTCCGTTTCGTTCGAATTCTTTGAAAAATATAATATAAATATAAATAGATTTTCTACGACGTGCACACAATTCGTGTTTAATTTAGCGTGGCGTTAAAAATAAAAGAAACGCTCTTACCAACTTTCCACGGCATTTTTATTATATACGAAGTGTTTGTTGGAGTGATATTTTAATACGGATGAAATTGTGCGTGTGAAATTCGAAGAACTGTCAGGCTCCTGTGTCTTCCACTACCGATACATGTTCGACACGGTTCGCAAGAAGGCCGAGCACCTACACACACAGGCAATTGTTATCGAAATGCACTCTGAACGTGTCGTCAATTTTCCTGCGACGAATTTTAGCCTATAATAATAATTGCATCTTCCTTGTATAATTGTTACAGGTTCTCGGGAAGGTACCCACTATTTCCATCGACAAGACGGACGGTTGCCAAATGTATTTAAGTACGGATTCCCTGGGCGTTGAACTCATCACCAGCAAATCTAGCGAAATGAATGTCATGGTGCCCAAACCCAATGGAGATTATGTAAGTTGTCCTACAATTTGCAGATGCGAACTTGTGATCTTTATGGATTTTTATTATTCTGTACAATAATATATATTACATTGCAGAGCGAATATCCGGTACCGGAGCAATTTAAGACTACTATTAGCCAGAACGGTCTTAGTACCATGGCCGTTGATTCCCTTGGCTAAAAGCACGAGGAATTTATTTATATGCATAGCCTACGCATCTTCTTAACAATATAATTAAAGGTATGATCGTCGAAGATATTATCAGTTTATTAATATCATTATTTATTATCTTCTGCGGATAATCTGTGCGGGAGTTAAAGAAAATAACAGATTTAGTATTGCATATCTCGCTTACGTAACGGATTGGCTTCGATCATATGTGTTATTATGTTTCCCGAACGTGTAATAAGTTGTATACATCGACGAGATGCATTTGATAATTGGCGGTATTCATGAAAATCGTTTGAAAAGCTTCCTGTTGTTTGAGGATCGCGGTTAAATTGTCAAAATGTCAGGCTAACGCGAGTTATATCGAATCACTGAATTGGGAATATCTTGAATCAAGATAATCAACTTTTGCAAAATGCTGAACTCCTTTAACGATTGTAATATATCTAGCGGAGTTTGTGGATCATTACGAATTTCCTTTTTCTGTGGATAGATATATTTGTATATTTTAAGAGAGTAAGAAAATCATAACGAGTATGACGTTAAACATAGTATGGACAAAAAAAAGGTTTTATCGTCTTCGAGTCGCTCTTTTATACCATTTACACCATTTTTTATCGTGCGAGAAGTTTTGCTCAAACCTGTCGCTGCACAGAACTTGCTGGTACACCGGATGGAATGTGAACATTGTACAATGTACAGCTAACGGGAACCAGGTATACTAGGCCTCTGAGCATTACTCCTAAATGGTGTCGGATGCCATCATCAATAGTTCGATATGCTTTGCCTCTTAACTTTCACTCTATCGAGTTCAGTATTATACGATATGTATTTACAAATGGGATATCAATAATCGAGAACTGGAAGTAGAAGTCTATAACAGTGTGAGACATTTAACGAGAGCACGCTAATACTAATGTTACTTGAGTAAGCTTACTTAAGTGAAGTATTAAAGGACATTTGTTATGAAACAACAGCGACATTAACTTTACTGTTCATTTGTCCGTATCGCACAATTTGTAATAAAATACATAATTATTTCATTTATTTTTAATGTAATAACTGTATCGTGAAATTATTTACAAAAGCTTTTATTTAAATATGAGTATGTACGATATATTTACTATCTTTCGTGGATATAATTTTTTGGTGATGAATCTGACTAATAAATCTAATAAAGTGAAGAGTTGTACATCATTCCTTGTATCATTACACAATAATCACCTTCTAATTGTCCAAACTAAAAATTGGATACAATGAAAGGAATATGAATTTTACAAAAAGAATATATTTGCTGCCATCTTTTTTTCTTGTGAATTTTACATTAATTGTAAATTTCATAATAATTTCGTAATATGTACATTGAAGATAAGTCGTGTCTTTTTACATTATAGACTAGACTCTTTTTATTTGATCAAATCTTGCCAATAGCGTAACTTAAAGTATTTGGCCTAAAAGCATAATTAATATAAATTTCGAGTCAAGTTAATTCTAATTCTGCATGAAGATGATTGTTTACATAGAAACTACAAGTAACTGACCATTAATAGACACGATACATTGAGAGATTCGCAAAGATTCGTTCTAAATAAATAATCGCAAAGTTTCATTCTATTTTTTCTTGATATGTATATATACAATTAGTCTACAAGTAAAAGAATCCTTCTCTTGAAGGTATAATTATAGAATCTAAAGTTTTTTCCGCAACAGTCTCTAGTCGAGTTTTGCTGCTTACTGTACTTTAATTCTATTTCTACGCTATAAATACATGATCCGCGATCAACAAAATAGTCCTCTAACAATATAAAAAGAACGTGGAATGTTCTATCACATCTCCTTTTGTAATTCGCTTTTACGTCTTGAACCATACAGCCCCTGTTTACGATCCATTCTTTTCAAGCAAATTTCAATTGCTAACTGCACTTTGTAGACATTGCATTTGCGCGAGTTACTGCCGAACTCGCATTGTCTCCAGATTGATACTACCACATTTTTGTATGTAGGAAGATAATTACTATAAGGTACTATAAAATATTGTTTGCGCGTGACGTGACTTGCAAAAATACACTTACATGTATTGTCTTTGAAGAGATTAATAAGACGTTGATGCGACGTATCTTTACGTACATACAACTTATATACAATCGCGTGAGCGATTCCATCGATGAAACTACATCTATTCATCGGACGTGCTAACTTACATAAATCGCATTTATACATTATTATCATATCGACATATCAGTCTTGTATTATCGCGAGACTGCGGAACAATCTCGTTCGTCGCTGCCGTCGGAGCATTCCAGAAATCCGTTGCAGACGCGTGATTTGGGTAAACACTCTCCGAGGGGGCATCTGTGACCCTTGCAGAACTCCACCGCGGAAGGTTTGATGTCTTTCTGCGCGATGACGTAATCGATAAATGACATGTAAGAGTAAATTTTTGTATAGACGCCCGGTCGTTCTCGTCTTCCACATCCGTAGCCATTTGATGTAATTCCTAAACAAAGATAATTTTATACTTAAATGAAGAAATAGAGAAATTCAATTATTAAATATTAATTTAGTCTTGTCTACATATCTATAAGATACGATAATAACCCAGTAAACGGAAATGGATTAAAATATATATATATTTTTTAAATTGAACTGGATTGGCCTTTATAGAAATGCATTCATTTCCACGAAGGTCAATCCATTTCAAATCATTTGAATCCATCGTTTGAAATTTCAATCCATTTCCGTTTAATGGATAATAAATATAATTAGTCTCAAATGTGCTGAAGACCTCCGCTCTTGTTTGTGCGACGAGAATGAAAATGCGAGAATGACAATGCTATTCACGTACCTTGTAGTACATAACGATTTTCGAAGGGAGACAAGCATACCAAAGGGCCACCGCTGTCCCCGAGACAGGCGTCTTTGCCACCGTTCTCCAATCCTGCGCATAGCATGCCAGATGTAATCCTGTACAGCGGCAAGAACAGAGTCTTCCGTCGACAATCTTCCGTCGACATCACCGGAATTGATACTTCTTGCAAAGTGTCAGCTGTTAAATATGAATAACTCGTGTTACACGTAATATCTTTAATGTAAAATCACGCTCACCCGCGCCAAGATGAATATATCCTACTTACGAAACACCCTGCCGACTTCGTATATTTGTCCCCAACCAGTTACGACGCAGACGGTTCCGCTGGGGACCGGTGCTTTCGGGAGACACACCGGTCGAATGTAATCGCTGAAGCTGACCGCTCGTTCGAGTCTTATTACAGCTATGTCATTGACGAACACGTTGTCGACGTAATCCGGATGCAGCGATATGTAATCCACCCGTAAGAGCTGCTCGTGCGGACTTCGGAAACTTCCTCTACGAGTCGCGCCGATTCTCGCGACCCAATAGCTATCCTGAGCGCGGTAGAAGCAGTGCCCAGCTGATACGACCCATCTTTCGTTAATTAGAGCACCTCCGCATTGATAATTGCCATCCTTGTACAGAGCTATTTGCCAAGGCCAGTTGCCCATGGAGCTACTGGCACCGCCAACAATCCTGAACAAGAAAAGAATAATTTACTTTAGACGAAGAAGGGTACACTTTAATATAATAAAAATATCAATTTCTTTGTTTAATAAAGTTAATTTTTGTTTTTGTGTTGATATGTAAATTGAGGCATTTAGAAGTGAACATTGAAACGTACCGTCTCATTCGTATCACTTTTAGGAAGATACTTCTACAATGAAGATTAATTAACAGAAAAATGTGGCATAAGGTAAGTTTTCTTCTATAAATAATCTTTGATTTCATTTATATAAATGTTATTATATTAATATATTAATTTTGAATGCAGGAAATACATATACAGTAGATCAGCATATATAACGATAAAAGTCTATTAATAAATTTTCAATTTTGAGCTCTTTATGCTCGACTTCGCGAAATTTTAGCGCGAAGTTTTACAATTTAAAGACACACCTCGCAGTCGATGCCACCTGAGTTCTTATTCCGCATTCGAAATTTTTGCATTTCACTTTGAGAACCTCGCCGCTCGGGCACTGGGACGATTTGAAAGACAAAGCTGTTCTATCTGATCTATCGTTGTACGATAAAGCGTAGTAAAATTGATTCGGAGGCGGGTTTTGATCCAGCACTTTTTCCACCGTTTCGTAATCTCTGCAGACACAGATATTTAATTTAAATATTAGTTTAGAAAAACTTCGTTAGAAAAACAGAAATTTCTCTTAACCGATATTTCAACGGCGACGTTACTTACTGATACGTGATAGCCTTGCACGCGGCCTTAGCAAGATCCTCAATGGACCACGTAACGCGGCTGTCGACTAAACAAAGCTTTCCCCATACGCCATTTTTTCGTATGCCGAGGTATCCCCTGTTGTTATAATTATCGATCTCCTTGTTATAAGCCTTTGCTACTGGAAAAGTTCTGTTACTTTTGGCACGCAAATTATTCCCCGGGGTCAAACCGTTCCTCAAAACGTTCAAAGATGTTTCTCTACTGGAAACTGCAACCACGTCTTTGCTCCCCTCAGCATTTCTATTTCGAGCCGATTGATCAATTAACTTCGGAGATAAGTCGTTCCTGTCGTTTATTAATCTCTCAGAACCTTGGAAACCATCAGGCGGAATATATAGAGTAGTTGTGTCCACGATAGAAGACTCGATCGCTTGATCGAGATGATAAGGCTCTTTGACTGTCTCGGAATGATTTTTCGATAGATTTTCCGTCGGGACGATGTTAATCCGCGATCCAGTTATGTCTTCCTTTGACTCGTCGTCTATCAGAGCGGTGCATTTCTTTTCATCTTCGCCGCCGGGACAATCGCTAAAACCGTTGCACACCTTATTTGTATCAACGCAGAATTTGCTGTTACCGCATACGAATTGACCTTTCTCGCACCAGTCTGTAAAGTGAAATCAAATAAGAAATGGATCGAAGAGAAGATTTTTAGGTGACCGCCCGTATCAACGTTAATTGAAACTAATTGAAATTTAATTAAGTTTTACCTGGCGATAATTTATGTAAATTTAAATATCATTACCGCAATTGTTCTCGTCCGAATAATCCCAACAATCGGTGATACCGTCACAGATTTTTTGAGATAACAACTGTGTCTTGAGGAAATCAGCGCACGTGCAGTTAGCCTCGTCCTCCGCGCCCGGACATTCTACAAGCATGTTACAAATCGCGCTAGTGTCCAAGCATTTTCCGTCTCCGCACAGGAAACCAATGCAGCTATCTGCGAAAATACGACTCGTTTATTAGATATGTACATCGAAATACATTTTTGTCGGATGATTTTTTTGTTAGGCTTTCAACAGTAGATTGGTAAAACATATCAAAAAATCTCCTTTCAGTATATAGATTAATAATTAATAATTAGTTGTAAATCTCAATCAATCGTCATAAGATCCATTTTTGCAAAAAATATAAGACGTATAGGGATAGAATATATAAAAAAAAAATTTATTATGCAGCGTAAGAAAAAAAAATCAGATGATTTCTTATAATAATTCAATATAGTTGTAGTGAAGAAATTAAAAGAAGCTATCCAAGCTCTGCGAACTGACGCTCGCCTGTATACGCTTGAACGCGTTGCGCTTGCATAATTACCATTAGTTTCGCTGATTTTTCGGATCGCTGACACTGTACGTATCTCGTCTGCGTTATTTTCTCGGTCCTCTTCCTTATTTAGTATCTTCGTAAATATTTTCACCCCGTCGCGATTCAACATGAATCCCGAGCTCGCGTTCTTTAGAGTCTCGTTTCCCGTCACGACGTCGGCGATTTTCTTCAGCTCGTCGATATTCAACGACGACGCTTGAAGTCGCAACATCTCGCTCAAGTTTGAGTCGTTCCTAATGATTTGCACGGAATCGTCATTCGTTTTGACTTGCGCGAGCTCCTTGAGCTTCTCCAGCAGAACTCTGTTCTCTTCGAGCGACATTTTCCTGTCCGACGTCTGCATCGTTCTTAAATTCGCCGCTGACGAAAACGGTCGTTTTTCAACGGTCAGCGAGAATATCCTTTCCGTTGTGTCGACATCCGATTCGAGTGACTTATCCGCTTCGTCGTCCGACGTCGAAGTCTCCTCTGAATGAGGATTAGTAGAATTGGTGACGATGAATTTCAGGATGACTGGATCGTTTTTAATGTTGGACGACACTCTGGTACTGATAGAGGTCACAACTTCGACTATCTGTTCCACTATAGTGCTCGTACGATTCAAAGTTTCCCTTCCGGAGTCGGCCTTCGTGGAGTCCTGGCTCTCGTGCGAGGAGGAGGACGATTCAGAGATGAATTCGGTGTTGGCCGTGTCTCGGTCGTGCGTGTAATCGCGCACTCCGAACAACTGCTCCAAAAGAGTCGCGTCGGGGAAGTCGATCTTCGGTCTCGGTCGCACCGGCCTGCCGATCCCCGTGTTGCTCTTGACCGGCGCCAACGTCACGAGATTTTCCACCACGTAGGCTTTTAGAGTTTCGTTATAGACCTTTTTGTTTTGCAGCTCGTCGTCGTCGGCCGTCGCCTCGTCCGCGTGTGACTCCCAGTTTTCCTCCGACTCGCCGGGCGTGTGCTTGACGATATCGATTTCGACGAAGGTTGAATTCCTCGACACGCCTCTCTTGCTGCTCGAATCTTTGGCGATCAGCTTTGACTCCGAGTAACTCTCTTCAGTGGTGCTGGGGTACGGCAATTTATTGTCGTCCTTTACGATACGCACGATGCTCGGCTCCGTCGACGTAATTCGTCCGTAACTTGGCAGCTGGCCCGTCGCACTGTCGTGCTCCGTAACGGCGGTTTCCACTTCGACGATTCTCTTTGGTGGCGATGATGACGTCGGAATTTTATCTTGGGACAATTTTGCGTCGATGACCGTGTCGTCCGAGAGAGACAGAGCGTCCAAGTGATCAAGAGGAACGTTGAGGCTGTAATTTACGACGGACGTGATTTTATCGACGGGTATCGTGTGTCTGAAGGGTTTCGTGGTTGCCGGGTTCTCGATCAAGCTGGACCCGAGGCTAACGCCGTTCAGATCGGGAGTATTGTAACTCGTGTAAACCGGTTGTTGATTAACGTTAATTCTCCTGTTCCGCAACGCGTCCTCGTCCGTGTGCGCGGTCAGCGCCAGTATGCCGCTTCCTCTGTATCGAGTTTTCGCTTCCAGTTCGACTTCCGTGTCCAGTACAGGTTCCGCCACGCCAATACCGCTCGTGAACGAGTCGTTCGTTTTCTCGTCACCGCGCGATCCGAACGGGTCGTCAGGCTCCGTCGTCGATGCCGAGTCGAGCTTCGCCTCCGTTTTTCGAGTACCGTTCGAGTCTCCACGCTTCTCTTGAGAGGCATCGCTTTCTTCTTTTGTCGGGATATTTTCGGAGACTCCGCGAATCATCGAGTTCTCCGAGCTGGAGGTCACTCTATCGTCGTACGACGAGGCTTTCAGTTTGACGCTGTACGTTTCCGAAGGCAGCTGTCCGGCTACTTCGATGTCCAGCTTCCCACTATCGCTCGGTTTGGATGCCGTCAGACCTGGGACGATTCTGTCTCGCGGAAAATCGGTGTTGTCCGTGTCGAAGGTATTTATTTCGGCGACGTCGCCAAAGTTGACGGAACCTAATGGTAACTTTGGCACCGTCGACGTCGTGTTAGTCCCGGCACCGGGCGCTCTTGCGTTATCGCGGGAATCGCTCGTCGTTGGAACGACTCTCCGCGTGGTCGATTCCGTGTGACTGATTTCTTTGACGTCGTCTTCATTAGGTAGCAACTTTAACTCCGTGTTCACATACCCCGGCACGATCGGTTTCCACGGTGAGTTATTCTCGAAAGCTGGATTGCGGAAATCTTTGAAGATGTCCAATTCGGCTCGAACAGTTGTGGTCCTCGGAGACGTCGTTTTCACTTCGTTCTTCTGCTTTTCGTTCGATTTATTGTCGCTGAGCGTAGCTACCGTGGATCTCATGAAAAATGTCGAAGGTTCGTCCGTCGACGAAGATTCCACGTGGTTGAATACTTTCTGTGACGTCGTGGTGTGCTTGTGCAACGGCGTTCTCCTAGTAGTGGCTAGTCCTTTGCTATCTATCGTCGACTCGGATATTCCTCTCGTTGAATTATCTGCGGTAATATTGACTTTCGTTGCTCTGTAGGTACCCTGGATGGTCGGGATGTTGTTGAAGTCTATATTGGGCTCGCTGGATTCGGTCCTGATTGGTTTCGTTTTTTGCTTCGAACTCATAATCAAACTGCTATTTCTATTTGGTCGTAATAAGCCGTTTTTAGTAATCATAGTATGTTTCTGCTGTCCTTGTTTTTGATTTACGATACTTTCCTGATTTATTCCTGAAATTTTGAGAAAGAAATACTCTTGAAAATAAACTGATTTTATTTGAAGAATAAATAAATGCTTGAAGCAGTAAGCAGATTAGATTTGGACGCTTCGAACTTTCGATTTGAATTGTGAATAGGTGAGACGCAACATTTGTAGCTAAACGAATTTTGTTAGAAGTTAATTGATTAATGAATGACGTTGTGCAAATGTAATATGCAAGAAAAAGAATGGGCGAAATAGATTTGTGAAAAAGAACAAAAGTAAAAGAAAGTTTGATATATTAACGAAAATGAAAGGAATTTTAATTAAAAAACGAATAGACAGGAAAGGCTCTGGTCGGCGCGAGAAAACAGGTAGCAGAAATATGAAAGTCCAGCAAAGTGTCAACGTAGTGTAGCATAAAGCTAAGTTTTGCTTAAAGCTGATTCATTCAATTTAACGCTACTCACTTTTCACTGATATGGACGTGAGATCCAGCTCCATATCTTTGAACAAAGATGTAATTGAGTATGTTTCCTTAACAATAATGTCCTGGATGGTGTCCTCAATATTTACGATCGAACGTGGTATCTTCCTTCGGTCGAGATATAGTCTGAAGAAAACTTTCAAAGTCCCATTCTCAAACCTGTCTATCATGGTTTGCTTGTAGGATAAACCGAGCACGCTTCTCCTAAACAGAAGCTCGAACTGGAAATAACAATTATTGAATTTTTAAGAGATCTGATTTCTTCCTCTTTATATACGTATATAAATAGAACAATCTTGAAATTTGCTTACAATATTTTTGAATTTTCGTTCCTTTTCTCGGAAGACCATGCTCGTGTTCAGTTTTAACATGGGATTATACCTTTCGCCTCTTGCTATTCTGAAGCTACATGAAAATCCGACGATAGCTATAAACATAAGAAACGTAAGGTTGAAAGGTATTATGCAATTTTTCATTGTTATTCGAAAAACTCACCATTTTTAGAATCTGTTCGGAAAGCTGAAACATTTAATTAATAATAATTAATTTTATGCAATTTATTATTCATTTTTTTATTTCAATTGAAAAAGAAAGTAAAAATTTGAGGAACTCTAATTCTATTTTTTTTTTACATGCGTGGAAATTTTATTACGTTTGATCTAATCAACTTAATGAACGATCAAATTTAATATTCAACGTACCACCCATCCATAGAGCTAATCCAGCAATTGCCAGAACTGCGATCAACACTAACATAGCTGACATAATTAACATGGCACTGCCAAACCTCCATGTAGTATTACCATTTCTTCCTGCTGCTGATACCCTGGGCCAAGTGGATCTTGGCGTTAAATAATAGTCTCTCTGTAATGAGGATCATTAATCTTAATATTATTTCATCTATTGACTATTCTTAATAATTGAATTAAATTTTAAAAATTTTAAATTTTGATTTCGAAACATAAATAATTTAAAATTTTACAAGTTTTTAATTTGTCAATATTGCAGAACAAAACATACAATGATATTCTCTTGTGTATAGTATCTTTTTCGATGATCGCACATTTTTTCTTATATTTTTTTAAAGAGATAATTTCTTAGTGCTCTTTATTTTCATTTGGTATACATTCGTAGCGAAGCGAGTCAGGTGGCACGCGACTTATCGTTGAATAATATATATATATATATATATATATGCGTGATAAATATGAGCGAGCGTGTACAGTAATCCCGTTAACGGTACCACCGGCGGCACGGAATGCATGGATAAGAAGAAATTTTCGAAGTGCCAAGATGTGAATAACGTTCAGCTCTGCTCGACTTGCCGGACGGGATCGCGTGGAAAATTCATAATATTTCGTCTAGCGGTAAACGCGCCATTCGCAAGTGTTGTCGGCATTTTCAAGCATGGCTGCTCTCGTATTAAAACACGAAGTAGGTCTAAATGCAACTCGTATTATAGCACCTGTAAATGATATTTTCGATGTTTCCGGTTGCTTTAATAAACATTAAAGAGCTTTAACTATCTCATATGAAATAAGAGGAAGTTGTTAGATATAAAATAACAAGTATATCGAGGTCGAAATTGGGGACGTCGACCTCCAGAAGTATTAGTTTTTAAATCTTAAGCGTTAATTAATTCAAGATTGTCTGAAAACATCATAAATACGTGCTTAATGCTGTATTGCATCTGTGAAGATGCAAATCAATAACAGAAAAATGCGGCTTACGTTATACAGTTTTTGCCTTATGCCTTAATGTTCTCAATGGTAAAATACTACTTTAATGGAGCATATGATTTATATTCAGACCAAGGGTCTGAAGACAATTTTTTAGTTTGCAATGACAAGTTGTCTTTATTATTAAAACAGGAGGCAAAGAGTCTCTGGAAAATGTTTGGCTTTGTACTTCGATCCTAAGTACTTACGAAGATGGATCCCGTTTGCATTCGAATTATTAGTGCAAGACGTAAATGTTATATGTTATACGCGTCCTCGCATCTTGTTCTAACAGGTGGAATATCTCGAATGAGCCGAATGAAATCGACCGTATCGAATGCGATGTCCAGATACAAAGCGCGAGCGTGAACCGTTATAAAGTTTATGGATTGTCGTGATTTTGTGAAAAATATCGCGTGACCCTTGCTTCTTATTTTTCCGTTGCATGCAATTGTGCCGCGCTATGCTGTTATCGCTCCAATTATTTATGGAAATAAAAATGACCGCTAATTTTATTTAATATTTAATAACATATTATTGATATTTTATGAAATAATCTCCGAATGCACTAGATGCTCATATTTGCTTCATCATTGAATTAAATACGCACGATAAATAAGTGTTAGACCAATTTGCACTTGTTTTGGATTTGACCGCGTTATCGTGATCCGCGGTAGTGTAGCTATGAAGCGCGATATAGTTTCACTGCATATTATTTTTCTTTGTGACGTTACAGTTGCTTCTCATAAAATATTTATAGCGCACGATTAATTTTCTATATTAAAATGTTTAAATCAATATTCTATGGAAATTTCAAAGATAAATTTACAGAAATAAGTTTATATGATTGAATGATTTATATTTAATTTTCAAGGCATCGTTTGAAGTTATGATCCATGAAGCAAACAACTAGCAAAGTAAGCAAATTAGCGCAGGATAACATGTCATTTTGCTGATAGTATACAATCTGTTTTATTGCCTTTCAATACTAGATCAACGATCACTTTCTTTCGGAAAATGCTGTCACAAACGAGAAGATTATTCGAATTAAATGTTATAGATTGTAATTATTTCAAATTATTTCTTATTTTTTTAAATTAATGTTTGCACTATTCTATAATTAAACGTCATACATCGTGATTCTTTCAAGTTTCTTTTTTTTTTTTAAATTAATGTAGAGAGATTCGTAAGAATAATATTTGTACAGTTATCTCTCCCAATTCTTCAAATATATAAGAAAAAAGTAATCACAAATTCAAATATCAGAGGGAAGCCTGTTGGCCTGAATTACATCTGCGATAGTCTTTTCAGCGTCTTGCTCCTCTTCAATCCTTTTCATCCTTTTTAGCATTTTTCTCATATTCTTCAATAAAGATGCAGGCCGTAAGAATAATCCTCGGTGGCACTTAAGTAGCGTTGCCGAGCATATCCAACTATGTGGATCACAAAGCGTGGTAACAGCTATGCGATTCCTGAAAAGGCTGTTACCTCCGCCGCCTTATGAAAACTACATACATATAAATAACGACATTTCAGAGATGACACCTGGGGTTGCTAACTATCAACCGTTCGCCAAGGATTCAGTGGAAGAACAATAGTGGTGTAACAGAAACAAGTCTGTCAGGGATATGCATTGCCGCCGCGGTGTGAAGAAGATATAGAGACACACGTTGCAAAAGAAATATCCGCTAATAGCGTTGCGCAGAATACGAGGGTTAATATTTGAGGAAGGTTAAGAAATGTAACCTCGGCGTTCGCAAATAACGAGGTTTGAGGAAGGTGTGTGTGTGTGTGTGTGTGTGTACGCATACAGTCCATATGCGTACCATGACCTGGACGGAGTCAATGCGCGGCCTTCGCAGGGGCAGCACGAAGAAAATGCGCGAGAAGCTGCGAGTACGAGCAACTTTGCCGAGTGCAAAGATCCTTCAAGGACGCTCCCGCAACTCTCGTCCTTGTCTGGTTTAATAAGGGTCCCCCTAGGAACGTGTGTATACCTGGAACTGGTACACGGCAGATCGTAACGCCTGTGTCCAGGGCCGGGCCTCGCGTTGGCCGCGTTATGTTATCTATGCGCGACGATATACGTTTTGTCGAAGTACGTAGATTTTATTCGGACGATCGCACAATTGTTTCCGTTTGGCACACTTGGGTATTTAAAAAAAAAAAATGTCGATTGCGGAAGAGACGCGGAAGATTCCACGAATACCTCGGATTATCTTAAATCGACTCGATAGAGATCCTCGTAACAGGACTCGAATCGCGTGGGCGTCGGCAAATCGGTTGGAAAGATATTATCGGTACCATCATATCCTTGCGATTACATTCTCGCGTACAGTCCTTATGTACGCAAACATTTCTCAACAATGGAATAGGCGACGGGTTGAATCACCCGTATTTTTTTTTATATTCGTATGATATTTCGCGAAGGAATTTTCCCACAACCGAAAGCTTAAGCTTCCACGAGCTTCGCTCGAGGGTACGTACGATGGTATCTAAAGCAGAAGTTACGCGTGTATATGGGAACTTCCTCCGTTTGTTTGTGGATACATATCATTGGATTATTTTATAATCGCTCATTAGTATTTTATAAACGTTCCTGGCAATGTTGTTCTCGCGTTTAAAGTTGCCAAGTCAAGTTCTCAACAATAGACAGAGAGAGACAGAGGGAGGAGGGGAGGGGAGAGAGAAAGAGGAAAGAGAACACGGAGAATACAGTTATAATTTGCTCCATTATATGGATATTTTCGCGAGATTTCACGTTGGTACAATCGGCAAAAATTTTTCCGCCTATGCTGGAGATTACGATCTCCCTTACATAATTCGATTATAAAAGTGGCGGACAAATCATCGCCCGTAAGGTATATCCTATGGCTTCCAAGGTTATCTATTGTGCGGATCTATTCTCCGTAGTTGCGTTACGCAACGACGTAAAATTAAAATTGATTCTTCATCTTCGAGAATCGGTTGAAAATACATACGTGCTGCTGCAACTTTAAGTTTTATACACGACGCGATTGTCCTGCAGGGTCGTAATCAATGCCCGATTCATCACGCAGGACGCTGCTATTAAATCATTTACCCTTTTGTGACGGGACACTTTTAATTATACACGGTCACATACACGTTCGCATTCCAGGTACGTTGAACCTAACTGTCAGCTATTGTAGTAACTCCACAGGCAGATAAAAAAGGCGTGCCTGGACACGTAATTTCTATATTTCATCGCGGCTCACCTCCACGGCTCATTAACGAGAGGCGGCTTAATTACCATTCGGCCGACGTACGCTCGCGAGGCAGCGCCAAACGTGCGCGCCATCAACAATTCAAACGTTATCCGCAATCGTTAGCGTAACAGATGCGCGTTGCGTGCCCGCGCGGTATACGCGCATCAATACGTGAGAGATCCGTTTGCATTTTTTTCCTTTCCTGATGATGCGTCGAGAGAACGTTACTCCGCCGCGCTCGCGCGCGCGCGCGCGCGCGATTTGAGTTCAGACTCCAGTTTTCTCGTGGCTGATGCATCGAGGGTGCATCTCATCAGGGATGGTTATCGCGCGGTATTTTGCCGCGCGAGTAAAGTGCATCGCTATCGTCGCAATTATCGCTCACAGTCGTTGACTTGATAACGGTACCACATTGTGCGCGCGGGTTGCGAACGCGTCGGGCGATCGGGTTTAAACAGCCAATTAAGCGAACGGAGCCGTGCCGCGCCGGTGTGTGGGATATGGGTTTTGGCACACAGAGAAGAAAAAAAAACCTTGTTAAAACGGAAAGAGAATGCCGAATAATCCGAAAGATCGTAAGATAAGTAAACGAAGTTGGCTCGTTGAGATCTGAATATTTTTCCAGGAAACGTATCGAGTATAATAAATAGAAATGGATTATTACTATTATTAGTTTCGCGAAATGTGGGATTCATGGATCCCAAATCTTCTTAGAACAGTTACGTTGCGCGGGTACAAAAAGTTGAAACATAATTATGTACCTATTTGCTCTTGTCGCGCGTTTTTCAAGTGTAGCTTCTTGGTAACGATAAAAGCTTCAACTTGCTATTAAGTGAACAAAAAGGAGACACGAAAGAAAAGACGACAAAGACGGACAGGGGACAGAGATAAATGTAGTGCAGGGGGGAGGGGGAGGAGGGATATCCCCCTTGTAGGATGCCCATAATTGAAGTTACTTTCAAATTGCCGTCTCGCGTAAAGATACAGTCTGCCTCGCCGTTGCGCGTGAACTTGACGCGAGACATGACCGTGTCTCTTGATAAAATTATATAATGCTTTCGTGTGAGACAAGGTGAAGGTTCTCGCATGATGTAAGGTCTGCAATATGTGTACACAGAATTATTATAAAAGGATCGGCATATTTCTTCGTATTCGTTAGAAAATTTTTCAAAAATAGATCACTCTTAAGATTTACTAAATTTCACTAAAGTGCAATTCTAATTATTTTTTTGCAGATTAATTTTATCATGTACAGACCGAAAGAGTTACGAGATTTAAAGCTACACTTTACAATCATCTTATTTCGTATTTTATGTTGTAAGCAAAAAAACGCGGTTTTTAATTCACAGAGAAAAAACGTGTCTCGAAAAGTGAAACGATGGTCCTTAGAAGTCTGGCCGTGCAAAAAACGTATATCCTGACTGTCTACTTACGATTTTATTCTTCAATAAAACTTGGATACCTCTTGGAGGCATCTCAATTTGCTGAGTTAACTACTTTCGTTTTTTTCATACTCATATATATATATATATATATATATATATATATATATACATACATATATATTATGTACGAAGAATGGCAATCGTTTCGAAGTCGAGATAACTTTTGGTAATTTAATTAATGTAATATTTGAAGGATACCTCTCGTAAAACCGATAGTAAAAGTTTATTGAATCAGAATACATTTACTTGAGGTATCATAATGATTAGAATCCTTTTTTCTTCAACATCGAAAAATGACTCTTGTTGAAAAAATGTTTTTCCATATTGTCAGGTAATCTTAACTTAAAACGTTAACGTAAAACGTACAAATCGATAGATGACTCTTGTTGAAGAAATGTGTTTCGATATTGTCAGATAATCTTAACTTAAAACGTTAATGTAAAACGTTTCACAGCAAAAAGCAGACTCGAGGAAACAAGAAAACGTTCTCATTATCACTCTCATTATTGAGTATAGATTGAATATGTATATGTGTGTGTATATATATATATATATATATATATATGATTGTATACCAATTGAGATTAATATCTTATAAAATTTTATAAGAAACAATAATTGAATATACTTATTACGAACATAAAAAATAGGTCAGTTACATCTGACTTGAGACAAGTTTCGAATCCAACGGCTCTGCTCCGTTTATATTTCTTAGAACGATAAAATAAAACTTACATATAAATGTAAAACTCACTTGATAAGCGTAAGGGCCAGGCCTGTAATAGCCGCCGGCATTCATCACGGCGTGACTCTTTCCGCTGCCACACATGGAAGTCATCGTCCGGGTTCTCGAGTTCTTACTCCCGATCGAATTATATTCGTGACGTACGTCGTTTCCCACGGGATTCGGACTTTGGCTTTTACGACATTCCACGACGACGGTGCACCATGACGATAATTGAGTGGAGGTTGATCGTGTCAAAGCGTTCCTCGCATTCTCTTGTAATTGTAAAAAAAGAGATGCTGCTATGTCTCTACAACTGATGTAGACTCGCTAGTAATGAAGTCGGATTTCGTTCAGGGTACTTCTTCGCCGTCTCGGTCAGACGATAATTAACGTTTCTGACGGATCAACTCGCGGGGTCGAAGAAAGCAATCGCACGCGCGGTATTCCTCAAAGTTACAGTGGAATGCAATTTTCGATGTCCGGGAAGATACCGTTAGGCGAATACGGAGTAGCTTGGAATATATTCTCTAAAGTTGGAAAATACTTGTGCTACTCGATTCACGTTCATCTGCTATAGTTGCTACCGCCTGGTCAGGATACCGAGATAGTTTATAATGAACTGTTATTAGTTGTTAAAAGGAAAAATGCAATATTTTACTCGGACGAACGAGTTATTGACCCGCACCCACCGGTAGCCAGTCCAATATAAATCATTTCGCGTTTGTTGGCTTCTCTTGAGAAGAGCTGCACGTACATGAGGCGTCCATGCAGGCGTATATGCTTCTTCCGAGACGAGACGATCCGAAGCGGGAAGAGGTGAAGCGCGGCGAGGTGAAGCGCGGCGAAGCAAGCGGGACACACCACCACGTCCTTCCTACGTGACGGCTGACCACCAACTGACAATCCGAGATCTTGAGGTACCGCCGTTCCTCATCTTCGTTCTTCCCGTTCGGGCCAGGTCTCTCACGTCGTCGTACGTCGCAAGTGTATATATATACATATATATTCGGCTTGCACACGCCGACGAATTCCCCACGCCGACTTTATACGTATTCCCACGGTTACGGTGCTTTACATTTTAAATCTGCGCTCTCTTTTGTGAAAACCACCGCGTGTGTTTCCGTAACTAAACGACCGCTGAACGGGGCGATGATACAAATAACACTCTTTTTCTTATCTTGAAATGTGCAAAAGAGCCTCGAACATATTTTTATAAAATCCAATTAGTTTACCGTAATGCTTTCTTCTACAAGAATACGTAGCGAAAAAAATTATAGACGGAATTATATACACTCGAGCAATGACGCACTGCCGCGCCAAGGAGATTTCAATGCTCGCACAGATCTTATAATTCGTGCGCTGCGCCGGGATTATTTCAATATGTCACAAACATGTTCTTACGTAGACCATTATGATAAATCAGACTCTTCTTCTTCCTATATATTCGCATATTGCAATTATTTATTTATTTATTAACGCAGTTATAATATGCAATGTAAAATTATATTTTCAGAATGATAGCACGAGCAATCAAATATATGTATAATAAAAAAAAAGATAAAAATAATAAAAAATACGAAAATCAATTTCATACATAGTACAGGTAATTTTATATAAAGAAATATTAGTACGTGTTTTATATCGAGAGAAACACTTTTAATTAACTATTTATTTGTTTGCGAGATATTAATTCGTTACGAACAATGAAACGGGGTAGGTTACCACTATTTCATCATCTCGTTAATATCATATAATAATTTTACGAGGACAACAGTTCTGCAATTCTGCATAATCTCCCTGTTTGCATGTTAGGCGGAGCTCCATAATGCTACTCATTAGACGGCGTGCGCCCTTATTAGTGCGACGCCTAGATCACCGTTGTCTTGTCTCGTTATTATTTCGCTAACGGTAGCGGACCTATAGTGGTCCCGTCATTTTCCACGGTGGACACAATATCGCATTAAGTGTGTTTCACTGGTGTACGTATTAAAACTGGGTATATATATTTACAGAAGTTCTTACGCAGTTTGTTGCGTCTAAAAAAATTGATAATGCAATTTTTATTTCGAAGATTTCTGACAACGTAAGAAAAGCAGTTGCACTCGTTGTCAGTAAAAATTTTAATGGCATTTGATTTATTATGTATATTTTAAATTGGACATTAATTATATAAGATATTTCTACTAAATATTAAAATACTAATCCACGTTGTAATCAAGTTTGCCGATATGTCATTACTCAAATGCTTGTTATCGCTTTAAATTTGAATGAAGAGGGAGCAAGTAAAATGAAAAGGCAGAAGAGAAACAGGGAAGATATGAAGAGCACAACCATGATCGGTAAAGAATTTTTGGTCAAAGATTATCATTAAATTATAAATAATGGTTTTTATCTGCAGGCAACGAGTCTTAAAAGATCATCGATACAAGCCCGGTGATTTCTTTCTTCGGCCAAAATTGAACTAAAATTTGAAAAATTCTGCTTATATGAAAGTTTCAGTAATAAATTATCCGAAAAATTCAATTGGGTTTGAAAATGGTTCATCCACGAAAGATCAAATACTTATGCCAGATATATATTACATTACAATATCGTGATATTATATTAGATCTTCTCAGCACTTTTAACTTCCATTTTTAGTATCTCTCTCGTTAGTTTTAGATCAATTTACTATAAGTTGACCACGTACTGATTAACGAAATTTTCATTCATACGTGCTATATTATATTACAGAATAGAACAGGATTGAGAAAGTGCCATAAGAAATAGGAAGATTACTTGATCTTAGCAATGTGCGGTCGAGATTCGACTACATATACATATATTTGCAAGAACTGACAGAATGTATATATTGGCAGAAACTGGTTCGGATACCATGGAAGCGAAGTTACGAAAATTTTCGACAGGAATGTCCGCGACGTCGGTTAATCCCACTATTATTACCTCGTATTATTATTCCGATCGCTCGCGGGAGCGGCGCGTAGGAACGGCCGGTGGAAATTATCGATGGTGGCCGTGCCGGCGTACCGAGGAGCTGTAAATAACACTTTTTATCGCCCGCGGTCTGGATTTCGGACGGGCGTAATCCCTCCGCCGTTTCCCTTCATCCGATCGGAGAGATTTATCTGTAAAAATTTTGCCGAAGAACAGAAAAAAGAGAAAACGCGACACACGCCGCCGCGCTCTCCTTACCGCGCGGGAATGGTGTAGTTCCCGTGTGACGCGGCGTCCGGGGACGCGGCATCCGGTCCCCGGTCCCCGGTAAGATTGCCGTACTTGCGCTTAAGGTATCCCTCGCAGCTGACTACGTGGCGGAATGTCGTGCCGGTAAGATGCTCTGGGTGATCTTTCTCAGGGCCGTATCGAGCGGGGCCGCCTCTCGTCTTCCCGATTTCGCTCTCTTCCTGTTTCACCTCCGCAAAGATCTGAATAATTTTCGTTAACCGTGCGCATCTTCTTTCGAAGTTCAAACATCTTATGGCGTCGATTCATTTGAACGGACGATTTATCATTGCGATACTGCACACGTTTCTGATGTAATCCCGGAAGATTCGAAGATCTCTCGTTACATTATATATACCCTCTTTTTTGTCCGATAAGAAAATTCGCTTTTCAGATTCAGCGTGTGTATTGTATAAATATTGTCTGTATAAATGAATGCGAACGGAAAGAAACGGTTTTACTGAAATATACAAAAATTAGATAAAAAACCAGATCTGCAGATAATTATGGAACATTAAAATAATTAATTAAAAGCATGCTCAAGCATGATAATAATATATAAAGTTTTGATATTCTAACTTGAGCTGTATAATTATTTCGATGATTCAACATACATGGTCTGTCCCAAAAGTGAAAAATGAGACTAATTCTGGAAAAATCGTTTTATTGAAAATACACTTAATATTTTTCAAAATAGGATCCTTGAGCGTCAGTACAGCGGTTCCAGCATTACTGCCACTCTTTATAGCAGCGCAGAAAGTCCTGACCGGACTTGCCTTCCAGAGCACTTGTCGCGGCTGCTTGGACCTTTTTAATCGTCCCAAAACAGTGTCGAATACCGTTTCGGGACGATTAAAAAAGTTCAAGCAGCCGCGACGAGTGCTCTAGAAGGCAGGTCCGGTCAGGACTTCCTGCGCTGCTGCGAAGAGTGGCAGTAACGCTGGAACCGCTGTATTGACGCTCAAGGATCCTACTTTGAAAAATATTAAGTGTATTTTCAATAAAATACACGGTTTGCCAGAATTAATCTTATTACTTTTGGGACAGATCATGTATTTTCAGATCTGTATTTAGTGTCAAAATTTTTAGATGCTTTGGCAAAACCGTTTCTTTTCGTGTAGCTAATATATATATATAAAAGATGTACGCATACATGAAAGAGGGAGGATGAGGAGATGAGAGGAGCAGCATCGCGTGGCATTGGCACCGGCGTCGCACGACGATCCGTGCAGCGGTTCGCCGTCGCGTCACGCCTGATTTATCGATTGACATTTTTTTCGGGAGATTTTTATTACGTTTTGATCCCGTAGCGCGGCATTACATTTAACCACCGAGCCATCCATCGCCAGATGGATGGCCAGACCGGCCCCCGGGCTTTCGGGTCCCCACGGCTTATTCTCTTCGGGCCAGGCCCGAGAACGTTCGACGCGTATACGCGTTCGTCGCCGAATTGTTTAATCAACTACCTTTCATTCGACTAACGTTTGCGCGACAGCATGATTTATCTGTCGCTTTGTTTTCATTATTTCCGATAATCCGATTAATCTTCCCGATTCTCTCTCTCTTTAATCTTACACACACCTTAATCTTAATATCTCCATACAAATGTTTCTTACCGAAGTTATGGATTAACACGAACACACGTACACACATGCACACGTTGCACTCTACGCTATATACACTGTAAATAATTTAAGTAACTTTCGAAACTTATAGATGTAAGTGTTACATTACGCTCGCTAATTCCATGCTAATTAGAAGCAGCCACCTGTTTTCACAAAACAGGGAATCGATTGCGTTTTCGCAGCTCACCGTCCCGTCGTTCTCCTCGCACTTTCAAAGACTCCGCTCGAACGTGTTTGATCGCTTGTGTTATTTAACTTCTATTTACCGCGTACGGCGTAACTCTTTCTTTGTTAAAGAGATAGATCGAAGCGAAAATCAACGTGCTCGCTCGGCGGCCTCGATTATCCTTTGAAACGTGACGGTGTCGAGTCCGGCGAAGGGTCTGTCACGGGCCACGGGCGGAAGCGAGCGGCGTCTCCTTCGTCGCCGTCGCCGGCGGAGTATATCGTCGAAATAATCGTCCGTGGTCGGCGGATTCACTTTGGCGTAGTAGAGAGCCGCGAAAGCGCTGTAGATCAGAAGAGCCGCGGTCGCGAGCTGATGCAAACGCGACAACACGTATTTGAATTCGAAGTCATCATGGGTTACGTTGGAATAGAAATCAGGTGCTCGATTGCCAGGATTACCTGAAAGACTGCCCAGAATTTGTAGCTTCCCTCGTTTATGAGAAAATCGTAATAGCCGGCCCAATAATCAGCCTTAGGCTGATCCATCGCCTTCGTCTGACCGTTCTCGTCGTCATGCATGTCTTCGTCGTGATCGTCGTTTTGATGGTCGGCGTTGTCACCCCGAGTATTGTAATCCCATCTGTACGCTCTGCTTCGTCTGCTTCTGTGGAATAAAATGTGACTTATTGTTAGCGGTATGATAAATTGCTAAACTTGCCAATTAATTCACGTTGATTTGATCTCTTATTTTATGTTTTTTTTATACATTAAGAACTAAAAAAAAAATTGCGCTTTTATATTTCGATTAAAATTAAACATTAGGATTGCAGCAAAGTCCTTTTTAGATACAAAATTTATTGTCCTTTTTATAATTGTATGCGTTGCGTAATTTGGAGAAACGATTAAAGAATCAGAATACACATATGTATAAAATATATTAAATTATAATGCATATACATTGAAATATAACATGTAAAATTCTCTTTTATTATTATTTGATGCGAATTATAGTTTGCTTAAATGGTCAATAAAAATGTGAATTCACATATTTACCTGACAGATTGCGGGATCATAGCTAACTCAAGGTTTTCTTTAGGTGTTCCTGTTTTCGAAATCGATCCTTCTGTATTCCCCATACTCATTTCGCCAGAGGCATGATAAATGCAAATCGACAACAGAACAAACTTGCAGACTAATCGACTGTTTATCGATTCTGTGAAATTAAAATATTATATTTATATACGATGAAAATTACGTTATAATCTTTAACGAACATGTGAGAAATACAGTGATAGTTCCCTAATAAATAAATAAAATAAAATATTAGCAATATATGCTAGCGGTATACTAGAATAGCAGGTTCGAGTAGAATATTGCGGCAGATTGACATTAACTACATACTCATATTAAACTCGTATTCCGCTCGCAGAGTCTGCCGACATAATCCGACAGCAGATTAGATTGTCAGTAGAATCTGTCATTCCGTAACTATACAAATAAAATATAAATCTCATCGTCGTCATTTAAACGATTATGAAGTGACAGACTCCGCTCTCGGTTTCCGCAGTCAATCTGTCATCATATCTTAATAGAGATTTCACAGATCTGCTACAGATTTCTGCTCTGTCGAATTATTTATGGCAGATATTTTGCAAAATTCGCTTTCGGCAGATTTGGCTATACGTGAATTTCGTACGCGACACTCGTATCTCCTTAATGCAAAATAATACTGACCCATGTTAATCCTTAACATGTATTGCACGGTTCGTCTTTTGACACACATGACAGACACAATGTCACCACTTCAACAATCGTCACACGCTAAACTCTGTCTCGCGCGGTAAAAGTTCGGCATTTGGGAGTAGCGTGCTGGCAGAAAAGCTTCGAAGTGAAAAACCCTTGGTCGTCCGAGGTACTGAATGCGCAATTCTTGGACCTAGTTTCAATAGCAGCTTCGTCCGGTGTACGCGCAACGGTAACTGTATCGACGGTAACGTTAAGTACACACAAATCCCTAAGCGCTAATTACTCTAATTGTTACAGATCTCTTGCATCGTCGCTTACAAGCCGATTCCGTCGAAATGCTCGGTAGTCACCGAGTTTCATTGATCGCCTCTAAATGGCGCGTCGACGTTATCATTTATAAGAAACTAGTGATTTCTAAGTTATTGTTAATTGTTGTTTAAGCTGTACTGTTCGACACTTGTCAAATACTTGCGGTTACACTTTAAAAACGTTAATGAAATTCAGCGAAGAATAGGTCATAGGCCGTGTTATCGTTTAATATTAGGCTGAGCAGACATTTTGCTGTAACTGGACAGAACTCTCGTTAAATCATTAGCATACTTTTAGGCAGATCCCGTTGAAACGATATTCTAAATCGGCGATAATTACATCGTGCTTCTCTATTAACGATTGTTTGCGCGCGCGTTTAAACTGCACATATAATCATGTTCTATAAATTATTTTAGCAATGTACATTGGATATTCTATGTAGCACGAAAATTCTAATATGTTACGGAATTAAAAAATGAAAAAGAACAAATTTAATTGATTCGGATAATTTATTCAAAAATTAGGAAGTGAAGAGTCAAAATGATTTTGAAAAACTAGTTCTCAAATTATTTAATTATTATTATTCTTTGTAAAATATCTGCGAAGCAGATTTAAGAATTAGTAAAACGCATCGTTGTGATGACAAATAAATTCATCAATAATGTCGTAAGTACTGTGTTTATTTTTAAGTAAATACAGAAATAATGAAAATGATTGTATCGTAGCTAGGAATGCATATATATAAAATTTATTTAAATCCATATGATTTTAAGTCTAATTTGTAACTTTCACATAATTATCATATATTGATTAACGTGATTGTCTTATTTATGATAAATTACGTATAAATAATGTATGGGTGTATAAAATAAATAATTATTGTTTATTAAACGTTCTTAACAATGTTTTACGTACGAACTACTTATCGCTATACTCAATCGTTTGTATTTAAAAATAGTCGAATGTAAGTATTCCAGCGGTAAACAATTATTAAAAATATATTTGACTTTTTTCTCGATACTTTTTTTCAGCGACAGTTTACACAAGAATTTTCACCGGACGTTTCAGCGAATCGTTCCAGTCCTTCGAGTATCCTTTCGGTAAATTGCCACCATCCTTCGCTAGATTCGCGTCTTCTGCGATGATTCACGGCTTCCGCCAGTTGAGCCGGAAAATTGATCTTGTGCCGGGCGACGCTCTTCAGTACGAGCGCCGCTATGTATATGATAAAATAGATGCTAAAGTACAGCGGTATGTACCAGAGCTTCTTTCCGATGAAGTAATACGAGTAGGGCCTCTTGTCGAGTCGCTGGTCGTTCATTTCCGGCTCCTCCGTCGTGGTCTTGGGATGATGCTCGTGATACACAGGTATGTGATCGTAGATCACGTCGTGATGAAAATCGTGATGATCGTGATGCTCGTACGTGTCCTCTACGAACGGAGGCGGATGCTCGTGATGATTCGCAAATTTCACAGGTTTCGATCCGTCGTTCTCGTACGAAGAGGCTATCTCGAAACCGGGATAGTCCGTCTCGTGCTCGCCGCTGGTGTGATACTTGCTCGGCGGCGGTTTGTAGGAATCCGGAATCTATACGCGATGAGAGAGATTCGAAGATGAGAGATCCCGTGAGATGTATGTGTTTGAAAAACGAGCGATGAGAAAAGCAATTTACACTCGTCTATCTGCAGCTGGGGGACTAATGACGAAATAATTCACACGTTTACCTGATCGTCCATGGGCGCAGGCGGATATTTGCTGATTATTGGTTTCGACATCGGTGATTCATCGTCGAAGACCGGGCCGGTACTCGGGCTGTACTCATATATCCCGGGAAAGATCGGGCCGAGAAAAGTGGAGGAGTTCATGCTCGGAGGGCTTTCCATCACATCCGACGTGATCGCTCCTTTCTGAGGCCTTCCGTTCGCCTGAGTGAAAGAGTCCTTGTCGACGAAGAGTCCGGCCGCGGGTGGATTGAATCGCTGCTGAATTCGCATCTTGCTCGCGTCCAGTTTGGCTATCATTTCGCGATCCAGCGTCGAGTATCTGTATACGCGGACACAATAGGCCATTAGGGCCATTAATAGCAAATGTTTCGCCGTTGTACGTTAACATATCCTGAATTTACCTTGGACCGACTGGATGATCGATCGCTTCGCCTTTCTTCAGTTTCGTGGTCCCGGGCGGAACGTACACGGGCGACGCTGTGATAACAATGTCATTTATACTTCTATTTTCGTTCTCCGTATTGCTCGTATTGCTTCTCGCTACGGGCCTAAGGTGCACAGACGTTGCCTCACATTCGATCCTTACGTAGAATATCTCAGGGACATTGTGTTCGCCTACCGGTAGTCACTACCGGTGTGAACAAAAAAAATTTATCTCGATGTTACGCACCTGGTGATCCACGGGAAAGAATCGCGAGCGCTTCTTCCTGGCTGTCCGTTTCTCGATACTCTCGCGTATGACGTTACTTCCGATGACAGCGTGGCGGAAGACAGGCGTAGGAAGAGAATCGAAATTAAAATACGTAACATGCTGATATTCAAAGATGAATGGCCACGATTCTGGAGCGAGTGTCCTCTATATAGACTTGTAACTGTAACTACCACTTGAGCGATCGCGAATTTATTGTCCGCGCGCGCGTCCGGCATTGTTGCGCGCAACATTATTTTGACTGTTTCGCGTCGTACAGCAATGCATTCGTCATTAAACATTGTCCGTCTCGCAGACGGGATGACGATAGACTGCAACAGTTGATGCTTATACGCTATTACAGAGCTATTTTGCGACAATTTCAAGACTAGCGCAGACAAAACATATTCAGCCGGCGCAGCTGCGCTAACGAGAAGAAATGACGCTTTACAAAATAGCTCTAATTTACTTTGCAAACCGTAGCAATCCGTTATGAGTTGTGTTGCGAATAAACAGATTGTCTCCCGTTATTGACATTGGGAGGAAGAGTTCAGTATCGATATATTTTTATTAACAATAATCTTGAAAAAAAACCGGTATATATACAATTTACATTTCAACGTTTTTCTTTATTTTTCTAACATACAGTAAATTTCTAGTCAACATTTATAACAATGCAAAAATATAATACATGCAACGTTAAACAGGAAATGATATATTTACAGTACTACAAATATAAAACATTTTTATCAATAATTTATTGCATACACATGATCTCTCAATGTACAGAATCGTCGACTTCCGTATTTTTAACATAATTCTGTTTTTGATACAACTATGCATGTCTTTTCCTTTGCTCCCATACTGGGAGTTTTATATTTTCTACACAACTGTGCGCTCGTAAGCGATTACATGCAGAATGAGAAAACGAATCAAAAAAAGAAGGTATTAAGTCTGTATATATATATATTCCGCAATTAATATCATAGGATTTTTCTATACATGTGCCATTGAAAGAAACAGAGACTAAAAGGAAATATTAATAATAGGAAGATTGTTTGAGCATGGTATATTGGGATTACGGAAATTTGTCTGTATTGTAGATTATCCTGTGTGATTTACATATCACTGAAACTACTGTTAACGCGATTTCTAAAAATGCTGGATATTATTTCAGATCTTTCTTCAATTCAATAGAAACTTAAATAGATTACAGCAAATAAATTTTTTTATTTTAGTTCTTTCAGATAATTCAGATTTTAAGTTTAAAATTTATTTTTTTCTTTCGGAGCTATGTAAAACTGCTTACGCTGTTATTACATTCAGTTCCTTACCTGACTATCGTTAAACCAGAAATTCTCAGGAATTCACCTGCAAACTCAATCGATATGCTTGGCATTTTGCGATATGCTTCGCTCGTTTTCCACCGTGACTTTACTTTGATTTAAATTGTCAGTCTCAAAATTCGGATTAATAAAACAGCTTTCCTGCGTATCGCTTTCCTTAGCCTTTGTTTGAATCACAGCTTTTGTTTCTGATTTGTCCTCAGATTTTCTAATTGAATTTTGTTCAATTTCGTCAATATTTTTAGCATTTCTAATAGCTTCGATCTCAGTTGACTTCAATTCATCCACTTTTTCGTTGTTTTGTGATTCTTCTTTCTGAAATCCTTTATTATCGTTTTCCGTCGCGTTGCTCTTGTCATCAATTCGTTCACCTTGCGACTTTTCGTCGAGACTAATATCGTTCGTGTGCTTCTCGGGGCTATCTCCTTTGTTAATATTTTTCGGCTTTTTCTTGACGATATCGTTACCTTCGAGCTGAAATCGCTTCTTTAGATAAGTTGCGTTGAATATGAAATATACTATGCCGGTCAGTAAAGTTACCACAGCGAAAATCTGATAGGTCGGTCTGGTACCAAAAGCTTTCATCAGGTAACCACCGATCAAACTCCCAGAGCCTTTGCCTATAAATATAAAAATCAATATACAAATTTCTAATACAAAATAATTTATTTATTATTTCCAAGAAATAATTGAATGAAACTACCAAGAATACGTACCAACTCCGTAATAAACGCCACCGAGCAATCCTTGTATCGAGCTGTCGGTAGACGTGGTTGATAATTTTGCCGCATAAGTGACGGCCGCGGTGAAGCTGAGAGATGTTGTAACCGACTCTAATGCCTCGAAGATTAAAGTAAGCCAAGGATCGTAAATCAAAGAATAGCCTGTGCAGGAAGTACTTCATTATATCTTTAAACGCGCGTGTCCACGTTTGTCCGCGCTGTCAATTATTTCGCACCGTTATCATACTCACCGCAAAGCCTGATGGCGTAAAACACGAAACCTATGAAAAGCACGTTCGCGTGACCAATCTTTGATATTATCGGCCCCGAGAGTGCCAACAACGGTATACCGGCGATACCGCCTACCGCCACCGTGATACCCATAAGCGATCTAGATCCACCCAGGTCCTGGATTAGCCAAAAGAGAAACGACTCGATGTACCCCCAGGCGGTTCCTGTCGAAGTCTTTCTTTCTTTTAATCTTTTCTCCGAGTAATTTGTCGAAAACACCGATAGAAAAATTCAGGATCGTATTGAATATGTAAGTTTGGTAACTTACCGAGCACGAAGCAAGCAAGGAAGAGTACCGCAGTTTCGAGGTTTCTCAGAACGGTAAAGACATCGCGCACAACGTTCCTAGCAGGTACCTTGAATTCCAAGTTGATCATCAATATAAGAATACCTGATATAAGCTTCAATGCTGCGTAGAGGTAAAATGCTGGTCTGAAAAATTCGTTTAGACCTTTATTAACGATTCAATAAAGTTTAATCTTATTATAGAATCAAATATATAAATATGTCTCGAAAATAACGATATAGAAAAATTTTTTCTATTTTTTTAAATTTACTTTGGCGCGTGAAATCAATCCTTTCTGATTGTGTTATCAGTTATAGGACATCTTATAAATTATGACTAATTTACTCACCTAAAATCCGTATATCCTTTACCCTTGCTAGCGTAATCTATGAGAAAACCTGATAAAGGTGAGGAAATCATGCCTCCTATACTGCCATAAATTCTTTGAAGACCGTAATCTGCCTCCTGCTCTCGCAATATCGCTATAACAGCGCCTTCAAACATGGCAAAAGATGTACTGCCAATAATACCTGAAACAAAGAATTTTACATCTTTATTTTGTGATAACGTTGAATAACTATTACACAATTGAAAAAAATATTGTAATTTTTTTATGCTTAATATAATTACAGTTTAGATTTTTCTATAATAATTTGAATATAAATTTCTTAAAGTTTTGACACGATAAAACATTTTGGTCGGTTTGTGTTCAGCATCAACAACACTATTAGAAATGATTGTTTCCTTTCTTGAAATTGAAAAAAAAATTATTTCCTGTTGAACTGTGTAATGATTAGGGATTTATCTTTATATTATCTTGAGAGATAGTTGGAACATTGAATATGTACCTATGAATACTCGAACGACGAGATAGAGCCAGAACGTTAGCTTTATGTTATATTCGATTTCCATATTCATGTTAGAGCACACTGCGTTACGAGGTAAAGTAACTATGCATTTCTTCCTGCACTCGTTTGTGCTCAGGACTCGCTTGGTTGCTTCTAGATTCGCTTCGTGATCATAGAGCCGCACTTGTATCGTAATTTGATTATTTATAGAATCTGGATCATCGCAAATGGGTTTTTGAAAATCTTCTCCTGCCCAGGATATTTCCTTCGTCAAATATCTTTGCCGTTCCTCTCGTAAATCATCTTCATCCGGTTTCAAACTTTTTATTTTCGATTTGTACAAATGATAATTTATCGTACGGTTGACGTTATCCTTTAAAAAAATATGACTACTTGATCTTTTCATTTTTGTCTTTTTTTTTTAATTTTTAATTACGAAAATATAAAATATAAAAATGGCGAAAATTTCCGGATTATTGCCAATCTTTTGATATTTTCGGATACATACGAATATTATTATGTTACGAAGTATATTATTCTTCTTCTACCTTCGATTTCATTAAACTACCAAACGCGCATGTCGTATAATTTTTGTACATTCTATGCGTTATTTCGGCAGTAAAGCTATCAGTATCTTGGACATGCCCCGACGGGGACATACATGAGAAATACGAGTCCATTTGGTCCGTTGGGAAAAAATAGTGCGTTTTCGAAACCTGTCGAATGGTAGTCTTATAAAATTCATTATTTTTTAACTGTCGATGTTCCTTCATATCTTCCTGCTTAAAACTCTGTAATTAAAATACAATAATATTTATTCAGTATCGTAATAATATGATTGCGCGAAATACGCGGTATACTCATGAAAAGCATAAAAATATATAATACGAAAAATTGTACGATAATACTTTAAATTTTGAGTTTTAAGCTTACGTAACGTTCGATATTTTGCGATCTCAAAATTAATAATGTCAAGCTAATAAAATTTCTTTTGGACATTTTTTTTTTAATGGGCAGAAAGTGATATACAAGTAATTTTAACTGAAAGATTAAGTAATGCACACATTGCGCTATACCGTTTCTTCGTGCATTGACCAGCAACCGCGTGTTCACCTTACTACACCTAAGCTCACCGCTTATCCGTTATTCGATATTAGGTATCGAGTATCCGTAACTCAGTAACAGGCAGTCTGTTAACATACGTTCAATGCACAACGTACCGTTGACAAGTCGCTCTGCGCAACGATATATTTGTGCGAGGTATTAACGCCGGTCTGAAAATTGAGATGTCGGACCGTATAAAGCCTCGATTTCAGAATCTGACTTTGATCCGTCTCGTTGCTCGTTTCTACGTGACACACGAATCTGCGCAATAAGAAAAAAAAATCGCTAATTTTTGAGCTTTGTCCAGAGCATATACGCGGTTTTTAGATAAATGACTTTAAAGAAACCGATTAAAACGTCACTCTTTGCGAATGTACGGAGCATCTATTATTAAAACACCATTATAGCTTACGATAAATAGTAACATTCATCTTATTCGGAGCTGAGTTGTTGAAACTACTTTGAAAGAAACAGGAAAACAGAATGTTCACGTTAATGATATATATATACATATATACACATTCGTCACATATAATTGTCATATATATATATGTGTTCATTTGACAAAGCGTTTGTCGCTGCGATACGAGATTACTCTATTCGTGATATAACAATAATTTCCTCAATATGCGTTGCGTGATTTAAATTAATGACAGAATACTTGATGGATTGCAAATGTTCTTCAAATGCTGAAATATCATATTTCTGAGGCAGAAATAACAATAGAAAAATTTACGACACGAAGTACAATTATAAAGGTAAAAAAAAATATATACGTTTTAGGCTCAATGTAGAGAAAGATAAAAAAATCAAAATTTTGTAATATTATATAAGTAATGTTACGTAACACAATGAATTTGCAAGTTTGCCATTCCTGCTACGAAGTTAATGACTATATAATTGCGATTTTTCGCGACTTACCCGCAACTTTCTACTTTTATAGCGATCTCCGATTCTAATTTCGTCTCACACGGATAAGTCTGGCTCATTGTGTGTAGTAGCGATCCGTTTCTACCTTCGCAACCGAGGTCCATGATTACCCTCTCGGGGAAATGTACTGTCACTCTGCCGATGGGCACCAGTAATAGTAATAACGCCGCTAAGCCTCCAATCGCGGAAAACACCGACATCAAAATCTATCAGAAAGATTCAAAAATCTCATACGCCATTCTAATTGACATATATGTATCTAAGTATGCGTGTAGATATTCAAGTAGTAAGGTGACGTCAAAAAAACGTTTTAATAATGTCTCTAACGTTAATAAAAGGTAACATTATTTTACGTCATTTGACATCACCTTGCTACTTAGGTGGTAATAGATGATATAAGGAAATAAAATAAGGAAATAAAGGCAGAACGGTAAAGGCGTGGAAAATTTGAATGGTTGAAGAAAATATCTTGTTCATATATTGATATTTGGCATTATTTGGCAAGAAAAAATTAGTTAACTCACTCTGAAATTTCCTATCCGGTCGGCTACCATACCGGCAAGCGGCGGCATCACCATGGCCACGACAGGAGTGACGGCACTCATTATCGCCGTCTCTTCCACGTTTATTCCCAGTTCTCTCATGTGTATGGTCAAGTACGGATACAACACGTAAAGTGCTAAAGCAAAATCGCAGCGAAAAAACTTGTTACCGTGGCGGAAGAATTATTTAAAATTTTCACTTGCAATTGATTATTTGATTAGAGTGTCAAGATAAAACAGAAATGAGAATACGGTGTCAAACATTTGAAAATTGCTTTCTAGATATATTACTTACTGGAAGCTTTAACGAAAAATATTAATTTCAGCGGCATCAGCTCTTTTGATTTGAAATCCTTGCTGATCCTCCTGAAGAAGCTCTTGGGCGTTATCATTTTGATTTGTTCCTTTCTTGAACTTGAATTGACGTCGTTGAATTATTCGTAAACGTGAAACGTTCAATCTGTATTGTGCATATCTTCGCCGCACGTCACTGTTCTCTACATTTATCGGATCATTGAACAGATTTTTCAACAATTCTCATAGCAATTTACAACGATTTTGCAATAATTCTATTTAATTCATAACGAAAAGTTTTAGTAATTAGACGTAATTTGGTCAGTCGATCCCATCACTGTTATTGAAATGTACACGGCACGGCATGACCATGGCACAAAATACCGTCGAGATATACGAATGTCATGTCTTTTACATAACGGTTTTACAATGGCTTTACAACTTTCCATGGCAATACCTGCCTCATGGCATACATACAACAACTTCCGACTCATTGGCGTAAATAAACGTGAAACGTGTTCACCGTATCCATTGATTGAATATACGAAACACTTGTTATCAGGGGAAATTCAATTTCCGCAAGTCTATCTGTCAACCCGTTGTAAAAGAAAATACATTTTGTGTTCAAAAGCGGGACTTCAAATATGACAGATTGTGCAATCTATATCAGTATATTATTATTGTCATTTTTTCGAAGTAGTACAACTGCAGTACGGAGAATAAACTTTTGCAATTGCTTCGTCGGTATCATGAATTACGAGTGGAGCATTATAATCAACCTGAAATTGCTCGTAGTTACCGGCGTTGGGAGCGAGCATCATTATTGTTTTAATTGCATAACTCATGCGTCGCAGGCCTTGCGGAAGAAGGCGAACATTACTGTCTCTTCAACAAATCATTTAAGAATGCGATTCAGATTTCGAGTCTCAATAAAATTTCGAGAACAATGCCTTTTTTAATATGATTTGATTATGATGTTTATGAGTAAACGTCATAATCAGTCTCTCAAATATAAATTTACAATAAAACGGTATAACAAAAAATAATTTTTTAATTCTGAACGAGAAAATATAATATTATTTTATAATATAGTATTATTTTAGATTTTATAACAAATAAATATAATAAATAAAGAGACTTCAATCTAATAAAACTAATGTCTTATCAAATATTAAAAAACTGCAAGAAATAATTGCGCTTTTCTCTAGGATTCTTTTTTGTTAAACTGTAATTAATGGTAAATAATTTGAAAATAATGAAATTTTTAAATATGTAAATATCTAGTCTAATTTGTTAAATTATTTAAATGTATAAGAATCTTAATAATCTAAAAATACGAGAAAGTTTAAAGAGAAATTCGAGTGTTTCTAGAGTTCGATACACTCAAAATTTTATGTTCATTTTTATGAAATGTCTCGTAATCTACAATAAGCATAAATAGCAAATAAACTTATAAGAAAGATTTATGTGCGATTTAAATTTTAACTAGCCTCTATCTATGGAAACCATTCGCCAAGTACTTAGCAATGCTGAGCAGACGCGCGTTCCCCATTCAAGGTTTGACACGTTCTAAGGATGGAGGATTGTAGACGTGCATAGAACCGTGCTTCAAGAACAGTTAGAGTTTTCTCATTGGCAGTGAATGTTAGATAATTTTATCTTATAATACATCAAAAAGTGGCAAGCATGTGTCTCGTAATTTGATTGGATTATAATGCAACACGAGAGAGAAAAAGAATCTTCTAAAGAATTATCTTCTAAAGAATTATCTCTCTAAAATATTTTGAAAAAAATTCCTCGAAAAGCACGTAACAAAAATGTAGTAAAAACATTATTTTTTGCACTATATAATATATTATCCGATAAAAAAAAGTGTACGTTGATGAACAATGTGCGATTTTGATAGGCAATAAAGATATAAAATTATACTCGTGCCAGGACAGATTTTTAAAGCAAAAATGTTTTTTTTTACGTTGGAGCGTACGTGTCTGTAATAACACATGTACTTACATTATAGCACCGCCTTATTGTTTCATAACGTTGCAACGTACGCGAATTGTTCTTATTACGAAAATGTCAATACGCGCAAGAAGTTATGAAACAAAATGACATTTTGAGATCAATTGCCTTTGATAAGACATTCCAACTGATTACATACCATAAGGTTTGAAAAAAAAGAGCAGGTGATTATTTCAAGTTATTTATATATTTCGCGCAATTATAATATGTCAAGTCATGTAAGACTATAATTGCAACACTAGTATAAGAAACTGGTAAAAGAAATGACGGAGAAATAAATCACGAAGTAGAAAGCGACGAAGAAAATGAGTATAATAAATTGGCGCACGCGTGTCTTGATGTGTTACCAAAGATTTCTGTAGAGAGCAAAAGCATTATTGTTATAAGGATTCTTATGAAAGCACGCTATTCAAGTAGCCTTGGATCTACGGGAAAAATTTTCAGTTGATTGTCATTCAAGTGCTATCGTCGCGTCGAGATCATAAAGCAATTACTTGATTCCTTTTTAATTCGTGTTATAAATCTCTATGATATTTATAGTTAGCTACAGTACACCTTTATGTTACGAATATTACGAAAAACGTATATTGTGTGGTAGCCGCTGATTTTTATATAACTCTCTTTGTTAATCGACAAATATTTTAGTATAATGGAGATGAATCGAATATACAGAAATCAAGTAATTAATATCTTCTGGTCGAATGTAAAATCCCCATCAGGACTATATTTATAAATAAATTATAACTATTACTATTAATACTCTGTAATACACGCGTTATAATGTACCAATATATCGCGAATCATTAAATATTATTAAAGAATTTAATGCTATTCTTGTTCTTCTAAAATATTCGAATATTGCATTGTCTTTCCAAATTATTTAACATAATAATTATATACATGTACAAGTTAATAACACCGTTGTGATCGCGACGAGTAACATTGAAATGTTTTAATTATTATTTGCTATCATTTTTAATGTAAACTTAACTTACATTCACGAAGCGTTTTGTTGCCAACAATAAGACATCGTTTCCCAAAAATAGCAGTCATAAAATGCCAGGTGAGTCGATTGAAACGGAAGATACCTGAGCAGTAATTATAAGTAATACTTCCGTCTCTCGTTTTAAATCTTGAGGTAAAAGTTCGAAGTGTAATCAGGAAAACTGTTTCGGAGATACAGTATGATATGTCAAATAAGAAAAAGGAAAAGAATTGGAGAAATGAAAGAAAAAAAGATCGGAAACCGTATGGAGAGTGACGGATCTTCAAAAAATACCGGCTGGATCCGTGCGGCGCGATGTCATGCGCAATACTGGCATCTGGGCACAAGTCGCCGACTTGAGCTCGGGAGAGGAAGGAGCGTATTTCAATACACCGATCCAATCTAAGTTGCGACGAATCACCTCGCAAGCGGCAAGGATATGTGTAACCGAAGAGTGAATTTTCTTCGACTTGACTCAACATTGTATTGTGTTTACTCGTAAAATAGAACAGACAATGAACATGTTTACAGAAATAAAAAATACAAAAATTTGATCAATTTTAGAAAAACTGGGACATTTGTAAGCAAATAGGAATCACCGTTAAACGCAAATATCTGTGCGGTATCAGGCTTTGAATACCTGTTCTTGTAGATGCTGTTTGTAAAAATCACTATAAACTATATACTAAAGAGATACTATTTCTCCTTAGTTAAAGAAGTTTTTTTCATCTATTAATATTTGAGAGCAGTATTTAATATTTTCGAAAAAACATATTGCAAAGAATACATATTATTTAATACTACATCGGATATTACTACATCGCACTTGCGATTTGTATTTATTTATAAATAAATTTGCTACTGCTTTGCGGAAGTATTCCTTCAATAACTGAATAATCTAAGCGACAGCCTATAATTTTAAGATAATAAAAAATACTCGCGTACGTATGTTTATGAATAGTGAATTTATGTCTTTGTATTTATCACATTATTTAATAGTTTGGATTATATAATTATTTCATTATACAATTATACAATTATTTCAAGTAAAGTTTTCCGCATTCTGCGGTAATCATACCATTTAGCATTAAATCGCACAATATTCTTCAATCCGTAATCCTTTATCAATAGAACCTTACTGAATTAAACAGTATCGTGAGAAAATCTCTTTTTCTTCCCCTCTCCTGATTTGAATGCGATGGGAACGGATCCATCTTTGCAGTTTTACATCGTCGACGGACTATACAGATTAAATCCTTGACACGCACCATTGTGCCGTTATTAAGCCACGATAAATCCTGCAGTTCTTTGAAATAGATGGTTGCTATAAACAGTGATGGTGTTCGTTGGTATGGAATCACAGGTGAATTTAACGTATTAACGGAATAACTGATTTTGGCCGACCACCCAAATAACAATATACAGTGTTGCAAATCTGCGGATAATTAATTGTTCCATTGTATGATGTGCGATACACGGTGCAACGATATCAAGTGTTGTGAACCGATTTTGAACGTGATCTTAATGCGGACGTATGATGCAAATTGTTGCAATATTTTTCTGGCAAATGCTACTATTTTGCTTATACTGGAAATATATATATACACACACATATTTATTATACTTTTGGTGTTTAGCTCGGATATTCGTCAACATATATTCGCATCACGTTAGTGCATATATATAAGTTTTGTTGTATACTCATATTTTATATCTTATATCACTTATATGTTTATTTTTTTGAATCTCCTTTTTGTCCGAATGACTAAATTACGCGTAAAAAGTGCGTTTGGAGTTCTAACAGATTGATTTGCTGAAGAAATTGAAGAATAATAATAAAAATCGGAAAGAATACGATTATGAAAAACTTTAAAAGGGATAATTTTATTGAAAATTAAATAACTAAGCGAAAAAAGACCTTTTCTTCTATTTCCACTTCTTTATTAGTATTATATAAGATCAAAAAATATTGATCGCTACGCGAGAGAGGAACGCATAATTACGCAAATACCAATATCTGCAGTAACCGTGTCAAAGTGGGACATTGCGAAAGGCTATAGCTTCGCGGCTCTAGCTCCGAGCCACTTCAGACGCCCCCCCCCCTTTCTCCGGAAGCCCTTACTCAATGGAAATATTCAGCGAGACGCATATTAAGATACACGAATATACATATGCATAGGAATGCACCAGTCTAAAATATTTTTCTACTTTCGAATATATTTATATGATAAATGCTATTTAATTATATTGAGATAAAAAGTTCTTGAGTAAATATGAAGCTAAAATAGTCATTATTTAAATGAACTTTAATGCATTTAATGTTTAAATACATTAAAGTTTGAATGAATTTTCCGATTAAAAACAATGCCCTTCGTGCCTATTTTAATCACTGAAAATATAAACGTTTATAAACGACAATTTTATATAAAAGTTATTACAACCTCAAGCGATTATAGAACTTTTATGTCTATAAATATGAGAATGTATACATTTGAGTTGATATTGTTTCATTTAAAAAATCTATTTATTTTATATATACATCAATGTATATAAATATTTTGAGTTTTAATATTTCAAATAATTTAATAATCGTTAATCTAATTATTTTTTATATATGCACGATATATTTGATTGTTCAGTTTCCATCGAGTATCTTGAAAAAATATTCAACCTGGAAAAATTCATACGTAAATTACAAGAGAAACAAGTGGCAAATGTGACTAAAGTTTTAAGCAAATGTGTGACTAAAGTTGTTTTTACCTCTAATATGCCGTCTTCCGGTAAGTCGGAACAGTGTATAGCGTTTTGTACTTTCGTTTTCCCATACTTGGCTCTAAGCGTATTCGGTCTGATTTGCCGCGCAATGTCCTGTATCAAATAAGTATGTCAATAACGCGGGAGCAAAGCAATTGAAGTGGTTTATACTTACCGGATCCATTGGACCGCATAAATTCCTGAAATCAGCAACGATGTCAGGACTTTCGTCTTTACGGCTCACTTCCACAACAATGCATGGACCAGATTGTAGTTCTGCTACCATCGCCTACAACAAGTGGTCATGTTAATATTTCCATCTTCAGAAATAATCATTTGTAAAACGAATACATAAAATAGATGAAAACATACAGTATATTCAGGAAGAACACCTTTGTATATTTCTAAAAATTCCTCCGAGTTAATTGGATTGACATAAAACTGTTGTATTGCAGTGATTATGTAGCCTGCTTTTTGAATGTCATCGATAATGGTACCTATATTATAAATTAAAATTGAGTGAAAAGAATATACATTAGATTTAGACAGAGGTTTTAAAATATATGAAAAATGCCATTAATCGATCTTTTACAAAATATATGAATATATATAAAATATAGATCAATACATTAATATATTAAGATGTTCAACTTACCAAGACATTTTTCCTGTACAGCATGTGGCTTGATGATGCAGCAGGTACAGTTTTGTAGGGTTGCAGTGTTTTTAAAGCCTTTATTTTTACTTTTTGAATTAGGAAAGAAGTATTGCAATTCCTACAAATGATCAAATCTTGTGTCAAGCAAGGTATCAAGAAATGCTTTTAGGTTAACTGTTGTGTTTTAAAATTTTTACCTGCATTGCTGTTTCGGTATCTTTGGATCCATACACAGCATTATGTATCTCGTTTTTTCCATAGCAAGCTCTTAATGAAGATGCTGCTGTTGAAAGAGCATGCTTACTATCTTCTGGGCCTGCTAGTTCTTGCCATCTCGTTATACCATTTCCTCCTAATAATTCTAAAGCAACGACAGGGCCAGAAATAAGATAATTTATAACAGACCTAAAAATAAATTTTCATAGCTACCAATATCCAAAATTTATTAAAAAATAACAGTTTGCTTTTAAGATCACTGTTAAAAATTCAAAATTTAACTTACGTCTTATCGACTTCGTCCTTTACCAGACAATTTTCTTCGATATCATTTGGAGTTAATCTTATCATTTTTATATTTGTGATATGAAAATCATAATTTACAATGGCTTTTAATATTTCACCCATTTTGTCAATAACATCTGGTTTCAAAAGTACAAAAACTCTGAAAGAAATAAAATCATATCAATTGAGTAAAAATTTTGCAATATACCAGAGAAATCATATATAAAATGATTTATTTGTTTCATTACTTTTGCATTTGAGTTTCTAATTTGGTTTTGGTACAGGCGTCTGCGTAACCCATAATTTTGATACATCTTGAAAATATTGTTATTACAGTACCGACGTAAAAATCTTTAGCCTTAATGCCTTCACATGTTGTTCTTCTTAGAAAAGTCTTCCTTGTTTTTAAGTCAAACTGAAATATAGTTCACGGAATATAATGGAATATAACAACTTTTGTTTGGCAATATGAAAAATATTTTATTAAAAAGTAAAACTCGATTCTTTAAAGTCAAACCGTATGATTTTTCTTACACAATATAAAGTCTTGAAAAATATTAATTTCTAATATATCTTAATACTTTTATTTGCAGAATGAGATGAATCAATTAATATAAAGAGAATACAATTATTTAAAAAATAATATAATTAAAAATGTATATATAAAATTATATATATTTTACATGCAATTCTTTATATTTTTAAAACCTTATACTTTTTTCCTACATCATTTGGAGTAGCAAAGATATTTAACGTGTTCAAGTTAGGTAAGACATCTTGTATGTAATATTAATTTGCATTAACTTGCACGTACCAATTCGACAGTATTATCAGATGGATAATAATACAGATAAAATTTCTTCAGCACACAAGCGACTTGGTCATACCATTCAGCTTCAAATACATATCTGTCGCCGTAATCTGCAGACATCTCGAAATTCACATATCCTGACGTATTGTTTTCAATGCTTGTAATATAATATGTGAAGAACTTTTAAAAGTGTATTTCATAAAAATTAAATGGAGAAGGTTATAAATTCATCACTTAAATATTCAGAAAAATATCAAGCCAATTGGAAATATAATTTAATTCGTTTTGCACATTTATATCATGTCTGAATACATCTTGTCAATACCAAAGTTAAAAGGTTTACAACGGAACGACAAGAAACAATTAATGTGACAGAAAAAACGCTCTGGAAAACTGTCAACAAGACAACGACGGAGATAAATATAAAACCGGTGTTTTTTGACATTGCTGGGCAACGCGCCTCCACGTTCACAAAATGTAGACTACATACCCATATTACTAAGCTTTCCAGTGGGTAACATATTACATCTACATATTTTTGGTTGTGGGCCGTGCTATGTCGATAAATGTCAGATAATGGAATAAAGATACAAATAGACAGTTCTTAAATAGAAGACTATTTAATTAGCAATAAATTATAGTAACATTTTATTATAGATTCACAAACTCTTTTCTAATTTGACAAGCGATGGAGAAAACTGGAACATTATATAAGATTTTACGAAAGAGACTGACGTGACCATTATTTTTAAACTTTTCTCTGCTATCATAATAAAATAATTAAAGATAATGTTTAATATAGAATGTTATTGTATTTATGTTTATAATGTAATTATGTATAAAATAATAAAGGGTACAGTATATATAATTTTATTTTTTCTTTCGAAACTTTAATATAGCTGTTGCGAAATAAATTACTTAAGAAATTAGCTGTTACGAGAAAATAATTCGATCCGTATCTATTTTTGGTATTATACGCTTCTCATAAGTATTAATTTGAATTTTAATGTCAATTTAGTGGTTGAAAATTGATCAAGCGAGCCTTAGCAACCAAATCTCCAGCGCTAGGCAACGCACAATCGTTTGCACAAGACAACGCGCGCGTCTGACTGACGTGAACGCACGTACGCCGCACGCACGCACGCACGGCACGCATGCACGCATGTACGAGCGAACGAACGACCGAACAAAACAAAACGCGGTTTTGACAGCTCCGGCTGGTCTGGCTGGCGCGGAGAAAACGCACCTTCGTGATACGTAATCCCTGACGCGTGATCCACATTTTATAATTAAATCCGCGCCTCCCTCTCCCCCCCCTGTGTCAAACACTAGTGAATCGCAACCCTGTCTGGAACACTGGACGCATCCTAATTGGAATGTCCACATGAGGCTGCTGAAATTCTTGCTTCGTTATTTCCCGCCAGGTAAACAGACGACGTACAGCCGGGTGCGTTAATGACGCTGTCCAGTTACGCTCTCACATGTCCTTTTAAATTAATTTAATATACTTGAGAGAATACTACAATAATAGTATATATATAACTTGGGTTTCAATCCTTTCAGGTCTCGCTCTGGAGTACACGCAGGGCGGTGACATCAAGACAAAAATGATCGACTTACTGGACTTGTCCGCCGAGTAATCAGATCAGATTTAGCCTCTTACACATTTAGCTCTTTCTTAATCGCCGTAGCTCCGCTTAATTTTATATTTGCTTGTTCTACTTTTTTGAGTGTGAAACTATATAATACGTTTGACGTAAGACGCGTATCACGTGGAATATAAAGCCAGCAATTAAACAATTCACAGAACGGACGTAAGAGCATTAGCGGAAAGCATAAGAGCGGCCGAGCCCATAATAACCGAAAGTGTAATGGACCAGTTAGTCGAAACTCTGCAGAAACTGCAGGCTAAAGTTTGCGACACAAATACCAAGCGCTACTACAAATACAAAACCTTACAGACGCATCTTTTGCCAGTCACTAATGTAGCGCTCGATAAACTAGGTAAAAGGTACTCTACATTAAAATTGTCACTTAATTGTTAGCAGAAACTTGCGAAATTTACGAGAAGTTCCGAGGTAAGTAGTGTTTCGCGTTATTAAATCCCATAACGGTGTGAGGCGGTCGATTAGAAGTCTCACTAAAAAAGGGACAAATAATAAAATGTAAAAGTATGACTGAGAATAATTAATAGCAGCGAATGTATGATTCATCTGAAACGTGTACCGTATAATCCGTTCACGTAATCCGTTTCGATCGGCAGATGCCTGACGGGCAGCTATGACCGAACTTGTAAAGTTTGGGACATTGACAGTGGAGCGGAGCTTTTTACTCTCGAAGGCCATAAGAACGTGGTCTACGCCGTCTCGTTCAACAATCCGACTTCGTGAGTTTATTTCGCAATATAATCAGAATGTAGTCGCGGCCGTGTATCGATCTGGGATTGAAAGTAAGACACGTACGAGAACTCGTACGCGACTTACAGACGGCCGAGATCCTCCTTTTTAACGTATAACGCGCGTTTATATATACATCACGTATACAATAATACGTACATGCGCGACGGATTAAATCTACCTGTCCCGTTTTTTTTTTACCGTTTTTCAGAGACAAAATTGTGACCGGGTCCTTCGACAGAACGGCGAAGGTCTGGTGCTCGCGGACGGGTCACTGCCTCGCAACCATGTGGGGTCACGATGCGGAAGTGGTGGTGGCTAAATTCTCACCGACGCGATGCAAGCTCGCGACCGGCTCCATCGACGCGACGTCAAAAATATTCCATACAGAAACCGGTATTGAAAATATCGCAATGTTATCTCACATAATAAACGCGCGCGGCGCGCGTTTCGATTCGGCCAGCGCGCGATCGATCGGGCGCAACGTAACTACACCGTCGAATCCACTTCGCCTCGAACACATGCAGCGTGCAAACAATACGCGACAGCAGTCGACATATTCTTGTACAAGTATACTTATCGCTGTGTCCAATTATTGCCGGCTTTAATGTTATCACTGCGGCTGCCCTCGCTTTAATTAAAGCGAGCTTAAAGAGAGTCACTATTTAAGTTGTTACCAAGCTCTCGGTTGTCTCTCTGAACGGTAATTATTTAGACAATTTAGGATATTAACGAAATATCAATCGCGATTGGGCGGTGCAGGAAATAGCTTTAAATGGAAATGAATAAATACTTGCCAAGCATATGTTTTAATCTTTTTTTTCTAAATGAGCAATTAGATTAGATTGGACAAATTCCTGGTTTTGTTATTTAATCGCGATTTTTAAACTCAAGAATTCTAAGAACTACTATCTCTCCGCCTGAGACGGGTTTCCACGAACAAAACGCCGATATACGCCGTAACCTTTTTTATGCGAGAGACACGATTTGGATTCGGCAGGTCAGGAATTGGGTACGTTACGGGGACACACGGCGGAAGTTATTGCGCTGCATTACAACGACGATGGAAATCAGATCATATCGGGTTCCTTCGACGGAACCGTGAACATCTGGGATACAAGGACATTTGCGTGGGTTTCTCTCTCTCTTCTTATCTTACTTATTATCTTATCTTATTACCGTCTCTTAAGTATGACGTGACTTTACACAGAATTCATATTGCATAAAGTAATTGTCAATGTCGAGAATGATTGCTTGACATTGTTTTCGCCGAATCAATCTCTCACTTTTTTTTCCCCCTTATTGTTAGCATCGTAATGTAAGCTTAACGCAAATTAAAGTTGCCTTTTCTCGAAACGAAATGAAATTTGATAAAAGTATTTTTAACTGACACTCTTATTGTTAGACGAACGAGCGTGCTAATCGGCCATCGCGCGGAGTTGTCCAATTGCCTGTATAATTTCGACTGTTCGTTGATCGCCTCGTCCTCGATGGACAAAAGCGCGAAGGTGTGGGACGCAAGGATGAATTCCTGCTTGGCCACGCTGCTGGGACACGACGACGAAGTTCTGGATCTCGCTTTCGACAATAACGGCAAGAGACTGGCGACGGCCAGCAGTGATACCACCGCGCGAGTTTGGGATATAAGCAGCAATTTCCAACAGTTGGCTCTCGCGAAAGGCCATCGGGAGGAAGTGTCGAAAGGCAATTAATGTCTTATTGCAAACGGATGCTGCGCTTTTCATCTTTTCTATATATCTATATCAAACGTGTATAACATAAATTAAAATTCTATGAACGTATTTTCAGTTTGCTTCAGTCCGAACGGCCATCAACTTCTAACTGCCTCCTTGGACAGAACGGCCAGGCTGTGGTCCGCGGACGACGGCTCCTGCTTTCAGCAATTGAAAGGTCACACCGACGACGTTTTCGCGTGCGCATTTTCGTATACGGGGGATAGCATAATTACCGCCAGCAAGGACAATACCTGCACAATTTGGAGGTGACTCGATTGGTTTCAGGTGTCCGCTTAGCTTCTGCTCGTCGCTCTGTTTATCGTTTACATCGTATATTTTTATGTTATCTAAATAACGGTGTGCGCGCAGCCTATCGTTTTTCGATAAACAGACGAGCGAGCGATGATATCAAGTGCTTCCGTGTTCTAGCAGACAGCAACGTCAACATTTTGATAAAAGCAGAAAGAATATCTCCAAAAATAAAAAATAAAAAATTTTTTCAGTAAAACCGTTGCTGCCATAGAATATTTAATGTAAAAGTAAAGTTCGCTCTATATATATATGTATATATATATATA